CTTTGGACCTGCTGAGAATCTGACTCTGATGCCAGAGAGCCAGTATCAGTCCTGTTGATTGATCTCTGAAGAGAAAGATAATACATGGTCGATAAAAAAGACTGTAAACGGTTGATAAGACCTTTCTGAAGGAGATTATCTTCTTCACATGGTGCTGCAGATTTGCCTTTCCCCCTCTCTGTCCTGCAGTTGTGTTTTTAGTTCCTGTGAATGCGATCGTTTGTGTATCGACTGTAAATTAAATCCAGTAGTTTGCGATTGCACATGTTGAATCATTTCTTCAATCGTTCTTTTGTGTCGTTGCTTTTCTTGGTGTGAGGATGCAAAGCCTGCAGCTAGTTTCCTTCACAGTTTAAATCCTGTTGCTGAATATGTCAATAAAATGATCGGTAATCATCTGTATGCTTGTCCTTAACTTCAGGGAAATTTAAAAAACTCGCTCTCTCAAGAGGAAAATAAACTTTTCTGTTTTACATGTTGGATATTCCCGGTGAAAAATGACCACCTGCTGCTTCGACTTAAATTTCAAATTGGTCAGTTATTAGTTTCCGACAATAGAGTAGCGTGGTATCAAACACCCAGGGCAATCACCGGAAACCAGCCTGGCAGGAGTGCTGTTGTTTTTGTCCAGATATTAATACGGTGCATTCAGGGTGAAGTCTGCTGTCTGCCAGAGGATCATGTTTTCTCAGAGTTTCATATGTCAAGACTGAATCAACATTGTCGATCCGTGTTTACACACAGAGCTGCAGACTCTTCCTATAGGACCCAGATTTCTCTATCACATCCTTCCAATGCCAGAAAAAACAGCATTTTTGGATCAGAAGAGTCCTCTCCTCTCCAGGGAGGAAGACCTGGGTCAGGCCCAACGCAGATTTCATGGCTTTCTCGGCGGCTGAAAACCTGGATTGGGTTTTGCTCATCAGCACTTTGCCAAAGTTCTGCCATCATTTCTCTTCCCACAATTTCAAGTTTGTGACAGCTCACATTCGGTCACCAATTAGACAGATGTCATGGTCTATAAATCATGTTTGCATCACTGAGGATGATTTAACTCATGGCCTGTGTCACAGTTATTGATATGACATAATGGGACTGAATTATGTTGTTTTCCTGCATGTGCCAGGCCTGGATTTGACCACATTTTCTCAACCAAATGAGCAGAACATAAACCAGAGTATGAAATACTGACGCCACATGATATATTTTGAACTGTAACACATTGGCCTGATCCACCATGACTTCACCCACAGGTTTGTGGACTATTTTAGAGGCTGACTGTTTCACTTCACCAGCCTGGAAATGTAGGATCGTGTTTGGATGATTGGACAAGGTTTGAAGAAGAGTGTGCAGATGGATGTTACAGGATAGGATCAGGAAATGAAAATTGATCTGTTATTGTTGGTTAGCTTCTAGGTTAGCTTTGGAAGTCATAATAGGAAACGCTGGTTGTAGATTTTGGCTTGGATGTAGAGTTGGCTCTCCTGGAGCACTCGCCAAGTTGGAAAAAAGGTTATAATAGTTTTTGGATTTTTCATTATCGTTTAGTTTTATTTTGTTTGGACATTTTTTTTCCCTCCAATTAGTTTTTGGAGTGAGTTGTTTTTTCTTTTTAGTTAGTTTTTATTAGTTTTAGTTTTTCATACTTGGCGATGTGGTTATGATTTGAATTTCGTCTCGAGTGAAAAGCTAAACTTCTTAACTCATACAGTCTTGGAGACATATCAGTCTCAATAAACATATTTACAAGTGTATCTTCCTGCGTGTTTACTAACCAGCAGCTCTTTGGTCGTCGGTGAAAACAGTTCATTATTGTTGTCTCCAGGTTCCAGGTGCTTTCTCCTGACTGAGATGTTGCTTCTTTTTCAGCTGAGCTACTCAGAGAAGCCATTTAGTCGAGGTCCTCGTGATTAGCGTTATTGTTTAAGCTTCTCTAATGGACTTTGAGATTTGTGAGGTTTTGTACCTCGAGAATTATTCCACATATTTTATCACAAGTTTCCACCTGAAGGCTTTTGTCTTTCTCGCTGTCGTATTTAAAGAAATTTCATTTCGGACTTTGTCACTTCTCCCAAGATTTGTCGCCATTTTGCCGACTCTAAACATGAAGTGATGAACTGTGAGGTGCCGTACGGTACTGCTAGGTAACGCAAAATTGCTTGAACAAAGACATTTTTATCTATAATTTTAATATGTTTTAGTTTTGTAAACACACTATACATTTTCAGTTAGTTATCATTGTTTTCTTTTCATTATATCTTTTATTTATTTCAGTTAACGAAAACGTTTTTTCAATTCTAGTTTTTGTCATTTCAATAGTTTTAATTAATGATAATAGTCCTGGTTGGAATCAACTTGTTATTAAAGAGAAAACTGCCCAGATAAATGATTTGTTACGGTAGCAGTCTGGGATTTTGCCCCCTGCTGGCTTTGCGTAAATGTAAGGTCCTCATCATAGACTGTATATTACCATGGATGACTGTATTTACTAACCATGAAGACAAAAGTCTTATGGTGCATTTCCACCAAGTGGTGAGTGTTTTTTTTCCTTCTCAAGTGAATGCAGTACAAAAACCAAACCATTTCAAGACCACCATGCAGACAACATGCTTCCTGCATGAAGCGCCAGCGTACGGTCATGTGGAAACACGATCAACACCAGGGTTTACTTTACCAAACTTGACCCTACCAGTAGGTCTCTCTCTGCTGATTGGCTGCAGTACATGGAATGATGTTTGACGTTAAGCAGCGTGTTTTGATTTATGTCGTTGGATGTGACATCACCGGCCAGACTGCCTCTGTGCACGCTTTGGCTGAACCCGCAGAGTAAATCTGGTCTTTTAGCTTCACGGTGATGTTATCCATGGTAGAAACAGTCAGTGCTTCACATTTCAGACCCAGTAGTTTCATCCACTTCTATTAAAAACGACTAAAAGGTCTGGTCCGCATGACGCCTTCTTTAAAGAGAAGTTCTGATCATCTTAGTATTTAAGGGCGCATCACTGCCTTCATTTAAGATATATTAGCAAAACTTTCATCAGCAAAATATCAATTACTTTTTCTTTGCAGCGAAATGCATCATCGCCGTTTATTTGATTATGATGTATTGACCATAAAGCCCCTCATCTATCACTTTTTTATTGAGCATACACTATAATGTAGCTGTTTTTTCTGATGGATCTCCAAATCTTCATGCAGAACAGTTCTTAAATCTCCACAGAGGCTCGGGCGTCGGCCTTGAGCTGTGGTTCAGAATGAGTATATCAAATTTCATCAGCCCGTCTGTAAATCAATCACACCCTCCGCCGCTCGATGGAGGGGGCAGCGGAGTTAATGCAGCAAAGTCAAGAGGCAAGCGCCGAGGTTTTTCAGCCGGCGTCTCTCACAGGAAGTTTGTCCGAGCGGGGATGCTCTTTGACTCTGAAAGTTTTAAACGCTTGATGTGGGTACAACCTTTGAATGATGCCTTGCTTATGGGCGCGTTTAAGGGAGCTGTCCTCGAAGGAGAGGGGGTGATGTTCAAAGTCTATTGGATTTAGAGAACTTCCTGACTCTGAGTACCCTCAGGCTGCTGCTGCTGCTATCCTGACCTTTCAAGGTTCATGAAGTTAAAGGGATATTTCTGCGTAAAACTAAGTTAGGGTCAAACACACCGTAACACCGAGTTAGACACCCCATCGACAGATGAATGTTACTGATTGCTTGCTTCTCTAGTTATATCAACTTTAGTAATGACCGCAGGATAGAAATACACAGCGGTCTGAGGAGCCATAAATAAACCTCAACCAAAACGCCGCTCTATAGCCACAAATAATGCTCAGAACAGCACCTAACTTCATCAACAGGACATATAGGGTCACAGACATAGTACTAGACACCAAACATCTTTTTAACTTTAGCAAAGAGTCTAAACACAACTCACCTACTCTCTTCCAGCAGCTGCTTGTTTGTATCGACACCCTGCTGTAGTACCTAATGGACTGGCCTGAGGTCTCGCTACAAACAAACGGCTGCTGGAAGAGAGCAGGTGAGTTGTGTTTAGACTCTTTGCTAAAGTTAAAAAGATGTTTGGTGTCTAGTACTATGTCTGTGACCCTATATGTCCTGTTGATGAAGTTAGGTGCTGTTCTGAGCATTATTTGTGGCTATAGAGTGGCGTTTTGGTTGAGCGCGTGGCTCTCTGTATTGCTATCCTGCGGTCGTTACTAAAGTTGGTATAACTAGAGAAGAAGCGGTCGGCAACATTCATCTCTTGAGGGGGTGTCTAACTCGGTGTTACGGTGTGTTTGACCCTAACTTAAATTTACGCTGGAATATCCCTTTAAGTTAAGATCAGCCAAATGCTCAAATATGGCGTAAAATTGACATATTTATTTCATACTGTCTATACTTTTATTCATTATGCTAATAGTCCTGCTGCTATATTTCTTGATCCCCAACAGACAGTCAACAGGCGGTCGGTAATCTTATTTTAGCAGCGAACTCTGAATCCAGCCGGCAGGATTGTATTTTGCTAAAACCATTAGTTTGGGGATAAACACGCAGAATTTCAAGCAGCTTCTTTTTTATTTTTGTCTTGAACAAAACAAAATGTCAGGCTTTGAGTTTATCTGTATGCTCCAGTCTGAATGCACAGCTCTGCTTCTGTTGTGTTCAACAGGATCGTAGGCCTGTTTATTAAGCGCACATCCTTCACTAAGAAGGATTGCGCGGCGTTGCACGGCATTTTCCACTTCACACTGTTTGATTTATGCCGCGGCGCTGACCCTAATGGCCCGATCGGTCCTGTGCTGTTTTGTCATGCAAGGTAATTCGGCTCATAATTCAACAGTGAGAATAACAATAGAGGAAGATTTTAACCAAACAAACCAGCTCCCAACATCAGACATGTTGGTCTCTGTCTATTGTAATTATCTAAGGAGCTCACGTCCACAAGAGGGAAGTGTTACCACACTCATCCACCCAGGCTACACCTCCACAGCCTGATCCTGGAGAGAGGGATGAACTGGACGAGGAGCGAGCATAGGAAGGAAGGAAGGAAGGAGAGGATGAAGGAAAAGGGGGAGGAGGAGGAGGAGGCTACTGTGAGTCAGCTCTCACAGCTGTGTATGAGGTAAAATACACACTCTCCCCTCCTCTCCTCCTCCTCCCCTCACTCACTCATCTGTGGTTCAAGATTTAAAGATATGTTGACACTATTGCAGGATGTCAAATATTACTCTCTAAAACCGCCAAAATAAAAGTCCCCCTTCTTTTAAATTCTGATGACCTCAGCGTGAGAGCATGTGCAGATGACTGTTGGGTTAATATTTGATTTCAGTCCTCACCGCCCCACCCTGACTTGTTTATTAGACTCGTGGTTCATCGGGGGATCTGGAGTGCCACAGGGGTCATGTTGGGGATCCTTCAGAATTAAAATATCACATTTATCAGATTCTTGTGAGATTCCAAACAGAAATGAATTACATTTTGGATTATTTAGTTACATGTATTTATATTTTCTTAAAGTATAAAGTTTCTAAGGTCCAAAAAAGTTTATTTTTTCAGAATATGCTCACAGGAGATAAACCATTTCAAGGTTATAGTTTGTTATCTGAAGGTACAAGATAAGCACACAGTGGGTTTAGAGTGTGGGAGTTTGAGGGGGTTCTGGTTGAGATAAAACTCTTCCTACTGTAGTTCATCTCAGAGATCTTGTCAAATAGAGAAATCACTTTTAATCTGGACTCTGTGACACTTTTGGTTCACCTCTCGTGTCGGTTTCTGTGTCTCCGTGGGGTTTCAACATGTGACTGTTTCATTGAATTGTTTCACTCCAGCGTGCCTGTACACGCTGCCGTGTTCCCGGCCCACATATCTCCCTCACTCTCCAGGCCTCCTCTGCTGCTGCTCCTCCTGCTTCTCCTCCTGCTGCAGGATCTCTGCGCCATGCGTAACAGACAGACTTTCAGATTTTACACCCTCCTCGCAAAAAAAAGACGCGTAACGCTGATCCATGTTGAATCGCTTCCAAAGAGAGGGGCTTCTTGGCTGCTAGTTTTACAGCCCATGCTTTTGTTTTGTTTTTTTTTTCCTTTTTTTTTGCAGGACAATCCAGGCTCCTCCCTTGCACAACGTCACCCGATCCCGATCTCTCCCAAAGCGTCAGCGATAGTCAGCAACAGACTGTAGTGGCAGATCAGCGGGGCGGTGCGCAGAGCAGAGCGGGATAAGGCGACACTGTCTCTCCATACAACAAAAAAGGAGAAAAAAGGGGGGCTCGATCCTCCATTTCCAGACTTCTAACAACTTCACAGGCCTGCTGTGCGGATCTCTGCAGAAACCGGGAACTTACCGGGAACTAAACGCAGGAGCGGTGCCAGCAGATAATCCGCGAGGTGCTGTGTGACAATTACGCAGACGGAAGAAAAGGCGACATTTCCTCAGAGGAACTCTCAGAGTGTTGGAAACTTCCCAGCGCAGCATCGATCGAGGACCTCCCGCCCACTTTACCTCCAATCCACGATCCTGGAAGGGGGGAGAGAGAGAGAGAAAGAGAAAGAGAGAGAGAGCAAGAGAGTCCTGCAGCCGCTGCGGTGGATGGAGCAACAAAGGCTGGATGTTAAACTAGAAGATCTGCTCACATACGTCTAAAAAACACCAACTCTCCTGTCTCTCCTCGCCCGCTGAGTCCCGCACTGACTCCATCACCTTGGATCTCATTTGCAGGTTTTTTTACTTTTGTGCAAACTCGAATCGACGCAGACGTGAAAATTGATGCTCGGCTGCAGAGAGAATAAGCGCACAAACGAGCCTCGAGTTTTCGCGAAAGTCCGGCGCTGCTCGCTGAAGGAGGTTAGACCAAGAGTTTGGGGGTCGAAGTGAAGGGATTTTGCAGAAGTTACATGCTTGGTCTTTGTGGTCACGAGTGATCCCGATCCTCCAGAGTCAGGTTATCAGAGAAAGATCCGGAGAGTTGAGGAGCCATGGCGATGTGTGTGGGGATGTGGATCCTCCTGTTAGCGCTGCACATCAGAGGTAAAAACCTGCACGAACACACTCATGATCGTCTGCTTCATGTTTTTTCATCACCCCCCCATACCCACTGAGAGTGCGTGTACGCGCGTGCGTGTGCGCATGTATGAGCTGTGTGATATCTGACATGGTTAATGCATGATGGGCTGGGTCGTCATGATTGCTGGTTTTGTGTTTTGCTCTGAGATGTGCACATAAGAGGACAGGGTTTCAGTTTTGGACTCAAACGGCTGCAGAATACTTATTTGGCAGCCCTCATAATGAAGTTACTCCTGCAGCAGGCAGATGGCGATAAGAGCAAACCGTGCAGGTCAGCACTCTCCAAGTTTTCCAATATCTCATTGCAATGGTAACTCAGAGCCTCAGAGAGCTCCTGAATGATAATTGAAACCCCCGGTCCCTCCATTCAATCCGTGTTAGAGCGAATCTTAGCTCCCATTGTGTCTGAAATATCCTTCATTTCCAGCTCGAAGCCCCTCAGGCCTGTGCTGTTCTTCTTATCCTAACATTTTCAGAGGTAGAGTGACTCAGGTGACGGTGACATTTGTCTTTGGCTTCCTGTCATCCTCGGAGAAATAATCTTGGATAGATGACAGAATCAGAGAGAGGAGGAGAGATGGAGTGTGTGTCTGTGTGTGTGTGTTTGTTTTTTGGGCGGAGGATGAGCTGTGGAAGAAAACACACTGGCTGGCTGATAAATGGAGTGATAATTTGACATTGATCAGACTGACATTAAAGCTTCCCAAAGAGGGGCCTAATCATTTAAACGCATGCGTGAAAAGGCGAATCAGACACTTATTGGAAGACGCATCATTATTCTGGTCGTATTGACATCCTGCTAATTAGGAAACAAAACAAACCGACTGAAAAACACCGTCTGTGTGTGTACGTGCTTGTGTGGAGTTCCTGGTTTGTTTATGTGCTGCATGAACAAATTCAGTATTTTAAGAAAGGAATGGACGAGGGTCAAGTGTGGTCACATTTGGAGCTAATGTGCTCTCCTCCTGTTTTTTCTCTTCATGACCTCCTTTCCTTTTGCTCATTTTCCAGTCAAATCAAACTAAAAAGTTCCTCAGGCAAATATTTTGTCACATCTCATCTGTTTTTTTTTTTTAACCCTCCCTGAAGCTTCCAGAACAACCACGACGTTGACCTTGTTCAGAGCGAGGCCTCTTACCCGCGTCATGTGTTTAAGACTGATTGAATACTTTGATCAAGAGCCTCTGTCTGATTTACGTTGAGATGATCCCTTTGCTTGTGCAGAAGATCAGGATTAACTGGTTCCCTCGGGATTCACGGTGGAAATCTTTTGAAGCTGTTCAATCAGGGGAGTGGAAAATGTCTCCAGTGCTTTTACAGCGTCCTGGAAACGTCTCATCGGAGGAAGGCAGGAGGTGTTTTCTGAGCCTAATTAGACATCATACGAATACTCTTTGCCCTTATTCCTGTTTTGTTCAGCTGCTTTAGTTTATTTCAATCCGGAGCGTCTGCATAATTCATGCTCTTAGACGTCTTTATAGAGGGGAAGGGCTCTGAAATAGTTTTATTTCAGCTGCTGTTTGGACTCATTCCTTTTCACATGCAAAAACAAGAATTTGCCTTTTCACCCTGAGGTTAAAGGGCGTCACCATAAATGCCCGGCCTCTTTGATGGCTTAATTGATATACAGCATGTTCCAGACTCTTCCCTCATTACCCAAGCACAAACAAGGAGGAGAGAGGAGAGCATAGAGAGGAGGGGGTTACAGCTAAAGCCTGTTGCAGTCATCCTTTGGGGGAAGCCATTTGTGCGTGTCATTGTAATAACCATTAGTAGAAAACCGAAGAGTGCCAAATTCATAAAGAGGAAATATCATGAGTTGTGTGCCAAACAGATTATTGAAAAGGAACATGGAGAATAATGGATTTGTGAGTTATAACGGCAGCTCTGCTCCTGCTTTCTCGTATTAGCTCCCGCTCTCTCCCTGATATTTAATTGGGTGTGAATTGAGTTTGCAGCCAGGTGGTTGTTTACGACTTGGCTCCATCCTGGGGTCCTGCTGCTGTACCAGCCCTTATAGATATCTCTCTCAGCGGTGGGGATGAGGAGATTTCTCAGCTCTGATTCCTGGATTAAACATTTGGGAAATGAAGGCGGGATCGGTGGAGGAGCATCAACTTTTGAACGCGAGTGGAAATGGCGTAGCTGTGAATTCTAATCTTTGTAAGAAGTTGGCAGCGTGCGGGCTGGAATCACTCTTCTGCAGACCCCCGTCGTGCAGATCTGTCAGTCATTTCATGCATGAGAATTTGGTGTATAAGCTTCTCTGCTACCATCACAACACAGCTGCTTTATTTGTGTGTCACTGCCTTTTAACTGTGGTTATTTCCTCCCCCTGATGTCCCCTGGGAGACGAGGAACCACAGGTGATGTTTCCAGCCCGGCTTTGACTGACAGCTTTATTGTTTTGACATTTTGGGGGTTAATTGCGCGGCTAACGGTCTGATTTCTGAAACACAACAGTTGATTTTGACTCACGGCAAACCGTCGCATGCTGAGCTGCCGCCGCTGCTGCCTCCATGTGAGAGAAATATGGCGTTCTTCAGCTGATTGACTGATTGATGAAACGTTCAGGGGGGCCGAGAGGACAGCGGCTGCATGTCCACGCTAAGTGCAGAAGCAGATGTTTGATGTTGAGCTCCAAAAACAGGCAGGAAAATGTTTCTCCAGCTGCTCCGACTCTTCTACAGCATCATTAGCGTCCTGACTTTGCTAATTCTCGCAGTCTTTTGAGGCGAGCTGTAATTGCTTCTCTGTGGCGTTTTACATTTCATTGAGCTGACAGTGAAACGGAGAGAGGCACTGTGGGATTGTTGGGCCTTGATGGTTGGAGTGTGGATGCAAATTGCTGTGATCCTGGCTCCTTTGGGGAGTCTCTCTTTGGTCCCCGCTGAGGTGATGGATGGGGGGGAAAGCTGTGAGTCCTGGGAGACTGGCTTGAGGGAAACTGACAGGAGATTAAGCTTTTCTTTTTGCCACAGAAACTAATGGAGGCACTGGGCCACTCCAACTTCATCTCTTTGAGCACTGAGCTCATTGTGGTTCTGCTGTCAGCTCTTTAGCAAATCCCTCTCACAACACTGCTTGAAATGTTTCTTTAAAGAGTCATTTCTCTTATTTTTTCCGTCTGCGATGACTTTAGCAATGGATCAGCCCTTCGTTTAATAAACTATAAACTACAAACCCGACACCAAACGAGTTTGGAGGCTATGTCCAATATTGACAAAGTCTGGAGTAGATGGTTTATGAATTATTTACACTTTAAATTAAACTGAAAACAGTGCAAAGACTACAGATTAGAGGCTGAAACTGACGAATGAGATTGATATGAATAAATAAGATAACTTTAAACAATGTTTTTTAAAGGAGTTGGACCAAGAACAACACAATATAACAGTTTACCGATGTGATTGAATATCAGAAAAGGCCAAGTATCTCAGAGATGAAGATTCTCAGAGGTCCAACACTCTGTGAGAGACTGCGTGAGCAAAAAGTAAAAACAATTCCACAATAGTGTTGCTTAACGTCCCTCAGTGGTCTTTAAATCATGATACCTGTTTCATTTTCAAGAGCTTTTCTTCTGCAGAGCTCCAGTAGCTCATTAGCAATTCACCTCTGAGTCGTGGGCGGAGTCAGCGCTGCTCTGAACACTCCTCTTCACGCTAGCTTGCAGCCTAATTTAGCCTAAACTGCAGCTAGCTTGTAGTAGAAGTGGCAGGTAACACAGAAGCTATTTAGCTCTCGGACACTAATGTCTTTTAGGACATGATGAAAGTTAATATCATGATTATCTTTCTTACAAGCATTGCAATCCGCTTATTCTGCGATCGTCCTCTCTACTTCTTCAAGTCTGGCCTGCATATCAGGGGGGCTCAGGGGGCGGAGCTTGGATTTGTGACATAGGAAATCTCACTGTGTCTGAATGCAGAAATACCCAGAAAAGCAATTTCCCATTTAGATTTCTCATGAAATGTCCTGTAGCATCAGAAAAATGACATATGAACATTTAGACAACACGATTTTCATCTAAGTGGGTGCAAAAAAATGGTGTTTTCTTCATTTTCATCAATAAATAACGTTGGATAATTAAGAGAATCTGGAAAAGTCTCTGCAGAAATGGGGGCAAGGCTGATAACTGATGCATGGCCGTGATCTTTACAATACAATTAGCTGCTGCATGAATAAACACGGGTTAAAACTGTGTCATGCAGAGAGGAAACATACATATATACATATACTGAAATGCATCTGTAATGGTATGGGTATGTGTATATGTGCTGCATGTCCAGGGAGCATCATTAATGTTGAACAGTATAGACAGGTTTGGGGAAGAAGATTTTAGATGCACTGCAACAACACGGCTCTGTAGTAGAAGAGTCCACATGCTAAAGTGAGCGACCTGCAGTCACCTGAGATTTGAGGAGGCCCTAATCAGCTTCCTTATCAGGTTTTTTAAAGGATTTGCAAACGTTTGATTCTGTGAACCCGGGTTTGTGTTTGTCACGGAGAAGTTCACTCCCTCTTCCACATTGTCATTTTTACTTTGCATGTTCATGGAGGAGACTTCCACCCATGTGGTCTCTGCCGCATACAGGCAGCGTATCACAAAACAGATGAATAAAACATGACGATAAGCTCTGAATCTAAATAATGGAAAGGTTACGACAGAATGGAGTTTTTTTTCTCTGCGTGCAGAAATAGTATGAAGAGTGAATGAATGTAAAATTAAGTTCAGCTCTGGCCTTGTTTGGAGATTATATTCAGCATCGTGTGGTCTTGATGAGGATAAATAAATGAGTCATGTCTCAGAGCGCCTCTGCATGTCTGTGTGATGATGAAGCAGTTTGGATCTGGTCACTGGATGAGGCTATTTCAGGGAAAGAGAAGTTTAGTCAAATAACACAAGTCATGTTTGTCCCAGACAGCAGCAGTCTAAGGTTACTCAGAAAAGGCCTGTTGGGTCAGAGCACACACAGTTTTCATTTCAGGATACATCAGATGTCCTCTCCTGCTGCGTCACGTCTTTGAACCAGACAGGATGAAAAAAAACACGTTAATCAGCGAGCAGCCGCTGCAATTTTTACGCCTTAAAATTCTTCTCTGTTTCAACGCCGATCGCTGAATCAGCAAAGTAAAGAAAAAGAAAATCGATAAGCGGGATCAAATCTCGCCTTGAGCTGTTCTGATTTGGCATTAATCTGTCGAGTCTTCCTCTTTCTTTTAGGCCACTCCTTGTCAGAGGGATTAAACGGTTAAATTCGTCTACACTTGTTCTTTATTTTCCTCCCGGTTTGTCAGATCGCTGTTTCAGCATCTGAGGAAGGTCTTATTACGGCTCCTGAGTGGACGTAAATCTCCTCCACAGAAGAAGAAAGTAAATAATCTCACATGTTGGAGGGATTCAGACAGGCTGCTCTGTGTTTTATGGGGCACTGAGTTTGCTTGCCAATAGCTCGTAGAGTTTGTCTGCACTGTTTCCCCCCCCCAGAGCTCAGTTGCCATAGTTACTACCTGTAATCAGTCATTTCAGTTAAAGGCAGATCGTATTAATATCTGCATGGAAAAGCATCCATCTCCCGTGTTTTTCCGTGCTGCTGCTGCTGCTGCTGTGTGAAGGGAAGGCAGCCTTTTAAAACATCATTAAAACATTTTTATGCAGTCGTCTCGTATTTTCTGCTCCGGCGCTTTTGGGAGAGAAACCATCTGGGAATACCATTCTTTGCTCATTGTGTCGGGGTTTACAACCGGGGCACTTAGTCATGGGCTGATCCCGGATTGAGTGAGTGGATAACTCCTGGTGTGTGTCTTTAAAATACTGCAGATCTGATGAGCGCGGCCCCCGCCCCAGCAGCGCCCGTCCTGTGTCACCACCTGAACGAGTCAATTTACAGCTGGCAGCCGGGCTGACGGGCCTTTATTAAGGAGCAAAAATCCCGATAACTAGTCTGTGAATAACCCGCCGAGAGTGAGAGGAAAGAGGGAACTAGAGCGAGGAAGACGGAAATTCAAATTCTTTCATTGTAACCAAATTGTGACCTGATACAGGAGCTGCAGAAAAACTAAAAACACGTTCTGTTAGAGCCGCATTCAGGGTGAGTTTTAGTTCCCCTTAGGCGTGGGCGGAGAGAGAACTATACTCAATACCTTAGCTAGAGTTCATCCAACCATGCAGCTGATTGAAGCTCGATAATGTCAGTCATTTTTTTATTATTATGACAGAAGAGATAACGCTGAAGGAAGTCGTCCAAGTTTGTCATGTTTAATCAGTTTCTGTGTCTCTCTGTGAGCCGGTCCACTTGGCCCCGGACTCGTTTTCCAACTTGATGGACTTGTTGTCGTGGTGTTGCTGTCTGTGCGCAGTTTGACTCAGTTGAATTTTGTGCTGACTCGTGCAGACTGTTGACAGTCGCTGGCCTGCAGCTCCACTCCTCCTGTCCCGTGTCAGAGCGATGGATCAGCTGGCTGATGTTCTTGGCCGGTACAGTCCTTACATGAAATATTTAGAAGAAGTGCCTCTTCTGACAGCCGGGCCTTCTGACCTCGCTCTCTACCACTTCTTTTATAAACCGACTAATAAAATGTAACTTCTCAACCACTCGGACGACATTTTCAAAGTCCTTATTTTATTCTAACTTGTATTTCAAAGAGTTGCTTTATTGAAGATTCATACTGGAGAGCAGAACGAGTGCAGCTCTCTTCTTCCTGCAATATATGACCTTTTTTTTTTTAATGAATGACCTCAAACTTAAAAAGGAAGTACATCTTTGCACAAACTGTCTTTAGCTCAAGACTGAAAACATCCACACTGCTTTTCAAAAACCACATCTGTCAATCCTGTTACAAGCCTCTGCACATGTCATCCACTGATAAATACCCTCCAGGGCTGAAACGGATGAAACGGATGATTAGCTCGAAGAACACACTGAGCAGAAATATAGAATATGTAGAAAAATTAGCTGCATTTCAGCCAAAGAGAGTGAATTATCTGGATGCAGTCGGTTGTATTTGGTGGTATGACTCTGTTCTGAGAGTTCCCTGCTCCTCCACATGAGTACGTGGAACGCTGAAGCTTGTGGTGGGCAGAGCACACCTCCATGTTGTTTTGTGTGTGTACATAAAAGACAAGACAGGGAGACATGAGTCTGGTCCTGTTTAAGGTTTCTGCCTGTTAGAAGGAAGTTTTTCTTTGCCACTGTTACTCATGTTAGTTGAGATGGGTCAAATCTGTCCCATCTGAACAGGGTTCCTACACAGTTTGAATTTCCATACTTTTCTATACCCTACCTAATTATTTTTTGGAAATACCGACTTTCTATTCTTGGAAAACAGTACTTTAGAACTGTGGTAACAGTCTGGAAACATAGATATTTTCCAAATCCAGATATTTTCATAGATGTTCTCACATTATGTCAGTTAAATACAGCGGCTTTAACAGAAAGCCTGTCTTTACGTTTCCTTATGTAGGCTGGAATCGACTCTACAGCCTGCCTGAACTAACTCTACGCTCATTTTTCATCGTTCCTTTTAGGAATATTTTTGTAAGTACCTACTTTTCTATTTTTAGAAAACAGTACTTTAGAACTGTGGTAATAGTCTGGAAACATAGATATTTTCCATACTCTATATCTCATTTACCATACTTTTTAAGACCTGGAAATTGATCAAACTATTTCCAAACTCTTCCATACTTGCGTAGGAATCATGTCTTAAGGTTCGGTCTTGGTAATTCATCGAACAATAAGCACGGTCTAGACCTGCTCTTTTTTTTAGAAAGCGTCTTCAGATAACGACTGTTATAATATATTTATATATATATGTATATATATATATATATAATTTTGATTGGAATTTGATTTGAATTTGATGATACACATGACGTCTGTAAACTACAGCGGCTTTAACAGAAGGCCCGTTTTGATATTTTCTTATGTAGACTGGAATCGACTCCACAGCCTGCCTGAACTAACTCTACGCTCGTTTCTCTGCTTTCCTTTCTGGGATGATTTGGATCAGAGTAGCATCAACATTTTCTCATAAAACCTCAGGAGTAAGAAGGAGCTGATTTCTCTCCAGAACTCACATTTTCTCTCTTCTACTTTCGACAAACTTGGGCGAGCTCCCGCCCCCTGAATCCCTCCTCTCCCCTCTCCTCTCCCTCCTGACTCCTCGCTCTGCCTTTGAGGACGCCTCTCACAGCGAGCCGACTTGGTTAGTACTTGATACAAAAGGGGGTTTGTTTCATGAGATGTTTCCCTTTTTAATGAGTGATGGTGTTCGCTCATTTAATATTCAGCGCTGATATCTCTCCGGGAGCTGACTGCGCTTCAAAGCAGCAGCGTGGTTGTAAATGGGAGTGGGTGGGTAAAGGGGGAGAGCGAGGATGGGGGTGGGCTGCTTAGAAAAACACAAACACAGGTTTATTTATTCTCTCTCTCTGACATATAGCTAAGCTCCCAGTGCTGCAAAGCTCCTTAGTGGCCTCGTCCTGTGCAGACAGCAAAATATGACTGATAACAGGTCAGCTCTGCACCTGCTGTCACATTTCTGTCAGTGTGCGTCTTTCATTCACGCTCGCGCCGACCCCCGCTGTGATCAACTTTACAGATAAGTGCTCAATCAAAGGGTTTTTTTTTTCTACGCTCAGGTGCGAGCATTTCTGAAAATATAAAACAGCAAAGTTATTTTTTCATTCCACCCGTGCCTCCGCTGACACGATAGTTTCTCTCTGTTCGTCATTACGCTCAGATTGAGGTCAACCTCCATCAGCGACAGAAATTCTCCTTCTTTTATAGAGCGTGTGGTTCAACTCTGCCCAAAAAGAGATGAAGATAAACACGGAGAGCGCCTGCAGTTTGGCATTGATCCTTCCATTTTGTTAGTCGGGTCTATGCCAAAGCAACTAATGTAGTCGACTATTGATTCCACAGTTTCAAGCCTGGCTGAATTTCCCTCCAATGTTGCATTGTTTTCACAGTCAGGTGTGCCAAACAGCCTCCTCTTCCTGTACGCTCTCCATCTCTCCCTTAACTGCCTTTGCTGTCGGTGGGTTTTGTATCTAAATGTGGGTGAAAAAAGGGCGAGTGGGTGGGTGAGTGATCGACCCGATCGCCCCACCTCAGAGCAGGGGGGGACAGGAGAGGTTTATCCCTTTATCTCCAGCTGTAACAGACAGAGTCTGCGTCAGCACTGCACTTGTTCAAACTATTGACTTGTATGCATAAAAGCAAAGCTGTGGAGTGCAGCTTGGCTCGGCATCAACTCTATTTACTCCTCTAAATGCACTGCACTACATCATCAATACAGAACAGCGCAGTGAACACGCAGAAAACAGGGCCGCTCTGATCCGGTCGAGTTCTTTTCATACCTGACATTTATGACTGAGACACTCGGCAAAGAGACCCTTCAATGACTCCGGTCTGCATCGAGTAGAGCTGCAGAACACCTCTGTACCTGCTGTGTGTGTGTGTGTGAGAGTCCTCTGGTTCATCTTCTTACATGTCAGGCTGAAAATACAATGACTCATATACATTTAATTCCTCTGAAAGGCGTAAATTTAGGTCATGGTCAAACACACCGTGTCTAGAAGTACCGCATCTGCAGTGCAAAATGGTTATTATTGTAAAAGCTAAATATGTTGCTATTATACATACTATGAGTTGCAGTTCACTTTGTGTGCCTTGGGTGTCGCTGTCTTGTTATCTCGGGGCTCAGGGGTAAAGGTAGTCATGTCACTGTTGTGGGCAGGTGTTTGACCCCGAAGGGCAGAAGGTTTTTGACCGTCATGGTGTTTTCCTTGTTTGTTTAGTGTTGGATTTCAATTGCAAAATGGATTTGGTTGTTCATCGCAATAAATTTTTTGTTTTCTGAACAAAAACTCTCACTGATCGTCACAACTCACAGTAAAACTCAGTAGCGCGGCGCATCGACCAGGTTACTCCAGGTCCAGCATCTCAGTAGCTTAAAGTACCGACTTAGCTTCAACAATTACTTCATGGAAATGATCCGCTGCACTCAGTGTGTTTGACCGTAACTTTAATTTACGCCGGAATATCCCTTTAATACACGTTCAGGTCTCAGACGTTCAAGAGTTCAAAATTTAACGTTTAAATTGAACTTTACATGGAAAAATAAACGAATTGTGGACTGTGCTTATTGTCCTTACAGGCCGACATTGCTAGTGTGAATGCAAAAACTGCAGTTCCTGGACTGGCCACTAGAGGCACGTATCTAATAAACACATTTACAGCCTGATTGGACTCGATCACTGAGAAATTCAGTCTGCATTTTTTAAAACTCTTGTTGCGTCGTTTGTAGCTAAACCTCGGCCAGACGATGATGAAGCGTACTGATATTTTCTGAAATCTATTTAATGATTATGTTCAAGCCTTGATATCATATTTGAACATAACTTTATTCTAATAGACTCTTCAGCAACACTGTATAATTAAAATATATAACAATGAAACACTAACGACTGCAGCCATTTGCTTGCACGCGACAGCTAATCATGAGAAGCTAGCAAGACAGAAACTTATTTGAGAGATCGTTTCAAAAGTGCCTCTAACTTAATATTTCCATAAAAATGTTTAGAAACTGCGTATGAAAGTTGTGACCATGTTGCGTTTTTTAGGTACCCAGTTTGTGATATTTTTTATGTTGGATGGTAGGGGAAAGTCCCGCCTCCTTCGCCTCTGATTGGCAAGTAAAGCTGGTAATCTCATCAAATGCTCGAGCCAAACGCCGGCTGTCGGCTCTGTACACCAAACAGAACATTACAGAACATTATCGCACTTCTGAATCTCCGAACCCTAACACGACAGACAATGACGTTTCATAGCCATAAGGAATAACTAATCAGAGCCCAGCACTTCTAGCCAATCAGAGATGAAGGAGGGCGGGACCTTCCTCTACTTCAAAATAAAAGCATGAAATCTAAACACAGCTTACAGACAGTGATCCTTTTCAATAATAAGAGTCATCTACATTGTTGGTTCATGGACATGTTTGTAAACACGTCTCTGGGTTTCAGAAGGCCTCAGGTCATCCATGACCTCCATGACTCTGAAGTTTCCTCTTTCTTCCTCTTTACAGTATTTCCCCTGAAGGTAATCATTCCTTTATGCAGAACAGTCGCATTAAAAGCCCCTTCCCCTCCTCTCCTCGCCTCCTCCAGCTGAGTTACTTTGCCAGAGGTTTCCACATGGGAGCCTCCGCTCTGGCACTCGCACATGTAGCTTGGCTTGGTATATGCGGGTGGAATTAACCAGTCAAGAATCTGGAGAGCGCTCCGATAGCAGGGGGAGGAACCACACGGGGCCATTTTGTAGTTCACAGTGATTGTCAGATGAGCCATGAAGATGCGAAATGTCACGCCGGGCCAGGGAACAGCAGGTTGGGAGGGTCAAGGGTTTCCTCCTCCCACGCCCACGAGTGGAGAGTATGAGTTTTCATATTTATACCACGATAAGTTATGCAGATAGAAGTGGCCGCAAGAACACCCACTCTCTGACCCGGCTCCCACATAACTGGGAGAGAGTGAGCGGAGAGTTTTCCTCTGTTTCTGCTTTTACCTGCAGCATACGTTTCTGTTCACAAGCTTTGAGAAGGTCTATTTTGGCAGGAGATCCCGGCGCTGTGTACTTTCTTTGTCAGCATTATGAAACTGAAAATAGCAGCTTAAGAGGAACAAATGTTGGAATGGGAAACTTGATACAGAGGCTGTTTAATACCGCAGCGAAAAAACGCTGAAATACTTTCCCTCTTACGGGCCTGCAGACTCCAACCCTCCACCATGCCAAGTCTCAAATTGTTCTGCAGAATGAGTCTGAGGATTGTGCCCTCCTCCTCCTCCTCCTCCTTCTTCTTCTTCTTCTTCTCGGAGAAGAAGTCGAAGGAAAATAAAGACCTTAATGTAAAGAGGAAAAGGGGAAATGGAGATTTACATGCACACCCTGCAGGGGGGAGGGGGGTCCTGCTGTTCCTGAGCGGGGCTGCGGTCCAAGGGTGACTCGAGTTCGTCTTGAAATGGTGTTCTTGGCGGAGGTTCTGTTCAGGCCTGTTGGGACTGAAAAGACTTGAGCAAATAAAAGTTCATTTAATTTTTTCCAGCTCATTAGTTCTTTTTCTCTGTCTGTGTGGGGGAGCCAGCAGACCCCCCTCTCTTCTGAGACTACCTCATAGTCTCCATTAAAGTTATCTTCAAACCGACGCGTTGCCTCTTGTTTCATGCCTCAGCCAATGAAATTAAATTAGCGTCTCTGTAGCGAGCTAAAGATCATATTGTCAGCTGTATTAGTGTAATTAGAGCTTTTTTGAAGAAGACTCATTTAGAGGCTCAATCTGATTTCTGTGACGAGTGGGTCCTCGTCAAGATGAGGCACGAGTCCCATCAGGAGATGAAAGTGGGCGGACTTTCCCCGCGTTTCTAAAAGGCGTGTTTCAACTTTAGTAGAAAAAAAAGAAAAGAAAAGAAAAAATACGTCATTTCTTGTGGCGCTCGGCTCTGGTGGAGTAATCTGAGGGTGATTGGTGTGTAGTTAAGGTGGGATTTAAAGGGTTAATCCCATCGGTCGTGTGTTGGATTTTCTCGTGTAATTCTTCAGGAAGTTTTTCTGACTTCTCACCAAAGAGGAGGAGGAGGAGGAGGAGGGGTTGTTTCCACGCCACCCTTCCTCGCCCCCTTTCTGTGACCGCCTTTGTGACCGGTGCGGGGTGGGTATTTGTCTTTGGTGGAAAGACCGGGGAAGCTGTGCACCGAGGCGTGAACACACACGCGTGTGTGCGCCGCCGCACAGCGCGCAAGTGCATACGTCCGTGTGCAGGCCCGAGGCAGAGGCAGATCCCGCTCCCCCCCACCCCTGATCCTGACCCACTTTCCTTTCCCCGCTTGTCGCTCCCTCTTTAATTGCCGCGCGGCACACTGAGGCCATCTGCTCGACTGAGGCCCGTCGCCATGGAGATGCTGGGAGGCTTTTCGGATTTGCTGCGGACTGACCAACAGGGAAATAGAGGTCAGGGAATGGGGGCAGGGTGCTGGGCAGTCACAGGGGCGCCACGACTGTGGGAGGAGAAAGTAGTTTGTCTGAAGTTCACCTGCGGGAAACACCTGGAGCAGACGCAGCTGAAGAGACGAGTTTTTGTAGTGGCGTGAATTTAACGCTAAAACAGAAATATTATTCCTAACTGAACATATGTTTCCTAAACTTTCTCCGGTCTTCTGTGTTTCCTCGCACAGATGTGTCTCTCGCCACGTCTCGTCCGCCTCTCTCTCTTTATCCTCATGAGTGTCTTTGTATTTTCTGCAGCTCCTGCTTCTTTCCTTTCCAATGACACGCTTCACTGAGGAAGCAGTTGTGTCGTGTTTCCAATTAACGCTCAGGCGTATTTCAGAGCCGCGGTCTGCACGGATAGGTCGCCGCTCGCTCCCTCCGTCTGTCAGCCGCCCTCGCATCAAGCCTGCCCCGCGTGTGGTTTTAAAACGTTTAAATGTTCAGCGGGATCATTTCGCCAAAAAGCTAAATGTTTCGTTTTACTCCGAGAGGATCTTTCACTTAAACGCCACTAATGGAGTCGAGGTATCGACCTTTGGCACGTGCGCAGAGCTAAGCTTTCAGGAGACGCTCCTTATATTTACCCCGCATTTAAAGGTCAATTTTGGTAGCTGTCATTTCTGAAGTGCCATTTATAGGTCAATAGCTCATTAGTAATCTGCAGGAGTTTGTATGAAACACAGCAGCGGCGGCGGCGGCGGCGGTCTCGTCTTTGTCAATGAGCTCTTCTGTTGCACTGATGCAGAACCTGACTCCTCTAACGCCGCTGAACTGAAGATCCAGGAGAAGTTATTACAGGTGCAACAATTCAATCACTTCATCAATACATTGATTTTAATCCCCCAAATCCACCGGCGCCAACGTGACACTCCAGTACGGTGTTTATTGATTTCATAATTGCCTTACAAAGCAAAACATCAATCCTATCAATACTGAGGAACGGCGCTGTAGAGACTTCATGACAGATGTTGGTTATGTTGATGTATTTGCTGCTTCTTTAATGGAAACTCTACATCCAGGTCATCGACCAATCCTGGGACTTTCTGGGCAAGAAGAGAGACGAGATGGTCTTAAAGATGTGGAGATGATCGAGTCAGATCGGTCTTATCAAAGACTCAGGATTCTCGTAGTTTTGGTGAAATAATCGAACATCCGTCATCATCAAAATAATCTTACTGTAGCATGAAAGTCACATTTAGTCACTCAGACACTCACGATTTTGTAACTACAGTTTTGTGTTTTCATTCGCCGCCCCGCCCCACATCAGCAGCTCCAACTCAGCTGTGTTACACTAATGTGTCCCCTTTAAACAAACGACAGCTGGGAACTAATGAGCCAAATCATGAGACTCTGAGGCCGCCTACTTTTTTAAAACACTGTTCATAATAACTGACAAGGAAATAAAGAGTAATCCAACTTCATTTAGTGAAATCTATTTTAGACCCAAAAATCAACTTGTCCTCACACGAGGATTCGACTCGAGGATTTATCTCTGTCCTCTTCAGCGGCGCTCATTTTTCTTGACTGACTTCCTGACTGAGCTTGATTGACAGCCAATCATGCTTGTTGTTTGGAGACAAACGTCGCTCAAACTGGGATTGGATAGAAACATCATGTGGTAAAAAGATACCGTTAGGGTTTAAAACAGAAAAAAAACAGAAAAATAAAGACAGTCCTTTTGCACCATCAAACATTCATGAAACTTTCAAATTATCGTATATTTAGCCTTTTTTCTGGGTTATTGATCGTACATCGTACAAATTATCGTACAAATACGATAATTATCATATACATGGCAACCCTGAGTCAGATCGAAAGGCAAATGCTCGACAAATCCGTATCTGTTTGCAGAAATGATGTTAACCTCACGATCAGTCTTTCTGCTCGCCTATCTAGGTGACCCGTTTCTATCATTTAACGTCACGCAGGAACACCAGAATTCAACGTGACATCTATTGGCCATATTGTTTCCATGAAAATATCCAACATTTCAAACCGCCACCCCTTTTTTAAAACACTGTAAACACACATTTAGATGAAAAAGTGAAGACAGATATGAAGTTGTTTAATATCCTTTCGTTTGTCTTTGTGTCGTAAATCAAACTCGCTCCTCCGCCGTCTTGACATAATCTTTTGTTGTCGTTGAAGGAGTGACTGACGCTCAACAGGAACTCAAACGAGCTTCAGTTTATAATTAAATTATCAACCACCAACATTAAAGTTCTGCTTATTTTGAAGATAACAAATTACAGGAGGTTTGTTTTGCACTGGTTGGTTAATCTTCAGATCAATAGTCGGGTTGTTTCTGCTCCACCTCTACCAAGCGGGTCAGTGCGGTGTCATTGAGAACCGTAGATGTTTACAGTGGATGTAAACGGACCTCTGATCTTTATTCGCAGTGACAGATGAAACCGTAGAGGAGAGCCTCCGCCTCTGTGTGTGAATCCTGCGTGTTTTGGTTACACCGTATTGCCGTGAGATTACTGAACAAGAGTCAGACCTCCTACGACGGCTGTCAGAGTCCTCCGCCTTTGATGGCGTCACTATCTGCATAGAACGGCTTATTCTGCTCCTCCATCACCGGCGCGGTGACAGGGTAACACGGGAGGCTGTGACAGCAGAAAAGGTAGCTCTGTCAGTTTCGACTCCAGCGAGCGCTTGATCTCTGAGCTGCCCAAATGTACAGTCTGAGCCAGAGTTAACAAGACAATGTACCCTCCGCCTGTAATTGGACCGAGCCTCAGTTTCAGAGCGGCGAGAAAAGACAGAGAGAGCCCGTCTGTCAGCGCGCTCTCCACTCAAGGTCAGGGTGTCGAGCTCTGGGTGTGCTGTATTTGCTACCGTGCCCTTCGTCCTATCACAGCTTATCCAGCTGCTGCTGTGCAGAGGTGGGGTGTGTACCGCCGCGCTCCGTGGGCAGCTCACTAGATTATGTGCGAGGAGAGATTAATCAAATCCTGTGAAGTAACGCCGCCGAAGAGTGACCAAGAACATTTCTGCGAGCGTGTTTTGTTTGTCCTTGCTGTCATTGCCAAAGGAACGGTACATTTATATCAGCGCGTGAAGTGGCGCAATAATGAGACATAAACATCCTTTCTAGAGGATTATGTCACGGTGGAGCGCTGCGCATGGATCCAGTTAGCTCAAGTGATTTTCGTCGTCCTTGTTGTGCCAAACTCCTGATTGCAGTTTGAACGGAGGCCACGCTAAAGGAGGACTCTAATTACCTCTGCTCGAGAGCACGTGCTGACTGTGCACTGGTGCCTTTTTGATTGGCTTAACGAGAGACGTCTGCCTCCTCTCTCCTTATGTGAACTGAGCTTTATCACTACTTTCAGCACCCAGAGACACGGCCGACTCTCTCCTGTGCGGCTGTTTATGCTCAGAGGCTCTTTGTCTCTCTACGGACGGACGGAAAAGGTTACTCTCTGTTCAGCTGAATGCGGTCCGCTCCACCACTCAGCGGCAGAACATACATTTATTTATTTATTTACTTACCCCCTCTGATGCCATTTTGGTCCGCACAATCCCTGGAGAGGAAAATGCATTAAGCCACTCGCTGTATTTACAGGCGTCGGATTGATGCTGATGTGTGAGGGCAGGCCGCAGGCCGCAGGACGGAGGACGGAGGATGGAGGATGGGAAATTGATCATTGGTGAACGAGCGTTGGGGGAATCTTGATATCCACGACTGCTTGGAGAACCCGTCGAGCTGAAACGTGAACAAACAGCTTCTTATCACAAAGATTAAGACGCCGCTGCCGCCGCTGTTTGTTTTGACGTGTTTTGAGTCGACTGTACGCCGTAATTGACTCATCCTGCTTCTCTGTTTCCTTTAGGTTGTTCCAAACGCTGTGAGCGGTGAAGCTGATGTTTTCTCTCTCTTGTATTAAAGGCAATGACACGCTCATGCAGTGTGAAATAAAGTTACACTCCATAATAAAGTGTATATTTGTACAATTAGGGAAACCGGAGAGAGTTTGTTTCTCTCTAATTTGTCCCCTGAAAAGGTTCAAAAGTGCGCCCCCTTGAGAGCAAGAGTCACGATGAACCCCCAACAGTGAGTCCGCGGTTTAAAGTTGAATTTCTGATTTCGCCGTGTTCTGAGCGAGGCGCTCCTCCTGTGAGTTTCATCTGATCTTCTCCAAAGTTGGTCCATAAATCAAAGACACCTCGATGATTAAAACTTTGTAAAAGTTAGAGTTTTCATCAAAGGGTTTGGTCTGAGCGCTGGATCAAAGATTGACGATTTTTTTTTTTTTTTTTTGCCAATTTGTAGCTCTTAAAACACACACATGTCGAGTGTTTGATCCTGGATAACAAGAGTTTCTTTACATGTATGATTCAGTCTCAGATGGAAAAAGGTTTCAAATCTATTTACAGAACAAACAGACGCAGACAAAACATTCAACAGCCTCTGTTTACTCGCTCTATTTTTGTACAGGTTTGGCAGCTTGAGGACTTAACATGTATGTTTGTTTTGTCGTCACTGTGCGGCTCGTTGTTAAACACTCCGTATGCATGTAACTTCCTGGTCATGCACAAAGGCGCAAGATCGCAGAGTTCGGGCTACACGATTTCAGCCAAAAATAGAATCCAGATTTTTTTTTCTCTGAAACATTGATTTTCAATTTCCATTTTTTATTCAGTGACATCTTCACCAAACTTAAATGATAAGAGTGCAAATGCCAAGCCAGTAAATGGCGCTGTAACCAGACACGTCGGACACGCTCAGGCGCCATAAAAGAGTTACTCTGTGTGTCACATGATCGTTTCCAGAGATGCAGATAGACATCCACACGGAGATGAAATGGTCGTCATTTACAGATTTATTCACTCTCTGACCGGTTTTCAAAAAGTACCGTTTACAGTCACCTGAAACGCCGATATGACAAAAAACTTTAGCGTTTCCTCCTGAATTTGTTTCCGTGGTGACGGGTTGATACCGCCTCCAGACAGACTTTGCAGCTGGGAGTGGTTAGCTCTTTGTCCAAAACTGTAAAGTCGTACCAATTCAACACGACTGACTTTGAAATTATCGCCTTCTTTTGCAAACGCCATGTTTGTTTACACTGGTGTGTGGGAACTGGGGAGCGCTCTTGCAGGAAGGGGGAGTCTACGGTGGCCTAAAGGTGCAAGACATAATAGGGAGGAAAACCAATTAGACTAATGTGGCCATATTCGGAATCCCCAAAAAGATACGACTACGCGGGGGTGGAGTCCTGGATTTGTGCGTAGTTAATTTTGAGGTTTTCGGGTAGGGTCGGGTGTTTCTTACACACTCTCGAAACTTCCATACAAACCCGAGACATATGAAGGATTTAATGAACTTCCCGAACAGACAAGAGCGGACAGTCCCCAAAAAAGAGGACATGTCTGTGTAAAAGGAGGTAACATCGTCATAATCAAGTAATCTGATTACGATTTAAAATCAATTAACTGTACAGCCCTAATCAGAGTCTTAAATTTCCTCTCAGAGTCTCTGGTTTTGTTGACTCCAAAACAAAACCCAACCCGTTTAATCCGACAGCGTCTGCACAAGTCCTGCAAACACCCTTTAATGTGGCAGCAGTAGCGTTTGCCCACATAAAGGCCGTCATCTTCCTTAATTATCCTGCAGAACATCAACTCCAAATCAACAAACATTGCCCTTTATCTGGAAATCACTGTCAGTCTTTGCTCTTTTGCCAAGCATAAACACAGAAAATGTCAAATGTCTTGATATGTTTCCGAAATAACCAGCAGCACAATGAGACGTCTTCAATCTCCACACGATCAAAATAAACAGCTCTCACAGCGGGAGGAAGTGGTTAAAAACAGCCGCCCAGCCGGGAAGATGTCTGCAGATGGGCGGTTCGAGGACTGAAAGGGAAACGGCGCTCGGCGAAGTGATGGATGAATTAGCAGTTGGTACGGCGGAGCTCAGAATCCTCGGTGGTTTTTATGATAGTGTTAGAGTATCAGCCCTTTTGTGGATGCGGATGACAATCATGCATTTGGGAGGTAATCCCTGGAGCAAAGGTCTGGTTTATTTAACAACATCACAAAGAGCGTCTCCAAAACTAAGCGCAGCTAAGAGTCTGTATTCAGCAAATACAGTCTGAATAATGAATGCTCTCCTTTTAAAATCGTCTGCCAGATAAACAAAAGCCAGGAATGAAAGACGGCTTATCTCCGTGCCTTTGAGGTTTGCCTTCCCACACACCTTGAACACAGTTTTCATCTGACAAATCATTATTTTTTTCTCTTTCAAAAAAGGATCCAATGAAAACTACCATTAAAGGCTGTGTTATAGTTTGAATTAAAGCCATTTCAAGGATGGGTAGCGCGATCCCCCAGGCATGAATAAGCTCTTTGTGCGGCGCATGTAGACTCATTTGTTTAGCTGGTTGGGGGGTTAGACAGTACAGATTTTCTCGTGGTGTTGGAGAAAGTGGTGTTTATGAATAAGGAGAGGATTACAGGTATTACTGTTTCATGACAGTGCGAGTTTATACCGATCCACATAATTGTAGATTATTTCTCAATCTCTTCGGGAGCGTCGACGCGGCTCCCACAGGTTTGATCCTGAATGTCTCTACGTTTCACATTCTCCCAGTCATTAATGTAAATCGGATTTTGTTCTCCCGCTTAAACAAAAGTTTAATTAAAAATTAAAAAGCCACACGCTGACTCAGGGAACATATTTTGTTGCAGAATCTTAAAAGTAAGAAACATCATCCTGATTCTTTCAGTCAGGTCTCTTCCACTTCCACTCCTCGTGTGTTCACCGGATTAATGAAATTTACCTAATGAATATTCTGATCCGGTTCTGTCTCTCAGAATATTCACTGGCATGACTTGAACCTTCGATTTATGATTAATATTTATAGAGGAGCGTCAGCTGCTGTCAGCCTCGTATGAATCAACACGGCTTCAAAACTCCGGAGCACGCTGATGCGCGATAAATCAAAGAAATCTCGCCGTGATGAATAAGAACGGACGCATTTAGGAATCTGTAACATTCCTCTGTGATCTGTTAACCACATATCTAAGCCCCGCCCCTTTCTGTTGTACGTTATCAGTGAATATTAGAGAGAGAGAGAGAGTGAGAGAGAGAGCTCAGGCAGCATCCTCGCACAATAAAGCGTGCAGGCCCACACCCCACACCCACACACACACTAATACAACAGTGAGCCACTGCTCTACTATGCAACCCTCCAGAGTGTGCTTGCATGTGTGGAAGTATTTTTATCCACACACACACACACACACACACACACACACGCCCGTGCAGAGTGGTTTCCAACGCGATGTGTCAGGACAGCATCATGTCAGGGACTCAGTCAGATGGTCCTTAACGCTTCGCCCAGAGCTCTGCAGAAGGGATGTGTTTGTACCGAGCTCCGGAGGGGGGTCACGTGCTGACCTCATTGTGTGCACGAGTAAGTGCATTCTGCAGCATCAGTGTGCAGCTCCTCGCCATGTTCATGTTCAGAGAGAGAGAGAGAGAAACTCCATCAGCGTATGAGACGATTTGTTAACGGACCTCTTCTCTAGAAACGTCTTATTTTTATCCCGACACGCTTTATTACTCTTCGCCTCATCACGCCGCCGCCTGTCCCTCACACAGAGCAGAGCAGAGAGCGACGGCGGTATGGAAAAACACTTGGCGATGAGAAAAAAAGCACGCTGCTCCTCGGTAAACACTGAGGTTAATGTCTTATTTACAAGCTGCAGCCCCTCAGGCGGACATGTTGGCACAAGTGTCTCGCTGTCTTTCTCATTCAGGACAGACAGATCCATCTTCCGCCGACGTCTTCTCGGCGTCTTAGCCTTCAGAATTCCCATAACCCCCTTTTTCCTGGACCTTCAAAGATCGCAGCTGGCCCCGCTTCCTTCATCGGTACATTAACTCGCGCCCGAGCCCGAGCCCGAGCGGCTTCACTGGAGCAGATGCAGCCAGAAGAAAACAAAGCTGGCAGGCCAGGGGGTTAATCACACTCATCGAGAGGTCTGCGGCGCCGTTGCCAGGTGTGTCACACTCAAAGTACACTCAGCTTCCTTTGGTTGCTGCACTTTGACCTCTGCCTTTCACACCGAGTGCAGAATGCGTTAGCGAGCACATAAAAAGGGGGACCGTTCAGGACCCTTATCAGGATGGATTCAGTTACAGCCGATACGTTAAGTTTATAAGCGAGGCGTGCAGGAAGGACAGGAAAGGAGGATAGAGGAGACTAAAAGTTCAAAAGGTTTTTGTTTTCCAGAAATTTAGTCACAAAACACGGCGAGGATTTTCCCTTTGAATCCTGCACGCCATCCCTGATGTCAGAAACGAACCGTGCGTCGTTGATATTTTTTAATTTCTGATCAGTTCCTGTTTCAACTCTCTGATATTTGATTTAACATCACGTCCCAGCATGTGTCCGCTCTTTTTCCCGGTAATCTGTTACACCGTACGTGCAGCCTGCCTACACGCATATTTGTCAGAACAACATGTCCTCCCCTCCCTCCCTCCCTTTGCTGGATTGTGACATTTGTATTGTTACTCAGATGGTATTGCTTGTGACAGATTGTGTTTGAATAATGCCAGAACTGTGCATCAATATGCCCGTGAGATTTCCCTCTATGCCGCTCCTCGCCAGCTTCCTGACGTTGTTTGCATTTTTAACCAGCGGGGAGTAGAACTTGTTTCTTTAAAAAGAAATCACGAAGAAGCGGCGCTGGCATCTTCCGCTCATTAGAGGACGAGTTTGATACCTCCTCAAGAACATCAAGGTTGTCTCTTGGCTTTGTATCATCACAAAAAACACACAATGTGGAAATATTCCTGTTAGTGTTGGCGTGGTTAAATTCCTGATAAGTCTCCTACATGCTTCTTGTTTGTGCGGTAAAATGCCACTTCCCTCTTTTGAAGGCGTCTCTGCAGAGAAGACACAGCTGCCTGCTTAGATAGCTAATGGCTGTGTTTTGTGCTGCAGAGCTGTGAGCCCAGTGTGGTGTGATGGCATTTGTTCTGTCTGCCAGAGGCTCGCCCTGTCATTGTGGATCAGGCCGGCTAGTGGCCGTGACTCACGCGTGAACCCTGTGGGTGCTGCAGCTCACCGAGGAGACGCAGGAGTTTAACGTCCAGCGCTGGGAATCACATATGTGGAAGGGCGAGGTCAGGGGACGAGGAGGAAGAAGAGGAAGAGGAAGAGGGTGTTAGTTATGAAAAAAAAAAAATCATCATTTGCTGTAGTTTCCTCCTCAGTTCGGTGGCACCTGCTAGGGCTGGGCGATACGGCCTCAAATCAGGACCAAAATCGTCAAAGAGAATAAATTATCTGATTACAGTCGGCTGTATTTGGTGATATGGCTCTGCCCTGAGAGCTCCCTGCTCTTCCACATGTGTATGTCGAATGTAGGGCTGGGCGATACATCCTTAAATCAATATCACGATATATTGATCAGTTCACCTCGATAACGATAAATGGACGGTAACTACTCCACAAGCTGCTCACCTTCTCCCACATTAACTTTGTTACGGACAGGATGGGGTGGAGTCACGTTTCTGACGTAGGACAGCGTCTTAAAGGGACATGAGACTATAGCCTACCTACACACTTCCGAAACCAACTTTGATTTGTTTATTTATTTATGTTTTACATCAAATATACCGTTGTGGGCAAAGTGACGTAGGTTATTGTTGTAAATTTCAGTATTGGTAAATTTTCGGTTTATCGCCAAGCCCTAGATTATAATAAAAGGTTACAGAATTCAGAGTTTGTGCCTAAATTGTCAATGTTTTAAATCCTGTCCTAGTATGATAAGACCGCCTTATTTTGAGGGGACATCAGCTGATCATCGTGTAAATAATGTCTCTTTAACCTCTGGAAATAAACAGTGAGGTGCTGAGGGCGGCCCTAGAAACGAAGTGGGGTGATATTCGAGGTTGATACAAAAGCAGGAGGACCAACTTTTATCTATTTATCTTTTTGACACTGAATATACTAATATGGGCAAAATGACGTCGGTTATTGTCGTAAATTTCTTTATCTGTAAATTTACGTTTTATCGCCCAGCCCTAGTACCTGCTTCCTTTGATTTCTCTTGATTTACTCGATCTGTTCAGACACGGGCCTCTCCTTTTCTTCATCTGCTTAGTCACTCTGCAGCTCATCTCCCTCTTCTCTCTGTTTGTATCCACAAATTACTGTTTTTCTGCTGCTGCAAACTTTAACCTCAACACTTTGTACGCTTGTAGAAGATTTTCCCATGAGAGAGAGAGAGAGAGAGGGAGGGAGAGGGAGGCAGCCTTTGGAAGAGGAAATATCAAAGCTTTCATCACCCGGGCTGGTTTGCTTTTTTTGTATTTTGTGACCTAATGATAAAGAACAGCAAAACAAATATTTACATGAATAAAAAGTCACAGGTAATTACTCTTCAACCCGCTCCTTTGCTTGCGTTTCTGCTCCATCTCCGTCTCATATCCATCAGACAGAGCGCCCCCCTTCTCTGTGGCCGTTGTATAACATCGTCTATCACCCCTCGGCCTTTGTTCAGCATCCTGTCTGGTACGGGGGGCGGGCAGCCAGAGAGAGGGTGGCATTCTGTTTGACGTGCCGATGCACATGTTAAATGACAGTGACACAAAGAGGAGGCCCACCATGCAGGTCCTGACAGGGCTGTTTTCCATAGAGCCCAGGCTTGACTTGACTTAAAGGCCCAGCCCAAAATCAGATTACAGCCCGGCTCCTGACACCTCTCTGGCTCACTTTTCATGTTTGTAATTTCCCTCGATAGGAAACACTTTTCTCCTGAGATGATCTGACTGCTGGTTGACAGATTTCAAATGGTCTTTGAAGCTCTCAGGGGGGGGTTTCTTTGCCTTTGGCGAGCTTCAGATGTACTTTTGTTGACACTTAAAAACTACTAAAGTTCCCTTTTAGTTTGAAAGGATTAAACTTTTCGGTTTGTTTTTAATAAAAACACTAATTTGACTCGTTTTTCCTTACATGTAACTCCAACTGTTTGTCCTCCTCGTGTGTCCTGAAGCCAGAAACTGAACTATTGTCACTACTCTCATTGTACTCTCTCTGGAGAAGAGCGCTCGCTGAATGCCTGAAGAGTAAATGTAATGATAATATTCATCTTGGCATTCCTCTTTGCGTGTATCAATTTCCTTAGATGCCTCGGAGCAGAACTGCTGCACAGGACTCTTTTGTAAAGCGCTGAATATAATTTACATTCGAACCTGCAGTCACGTATTGATACACAGACGTGACATCTCGCTGTTGTCGGATTACACCGTCCTACCTTATGCAATCTTGTCTTTCTTGCTCGGCGTGTCTGCTGGTTACAGTTTCACCTTTTAAAGGTGTTATTTTGTTGTTCTGTACACTTTGGTCTCCGCTGCTGCTCCTAGAGCCGGACGATAAATCGGATTTTAATCGTGATTTTGATTTTGGCTTCTCGTGATCATAAAAACATTACAGTCGAAGAAAAACCATCAAGTGTGTGACATGTCTGGATCAATAATATGAGGAGCAAACGATAAGCAGGCCAAACCTGTAGGTGGCAGTGAAGTGAGAAGCTCAAGCCCACGTTAGCCAATCAGAATCCCGCATAGCAGCAACAACAACAACGTCACTGCCTACTTTTGGAAAAGATGCAAATGCAAACAAATACAAAGAGATTGCACAAGCATAAATGCGACTGCTATTCTGCATGCATCCGTAATCACCAGAGATTGTAAAAGTAAACTGTAGATTGTAAACAACGTTGCATTTAACCCAGTTTCCGGCGCACAATCTGCTGTCGGCTACCCAAATATCTGTTTACTTTCGTTTACATGCAAACGGAATTTTTTCTAAATCTCCACTCTCGAGTTTTTAAAGACCATCGTTCTCAGGAGCAAATTCTCTGTTTGCATGTAAACGAAGGGTGTAAACGATGGTTAAAGTCTCCATTTTAAAAAATAACGTATAAATGGGGCCTGAGAAAAAAGCAGGGACAGCCTCAGTTATCTGGAAACATTTTGGCTTCAGTTTGACGGACATTGAGCAAAAGGAAATTGTTTGCAAAGTTCGTCACACTGTCATTTCGGCTCCCGATGACAACACGACTTCAGGGTTTCCCCTATGTGTTGTTGATCGCCATGGCTAAAAAAAAGCCACCAAACCTTAAATATTAGTTTATTTATCTATTTATGTGGCTCTAACTCGGACTTGTATGTATCGGAATAATGTGCGTGCACATTGGAGCTGAGTATTAGCATTAGCGAGTTATCGTCGGCAATCTCAGAGCTGATTAATTTTAATTTTTTTACTTGTTACTAATTTATTTCTGGCTGTTTTTTAAGTTATTTTTAAAGTTAAGTTTTGGTGGTTCAATAAATACTCGAAGTTTGAAATCAATGATTAATCCTGTTTATTCATTTTTTATCAAAATAATCATGATTATTATTTTTGCCGTAATCCTCCAGCCCGAGCTGCTCCCACAGACTCTGCCTCCCACACGTCCGAACATCTGAACACATTTTGATGATCAAAAGTCCTTTTGGGCAGATCCATCACAATGTGTTGGAAATGATGTCCGGCCTCAAAAAGAGAAGAATTACATTAATGGTCTCATTTCAAAGCTCTCTCTCTCTGTGAATCTTTGAAGTGCGGTCAGTCTGATTGTGGAGGATCCATTAGCAGGAAGGAAAGCTCGCCCTGATTTGCCTCCAGTAAAATAAATGAAATATAAATGGGGGGTATTTATAGATCTGAGGAGGCTCGCTGAGGATGTTCAGATAAACCAGATCAAAGCTGAGGCTGTGCCGTTACTCACGCACAGGTGACTGATTCTCACCCGGGAACAGACAGGTTAGAGCGTGTGCGGCGCTAATCATCATCATCATCATCATCATCAGCTGTTCTTGCTCATGGGATCAGCTGTGTCCGGTGTCGCCTCCAGGTCTGAGGTCACTTTATTTGTCAGCGGGAGGTCTGGGAAACTTTTAATGCAGCAGATTTATCTCGTCTGAAGGTCGAGGCCACGGGGTCGGAACAAAGTGATAATTTCAGGGTGGAGTTTTAACACTGCAAACGAGAAATCCGCCTTTGTTTGACAGAGAATAAAACTCAAATACTCTTAAAGCAACTCTTAGTTAAAGAAAGAATGACTGACTTACATAAATCAGATCACTGAGACATACATGTCGATACAAGTCGGCGTATTTCCTGCAGATCTTCCTCTGTACAGATAAGCGCTGAATGATTTAACTTGAATTTCTGAAGAAATGAAGCAGAAACGAAGAAGAAAATGCAAAAAAAAATACTTTTGTTTTTGTTTCTGAGTTTGATTATTATCATGAAGTATCTACCTTTTTATTATCCTGAATTTAAGGCGTTTACAGGACAAGTCAACCATCAACTAAAACCGAGTTTTAAAGAAAAACATCTCAGATTTTAAAGCTCCAGTGGGGAACTTTCCGTCTGTGTCTCCGGTGGTCCAATAGCACGACTTCTTTTATGACTCACAGCATCAAACCCCCCCCAGTTAGGAGTCTCTCTGAGCTTTTGAGGCTTGAATAGAGACGCATTGACACTCAGGGCTCATAAACCTGTCATTATCTCAAAGGGTTAACGCAGCCAATGAGAGGAGGAGGGGTCGGCAGTCACAAAACAGGTTGTTTTAACTCGTCACAGACGGGCGGACTCCTTTTGTTCGGCTCTGAATGGATGTACTTGTGTCTTAAAAGGCAGACTGGGTTTGTGCGTCAGTGTAGAATCTCCGTCTAATGGCAGCATTTCTGACACCATCTCTGCGATAACACAACTCAGCTCCACACTCGCCATTAGTATAGATCTGGATTTAGTGTACAGCCTGGTGATTCAGAGAAAAAAAGGGTCTTTGTATCCCCAGAGAAGCGCAGAAACTGCTGGTGTCCGCTTTAGCTTTTAGCCGCCTAAACGTCTGACATTTCCTGTTGCATTAGCAGCTCCTCTGTAGCTTTGTGGACTGCAGGGACATAAAACAAGAGATACTCGAGAGTTAGTCGCTCCAGGTCCTGCCAAAAATTGAACTGCCCATTGAAATGTTGAGAAACTAAACACCATTAATATCCCGCTCGCCGCAGAAGAAACGCTGACTCATCTGAGGAGGCCTCGCTCTCCTCCTTATGGCGGGAGTTTTACGGTTTTATTCGCGGGGCCTTCTGTCGTTTATTTTTACTTATAACCCAGGGAGACTTTGGAGTCCGGCTTTTCTTCAGCCCTGCACCACCTGATCCCTCAACTGTAACTGCATCCCTCCTTACACCTTCATCCTCTGCTGCAGAGAGCTGAAATTTCATCTCTCTCTCTCTCTCTCTCTAGTGATCGTGTTTTTATACGCCGCCGCTGCTGCACACCTCCTCATTTACATAAAAAGACACACGCCGAGCGGTAAATGATGTTTTAAGAAGAAAACTATCTGTAGTGACAAAGACATCTATGAAAAAAAAGTGAGTTTTTTCTTTCAGGGAATGAGGGTTTTGTAAATTTGTGTCGTGGTGCTCTAATAGGCGACAGGTGAGAAGCGCACCGCCGAATGCAAGCTGTTTCCTGTGACAGCTTCATCTGTGAAACCATATTCTCCAAGGACTCAAAGCCTGCCCAGGGATCACTGAGACCGTTTAAGATTACATGTCTGCTGGCAGGGAGCAGCAGATAGGTGAAAATAATTGGCTTTGTCACCATCCTGCTTTCCCCTCCCCCACCTGAGTTTGACGACAAACAGCGACACGTTGAGGTAGAAAGAACCCGATCCTCCTGAACATCCACCTGAGAAGTACAGCGGCCGTGTTACCCGGCTCCTGTGGCATATAATCAAGAGTGGGAACCCTGCTGCCCCCCGCTGATTGGGTGTAAAAGAGGTTGCAGACCTAGTTTTATGCAATTAGTGGAGGAATGCCAGACGCTAATGGAACACAGAAGTGTTGGCAAAGCATTATGATAGGAGTGTCGGGGCCACGGCGAGTAAAAAAAAGAGGACATTTGCCCAGAGGAAGAGCAGCTCTGTACAGTATCTGAAACAATCAAGTGGAAAAGACGTGGGGGAAATTACCCACACAGCAGGCTTTTGGGGAGGGGCATTGTGGGAAAGTGAGGCTTCTTAGTGAAACATGATAAATATCGGTGAAGTTATGCAGATGGTGAGGCGCAGGGGAGCGCTCTGAAGGGGAAACAATAGTGAAAGGGTTTTTTTTCTGTCGCAATTAAGCCCTAATTTGTGTTGACGGCGTGCACCATGTTGATGAAGACTCTCCGCCCAATCTGATTGGTGACAGCAGAGGGGGAGGAGTCCTTTTGTGTCGACACAAAGCATCTCAGAGAGAGAAAAACGCATCCAAGCATCAAAGTCCATGGATGACTGACTTAAATGTGATGTGTTATATATATGTACCACAGAGAAAGATGTGCATCTAAAAGGCAGCGCTGAAGTTCACAGTGTGCTCAATTAGACTCCGAGTGCTCATGTGTGAGTCATTAAGCTTGTTTATGTACCTTAGCAGTAGGAAGTTAGCATGTTGAGGTTGTTGGGTTTATTATTTTTTAATGTCAGACTGTAGGGGCGGGCGATGAGCCACAAACATCCAAGTCTGGATTTGATCAGTTCCCCTGATTTTAAAGCTGGTTTGGAAGTTTATGAAAAACTGATTTTCTGTGTGTGAAGTTAGCAGGGTGCTAGTCCAGGCAAGCTGCAAAAGTAAAGTGCAGCAGCTCCTCCTTTTTATGTTGTGTCTGATTTTATGGTGTCGTATATATACCTACTTTGTTTCTAGAGCAGCCCTCAGTACCTCACTGTTTATTTCTAAAGAATTTAAGAGACGTTGTTTACACGGTGATCAGATAATATCCCCCCAGAAATCCCCCCGGTGCAGTAGAAGAAGCAGGTAACATTAAAACAGTGACAATTAAGGCTGAAACTCTGAGTTATGTAACCTTTTATTATTTAATCCACGGAGGCTGAATCTAGTAGAGTTATGTCTCCTTTTCTAAGACTCATATCATCTTTTGATTTAGTCATTGCACCCCGTGTGTCGACTGTGGTCTGCTGCTTTCAAGACTACTGATTCTAGTGATTCAGTACATCTAAAAGAATCGCTGTGCCCATCACTACTATCCCCTAACGCACATAATTGTTCCGTGATCGTCCTCTCTACTTCTCCAAGTCTGGCCTGTATAGTGGGGCTCTGGGGGCGGAGCTTAGAGTTGTGACATAAGAAATCTCACTGTATCTGAGCCTCCTAGAGATTCACAGTGATTTGAATGCAGATTTTTGCACTTATTTTTCTCGTGATATGTCCTGTAGCATCAGAAAAATGAATATATGAACACGTAGATGACAAGAAAAACATGATTACAGTGTCATAATACGGCGGAGTCACTTGATGTAGTGGACGTGCCGTTTGTTTGACCCCGGCTCTTTATCTGCGCTCTCGGTCCGTGCATTATAAATACAACAACAGAAGTGCAGCAGATGACAACAGGATGAGATGATATCATGATCTCTGTGGATTTACAGATTGTGGACATGCTCTAATCCTTCATGATCTAATGTTGTCCTGATGCAAACCCTTTTATTTTATGCATTTTTCCTCGACTGGAAACCTTATCGATCGTTGTGTTTGTTGGTGTTTAATCATCTCTGCGTGGACTTGTTGTGAACCTCAAGATGCAGGATGTGGTTTCCGGATGAAAGCGAGAATGAGACCTCGCCCCGCCAGAGCAGCTTGATAATGAAGAGTGTTGTGTATAAAACAGAGCTGCTTAAACTGTCAGTGTTTTATTCATGTGTTGTCTGTCAACACACTCTCATACAACGAGCAGGCGCTGCAGAAATAAAGGTGCACCGTGGGACAGCAGTGCTTGTTCAGCAGTAAGTCGGGTTCAGGTGCACAGCACTGATGGCTTCTTCGGGCCCCTGTTAGCGGAGCAATTAGAAAGCACAAAGCATCCTGGGTAACATGAAAGCGGTGCAGAGTTCTCCTGTACAGATGCCCTGAGTTAGAGGGGATTGTGTTATCGCCACCTCCGCACCTCCAGGGATGTCCTCCTCCCTTTTTTCCCCCGAGCTGCCAAAGTGTCACCGGGACTCCTAAATAAATGATCACTATATGCACTTACCAGATGACAGCTCTGCATTCCCCCCACCCCGTCAACACTCGTCTCCTGGAAGTTCAGGTTTGAGCTGTGACAGGAAGGACAAGTCTGCGCCTGTACCTACATCGCCGAAAAACCAACCGTCTCCCAGAGCCACTGTTGAAACAATTACTCATAATTCCAGGAGCTCAGCCCTCTGAATAGAGCTGTTGTTCTGTTGCCATGTGACTACTCTTCACATGAGTCACTCTTGATACTCCTGAACCCTGACATCGGTTCACACACACATTTTGACGGAAGGAGGAATCAAAGTGTCACCTGTGAAGAGAAGAAAAAAAAAAAAAGAGGTTTGTGTTTGAGAAGAAACCAAACAGATGGGCGAGCGGCGAACGCACCCAGGCTCCATTATTGCCTCTCTGTTTCCCCCCAGAGGCTCAGCGTCCTTGGTGCAGATGTTGAGACTTCATGTGTGGTTTTTAGAGCTTTTTCATGGCCTTTCAGACTCGCTGCTCCTGCGGGATAATGGCAGGGGATGGGCTCGCTCTGAGTGGCTGTCAAACCTTTGCAGCTTGTTTGCACAGAGCAGAGAGTGAGACGTGTTCGGCTGGCAGCGGCGCTCGCTGGGGTTTCAAACGTCTCATCTTGGCCGTGTCGTGGTTAGTGAAATGTGTAGAAATTATATGTGACTCTGGCCAGAGAGTAAGCTGCTGCGGCGGTGGAAGCGGCCACACCCGACTCCTCGCCCACATGTCTGCACCGACAAAAAAAAAGAGGAAGTAGAAGCAGAAGAGAGAGGGTGACATCAGCTGTGGACCGAGCTGTTGAACCGGTCTGTGGACGGGAGTCGTAATCTAGAAAAGCCGTTAAACTCACCCTCAGGTGGTTTGGACTGGAGTGTGTGTACGTTTGTCAAAGATGGAGTGTTTGCTCAGTGTGCATTTCCATTAGGGATTTGTTTGAGTTCGGGAGACATGTATTGAGTGTGTTATTTAGACACTGTGCGAACGCCGGGGATTAGTTAGCCCGAGTTTGCACAAGTCCAACCTGCCATCGTTAAATAGGGTCACAGATGTGTCGTATTACAGAGGGGCGATGATAAGCCCTCGAACAGAGAGTCGGCTGTGTCTCCTGGAGAACATGGATATGAAGGGAGTAACAACCTTAAGGGAATACGGAGGTTTTAAAGGTGCAGCAGTACGAACGGGAGGAATAGGGCTGCATGATAAATCGATTTTATCGGATTATGTGATGATGATGATGTTAAAAAATTAAAATCCTCAAATCGATTCCTACACACATCAGTGTAAACAAACATGGCGTTAGCAAGAGAAGGCGATAATTTTGTGGCTAAATCGGACAAGAGCGAGTCAGTCTTGTTGAATTGGTACGACTTCACAGTTTCTGACGAAGAGCAAACCACTCCCCGCTGCAAAGTCTGTCTGAAGGCGGTATCAACCCGTCACCACGGAAACAAATTCAGGAGGAAACGCAAAAGTTTTTGTCGTATTGGCGTTTCATCTCTGGAAACGATCAAGTGACACACGGCGTAACTCTTTCATGGCGCCTGCGCGTGTCTGGCAAAAAACAACCTTTATACACACGCTCTGTACTCTTCTTCAACGTTACAGCGCCACTTACTGGCTTGGCATATGCACTACATCGAAGCAGATATGATTGAAAAACCTTTTATTAAAGTGAAGTTTGGTGTGAAGTTGTCACTAAATAAAAAAATCTAAAATGTAAAAATGGAGTTTCGTGCAGCCCTAGAGAGGAATGATCTCACTGTGTCTCCTCAGCTCACCCACCGTCCGCTCAGTTACACGCCGTACCTTAAAAAAACGTGATCTGAAGGTGCAGATATTTAAGCTCCACTGAAGTCTCTTTGAACCAAACTCAGACTATTTTTAACTCTGAAGTCTAGACGTCGTTTTTGACCTGCCAATCACCAAAAACTAAATCCAGACTCTCCTCTCACTCCCACCAACTTTTAAGCCGTATTTCGCCGCTTTAATTATCCGAGAAACTTTATCCAGTACCTGATTTAAGAGCAGTACAATCATTATTTGTGTCTTCAAAGTGTTTCATGACACCAGCAGCTCTGCATAGATCTTCTTCTCCTGCTCCTGCAGACGGGCCGCTGTGAACAAACGTGTCTTAATGTGAGAGCGGGGGGATCAGCGAAGGAGCGGCTGCGTTTTAATAGAACAGTTAAAGAGGAGCCAAAGGCAACAGGAAAACATTAAGTCACTTCATTATATCCAGTCTGCTGCTGATATGTTTACCTGAGACGTTCACTCGGACAAAGTGAGGAGAAAAAACACAATGGCTGTCCTTCAGCGCTGGAGGATTTAATAAGGACGAGTTTTTCCCGTCGGGACCGCAGACGTGTTTATTTCTCCGTTTTTTTAATGTCACTTTAACGTTTCTCTTCAGAGCTGAAAGACGTGAACGTGTCTCCCTGACAGATGAAACTCACACGACTTCAATGTGCCACTTACACCTTTCAATTTTGTGCTTGAACTCCAATTTAAAAAACCATGCAGCTTTTGAAAGCGGGATCATTTCTGACACCGTTTCCTCGCCATTCTGAAATCTCGCAATTTCAAACCGCAGACGATGAAGCGGCCTTATCACAGCAGCCAGACCTCTCTCCATCTGCCGCTGTTAGCTCTGCTCCTCTCTCTCCTGTCTCATTCATAAAGTCCACTTCAGATTTATTAGCCTTAATAGAAACTCTTTACATTCGATGTATCATATTTTCTCAAGTGCGTGTTGTGACTTCTGGCTCCGGAGCCACTTCCTGCAACAAGACGCCCTCTGAGCGCCGCTGTATTGACCTCCTCTGAATGAAGCGAGGCCTCAGCTCTGAGTGATTGAACACGGAGAGAGGAGAAAACACAAGCGGACGAGCGCTTCGAGGTTTTTTTTTTTTGCACCGAGCGATTATTGTTCTCATGTTTTATTGGGTGAAATTATTTAGCATGCTGCCTGCAGTTTAATAAACATGTGAGTATTATAATCCTTCGGGCTGTTTACTCGGTCTTTTTACACCCACAGTACACGGCGTCATTCCTCCTCAGTGGCACATCTGGTGTGTGCATCTGTGAAGCGGATGCCGAGGCTGGGAACCAGGTGTGCCGCAGAACGAGACCCAGAGTATCACACAGAGGGCTCGTGTTTTCATCCTCGCTCGCTCACTGATGACGATGACTGCAGTGGTTTTTTTCTGCAGGTAGAGCTCTGTAAACATGTTGACCTTTAGACTCTGATTTCATAGACAAAAGCTTGTTAAACCTCCTCATTGTTTGTTTATTTTGGTGCTTATTTAACTCTCTTTTTTAAACCAAATGGAGTCTTAATGCTCTTAAAATCCTTCCAGCTCAGCCTCATCCTGAAGGAAAGCATCATTTCTCTGTTTCTAGAAGATTTGAATCCACAGACGACATGTCGGCTTCGTGCTGCGCTGCCTAAAACTCACGTCAGTCGTTAGACAGCAAATTCAGGAATATGTGACTGCAGCATTAAAATGATCAGAAGACGGCTCTTAATACAAAGCTGTGTGGCAGGACTAAATACTGCACACCATGCTGATGCAACTGAGTGCTTCACACAATGAAGCCCAATGCAACCTTAGAAATGAGGCTGATGTGATGGTGCTAAAAACTGTCGTTCCCCTGAGCGCAGCGACCTTGTGCACACTGACTCAAGAAGGCGCCGCTTTAGAGCGAAAAACACGGCGGTTTTGGTCTGCAGAGTTTAATTCTCAGTTTATTTGAAGATTTTAAGGTTTCAAGTTTGGAAATTTGGAGGCACAGCTGGGACACATCGCAGACTCCGCCTCTTTGCCCAACGATAAGTCGACTGACAGAAACAAGATCTCATCCTAGTCTTTACCCGGTCCAGCTACAGAATCCCCCTCTCGCCACACCCTTGTGCTTCCTCAATACTCCCTAAGAACAGTTTGTGATTGGACATTGCCTTACCTATTAACCTGTTAACACGCAGCGCTGGTCTGTGCTGCTGACCCCGATGCTTCACATCACCATATTCTACCTCTCTTAAAGGAGATAGGGCGGATTGACTTCGCTCTACCGTTATGACTCTGCAGGTTGTAGATAAGCTGTAAAAAAAGGAGTAAATCAATCCCGCCTTGGAATAAGAGCTTTAGATAGAGTCTTTGTAGCTCCACCAACAAACCGCCAAGACCTCTGCACTCAGTATTATGCACGTTTGTGTTCCAGATCTTTCCTCAGAAGCTAGTAGCCTTGTATTCTGATGTGAAGTGTGCTCTATGCATCGCCCTACAGTCTTGTGTTATGGGCTTCAGGCACGTGGAGACCACGAGGCGATTGGCAGGTGTAGCCAAGCAACAGAGCTGAGGGTGTGAAGGTCATGTGTCAGGTGGATGACGGCCGTCCTCCGTCACTTTCTGCAGTTATTACTTGTGCACCGAACAAAGGGCAGAAAATTGCACAAATCGGACGGTTACTTCACGTTTGGCGTCACTGTATGCCGTCTAAAACGGCTCTGCAGCTTCTCCTTCCACTCGCAGCCATAAGCTGTAGATCTTCTCCAGCCGTGGAGTGCGTCTTAATTTCCTTTGAAGACGTGTTTTGTCTCTGAAGGACCACACATGCATGTCTTTGAATACAAGCCGTGTTTACAATCAACAGCTCCCTCAGCTCTGACATGTTGGTTTTTTTAGTGACGGCGTCTACGGAGACATTCCAGCGCGTGTTTACACAACACACCAGGAGCCGGGCTCCGGCATGTTTGCCGTTAATATGTGCATAAAATTAATTGAAATGTAGGTAAAGATTGCAGAATAACTGTGCACACATTACATGATAAATCTACATTTAACTGGATGGGGCCTCACAGTCCTTTAATTAGCTTAATTAAATCATTCAACTGTGTTTTCAGCGCGCTCTATAAATAAGCCAAATTTTTATTCAGCTGCTCCTCAAGGATATTTTCTGCTGCTTTGGTTCCATAATGCATTCCTAAGCTGTGCACTGATGCTCGTATGAAAATTTGATGCACTACACGCTTGGTTCTCCTCCATGGCTGCACAGACGCAGAACAAGCCTCTCTGCTTCCCTCATCCCTATTTGATCTGTCGCCCCAGATGTTCCTCTGCCGCCTGTCCTCTGCATCCTCCACCCTCAGCTCTTCCAGTGTGCAGAAATTTAGACTCGCAGGCTTATGTGCGCCCGGGTAACATCTGAGGAGGGGAGCTTACGTGTCGTCGTCATGGAAAATTCCCCCTGGTTTGACCTCTGAGGTGTCGGGATGTGTGGAAGTGCTGCTTGGTTCTGAATGCTTTTAAGAGACTTCCTCGGGGAGAGCTGCAGCAACACTGTCCTAAAATGCTCTCAAAGAAGGACTGTGGTCACTTTTTATGACTCTTTTCCCCTTGAACCACTTAATCCAGAGGGAATATTTACTTTAGAATATGGTAGGGCTGAGCGATAAACCGGAAATTTACAGATACCGAAGTTTAGGACAATAACAGACGTCATTTTGCACATTTAGTTTTTTTGACACCAAATACACCGATAACACTTAATTTGACTCCTTTCTCTATAATGCATCATAAATATATGTATAATGCATCATAATTATGTTATAACACTGTATAACTAGAGTTATAAACACTCATAAATAATCATAATGCTTTATAACAATAATCATAACACATTATAAAGCATTTTATCATGACTTACAAGGTCAGGTATTATAGTGTGTTATTACTGTTAACAACTCACTGATAATGCCCACATAGATAATGCATTATACATATATTTATGATGTGTTATAATGGTCTTGTATAAATATACTTATAAACACTAATTAAGTGTAATAGGGATTTATAACAATAAGTATAACATATTATGACACCTGATCTTGTAAGTCATAGTAAAATCCTTTATAATGTGATATAATTATGTGATATGATCATTTATGAGTGTTTATAACTATAGTTATACAGTGCTATAACGTGATTATAATGCAACATTAAAGTGTTACCTAAAAAATAAATAAATCAAAGTTGGTTTTGGATGTGTGTAGGTAGGCTATGGTCTCATGTCCCTTTAAGACGCTGTCCTACGTCAGAGACGTGACTCCACCCCATTCCCAAGAGGAAAAGACAGATAAGTAGATGGAGGACGGTTCAAAAGTTGTAGCAGCTGAAGGAGACAAAGTTAATGTGTGAGTAGCTTGTGGAGTAGTTATCGTTTATTTATCGTTATCGAGGTGAACTGATCAATATATCGTGATATTGATTTGAGGGCTCGACTGTGCGACCGTTTCACTCGCATTTGCGACCAAAAATAGATGTGTGCGAATTGAAGAATGTATTTAGGGGCACATGTGCGCATAAAAAAATCAGCGGTGGCAACAAACGTTTTTTGATAACAGAAACTGATATCTGACGGACATTCGCTGCGAATCTACTGGTGTCTTCTCACTCTCCATAACCGAGAATATCAACAGCAGCATGGTGAAATCTACTCGACACCCTTGCTGTCAAGGTCAGGTGTTGAATAAGGGACCGTCAATAAATTACCGGTCAATGTTCTTAGAAAAGGCTGTTTTCCTTCAATAGGTGACCAAATGTTGTGTGACCAAAAGACCTAAAATTGATTTCACATTGTAGTTTTTATGTGGACCAATAAGACAAACATTATCTGATCAGTTTTCATTCTTAGTGTTCTTCTTGGGAGCACATGTGAAAAAAGTTAGTGTCCAGCCCTGAATTTGAGGCCATATCGCCCAGCCCTACATCCAGAATACAGAGAAATAAATAGTTAAAGTCTCTCGAAGAAAATCCCCTGCGCCTTTCCATCATCAGGTATCTAATTGTTTACTGTGTGAGTGTTGCATATTCACAAGGTGGAGGAGAGTATCTCTAAACACATAAAAGCAGACAAAGGAGACAGCAAATAGTAGCAGTGTCTGATAAAATGAATCTCGGAGGAATAGAAGTGCTCATCTGTGTCCTTTTCATCCCACAGTTGGTCTATTTTTGTGTCTCAGTGTGTCTTTTCTTCTCAAACTCCCCCGCCTTGTCTCTTTATGCCGTCCCTGAGCTCTTTAATAGTAGTGGGCTACTCTTCTCCTCGGCTGCTGTGTTTGGGTAGAGTGAGAGTGAATGAAAAGTAAAACAAAGATCTTTCCCTTTCAGGAGGAAAAACAGGCGTGCAGGTTTTTCTTTTTCTTTCTCTTTTTTTTTTAAACTTTTGTTTGTCTGTATTTTTCTGTTTCTGCTGTCAGCGGCTCCTCGGAGGAACTGCTTCATGCCTGTGGAGCATGCAGAGCGGCCGTATATTCAGTGTAAACATGTCAGAGCCCAATCTCAGGGTGATAGCCTCGGCAAGGGCAGTGAAGGACACACACTAACACACTACGACACAGGCTGCTACACAGTAACGCTGCTGGTTTCACCTCGGCTGAATTTATTGAATAGTTGGACACGATGAAAGTTAAATGTATCTGGCCGTTGTTTTTATTCATTATTAGCTCTGGGTTTAGAGGCGGGCCATTTCAGGTCAATGAATTCTAATAGAGTAAACCTGATTTTCTCCTGCTTTAATCCTGTCTGTGGGTGTTTGAATCCTAACGACTCTTACAGTAAAGAGCCGAATGCAGAATATTCTGCTAATTTCCAGAGCGTGTCTGTAATCTGGATTTCGCGTCCTTTTAAAGGGCATCTCTGCTTTTATACTTCGATTGCCGCAATCCTCCGAGAAAGAAGAGAAATAACCATCAGCCCCTCGCTTCGCGGCGTGCTGCTATGATAAGAGGGAAATGTGGGAAAGTGTCATGCAAGTACTCGACAGCAACATGTCGGATTGCGTCAAATGTCAGCCCAGCGAAAAATAGAAATGTCAGTTCGCTGTGTGTCAAATTGTTGCCTCAGATGCGGAGCGAGCGCCGAACGCTGCAGCTTTCTATAATTCATGGCACGGTTTTTAGGATTGTTTTTACTTATAGTGACATGTACTGGACTGACCTGAGCCTGTGAAACGTCCCACACTCCCCGCTCTTCCTCCTCCTCCTCCTCTTCCTCGGACTTGGCTCACTAACTCTGAATCCAGCGCTCAGGGTTGGAGCGAGGCCGGATGATTAAAACACCATCATTAGTTTGGCATTGTGATCATCTTTAGAGCATTTAATACGGGAAGCTTTCAGACTTTATGAGTTAGAAATAATATTCTCATGAGTTAATTTATCCCTCTGGCATTCACAGTCTGCAGGGCTTCAGTCTGGGGTCTTTTCTAAATAAATGCCTCTGTTTATGATCCTCCTGAATTCTCGCTCAGCGCAACTATCCTCCACAAGATTATAATGAACTCTCTGTGCGTGATCGGACCAACTTTGGTGGACCAGACCTGATGGTGTCTCACATTTAGGACAAAAAACTGATGGATTAAAATCAATGCAAGAGACAAATACTGGATAGAGGATGATCCTGATCACAGTCTACTTCTGGACTAGTTTTTACGGGGCGTTCACACCAAGGACGAATAAAATCGACTAGCTTAATTCGTGCATAGCTAGACGCACGAATGAAAAGTATTTACTCGCTTCATTCGCGCGAATGACTTGGTCTATTCGCGAGGATCAATTAGTCCATTTGGGCGATTAGGGTGTCAACGGACTGCTTAAAAGCTGTGGATCGCTGTTTGTGCCAACAAACAGTGATCGTTGCAAATTCAACCGGCGGGATCAAGTGATAGACAACAGTTTTCCACAACTAACAAATAATCCGACCTCCTCACTCCCTTTCCTCCAGCCGTGGATACGAGAGAAGGCGGAGAGTCTCCATCAAGCATGGTAGGAGTGAACCACGTTCAGCAGATCTCTGTTTTGTTTTTGTTGTGGAAGGCCCAAAACCCTGAGAGATGTAGGCGTGTCTGAGTCTCCTCCAATAGCTGCGCCGATTCCAGCTGTATTTTTGGGTTACCCAGTTTGACAATCTGTTGGTGAGGGTCGGTGCCAAGATATCCCTCCAGGATAGAGCTGCAGAACATCTTTTGGTCTGTTTTTATACATCACTTGGGAATCTTCATGCTGATTGGTTAACGTGACGCGAATATACGCTCAAGTTGCAACATTTTCAACTCTAGCGAATTCGTGTCATTTGCGCTAATAATGCAAATTCGCATCATTCGCGCGAATGACTCGCTCAATTCGCGTTATTCGCGCGAATGATTTTAATCGCGCTTGGTGTGAACGCCCCATTAGAAGTTTACACTTGCAGAGTTAGCTCCTCTGGTTTTCAGCTCTTCTTGTGAATCAACATCCACATGTCTGCGCTGGTTTTTACATCGTTCCAGTGCTTGTTTACATCTAAATAAGCCACCACCTGAATTTTAGTCAAAACACCCAAAAACACCCAACTGGAGCGTCAACAAGTTCTTTGTCTGAACACCTTTACATATTCCTCCATCGTCTCCTTCATCGAACAGAGAGATCAGCTGCCCCACTGTTGTTCAATCCAATTAAGCTGCCACCCACCCCGAGGCCAATCAAACTTTTAATTCTCTCACGGTGCCTCCTCATTCTGTAATTGGTTTATGCAGCGAAACCAGCAAACTGTTTGCATCTCGTCTGGTAATCCCCTGACGGCCTCACACGCAGAGTCTGCTAAATTAGCTCTCGACAAATAAACAAAAATTAAACACGTAAATAAATATATATGTGAATATATATGTGTGTGTGTGAGTGTGTGGAAACTCCCGGAGAACTGAGAGGAAAGCCGACCCTTGTTTGGTGGATGTGGAGGAGCAGCGGGGAGCCGTCACTGAGTGTTTGGAGAGGAGTTAGCCGTAACTCTGAGGGATGAAGGACTAAGCCGGAGGAGCGATTATACACTGAAGTAGTAGTTTGCTGCATAATTACCTAGCTGTGTGATTCTCTTCTGTTTGCCTGGTTTGAGTTTAACAACCTATGATTGAGGAAAAATTAGCCATTTTCGCTCCTTTGAAGAGAAGAGACGATAATGTTAGTTATTTGCTCTCACTTATTCTGTAAAGGTGCTTTTCTTCGCCTTGCGGAGTCATTCACATTAATTGGAGTTTTTTGCGCCTTCGCTTGAATCTTCACGGACATCAGACTCTTTTTTTTTTTTGCACGAGAAGTAAATCGCAGTAATAACACAGCAGGAGTAAAAAGGTCCCAGTTGTAAAGAGTTGGGGTGTTATCTTTATTGAAAGTGAAACAGGATGACAACAAAGGGAGTAGTTTGCATGAATTTTTATTTTCCTGAGACGCAGCTCGCGAGAAATGTGATCTCCATGCCGTAACACGAACAAGAATTCATCTTGTGGGAATTGAACATACCACTTTAGCTGCGTTCTTTGTATAATAAGCATGCGGAGGTTTGGCAGCGTCTCTGCTCGGGGTTTTTGTCAATCTCTGTGAAAAAAACAGAAACGTACAGTGGTCTCAGTGATTGCGTCTGCAGCAGCCCCTCATAACCTCGGCGAGACGTTGGATTCTATTTCAGGGGAAACGCGAATTGCAGTGGTGTGAGGTATACTGCGTGTTTCCGACCTGCAGAGAGGTAGAGAGAGCAGAGCGAAATAACCACCTTTCAAGCACAAGGGGCCCTTTGTAACACCTCTTAGTTGCGAGGGGGAGAGTGATCACAAAACAACCAGCAGACAGCGCCACAGTGGGCTTTGAGACCCATAAATGCTGCTGATAGGCTCTCTAACTGAGGCGGAAATAGCCCGTCTGAGTGATCTAAATAATACGGTGCAAAGAGCTGAAATCTTTCACGTACTCTCGCTCACAAACTTTTGTTACGAGTGACTGGTGAGGCAAGTTTCCTGGAGTTTCAGTGTCTGCTGCGATCACAGCACTGACTCATTTTAGGTTGAGCGAGGTAAATCGTGTCGGGGCAGGTTTGTGACGTTGTTTATGCTCCTCTTCTTGTCTGGAAACACAAGCAGCTGGCTGTACGGCCTGCTACTCTTACATCCTGACAGTGGGGATCCTTCAGGTGCTCGCTGGAGTGTGTCACGGGTGCAGTCGAGCCAGCTGATATGAAGGTTGAGAGCCATCAGCAGAGTCCTACAATGTTTCACACGAGCAGCACAAACAACCTTGGAGTTGTGTCCCGTCACAGTTCATCAGCCAAGCAAAGTCAAGCCGGCTGAGCTGTGGGAAAGAGGGGCGCGTCGACTCAGCCTGTCCGGGCCTGCTCACCCTGCAGGGGAGTGGCAGCACATTAACAAAGAGCGGCCGCCTCGGCCTCCTGCGAGCAGCCGCCGTTCGTCCTTCAGCCACCTAATCAGCCAAGGAGGAGGACGCAGACCCGGCCGCCATTCGCCCCGCTCACAAACTGTCAATAAAGATTCCCGTGCGAAGTATCGCCATGATGCGGCTCTTTCTGCTTGGCTGGTCCTTCTTCTTCGCCGTCGTCGTCGTCGTGTGGCATTTCTCTAACTGGGTCACAACAAGTTTCATTTTAGTGCAGCCGAGCGAGATCAGCTTGTAGCTAGAAAATGGGAGTATAAATATTAAAGAGTTTTTTTAATTCATGTTTTTTTCTTTTCCCTCCCCCTCACAACAACAGGATTAAAAAGGGAAGAGACATTTGTATTCATAAAGTAAATTGCATTTCAAAACTATAAAATTATGGCGAGCATGATAATTGCCAAATAACTAACTGTTTGGGGGATAGGAAAACAATACTCGGCTAATTGCTGCACACCATCGCTGTTCCCACCTCCCAGGAAATGAGCGTCTTTGATCGTGGCTGGAACAAAAGAGAAACGCAGTTAAATCTTAACGCGTCTGCTATTAATACGAGTTTGTTGTTTAAATCTGCTTTCATTAAACTCGGAGAGATGACATGTTAATAAGCTGCTGTTCGGCTCCAGACTTACAGGCTTGACGACGTGATAAAACGGATCCGTATTGGTCATTTTGAAAGTATAATAGTAGTGAAAACAGATTTGTGGAGCAGCTCGTGTTTCAGAATGAGAGATCTGCGATAATTACTGTGACAAAGGGCGCTCTTCTTTATAGATATACAGTCAGTGATAATCAGCATGAAGCGCTCAAGCTTGATAAAACAGCAGATAAAAAATACATCTTCTCGTCCCCGCCCTGCAACAACCTTTCGCCTCCAGCAGCTGCAGCTCCAGGGACGCCAACACATCTATTATGCATGAAGGGTCGGCTGTGTCACTGTACAGCATGTGAGCATACATTTCAGCTTCACCGCCGTTTCTGCTTTGAGAGGCTGGAGTCCTTCAGCTCACCGCCGGCCTTCGTTACCCAATGAAGCTGCAGCGTTTTTTTGTCCAGGATCTCACCTGAGTGTGAAGGGTCAGCGCGTACCCTTGGGATGAGAATGGTCCTTTTCGTAATCAGAACACATCATTTATGTTTTTCCACGAATGTTTACTTGTTCACGACAGCGAGGCCGCACGCCTGACGCTTTTCTTCAACAAACAGCATTCAGAGTTTTAATGACAGATGCTTTTATTCACCTGCTTCAAAACAAGCTGTGATGACCGTGTTTGTGTGTATGGTAAATATAGGGCTGCACGATAAATCAATTTTAAATTGTAATCAGATCATTTGATTATGACGATGTTAAAAATATTAAAATTGTCAAATCGGTTTTCCTCTCTAACATGTTTCGGGCCTCCAGGCCACCGTAGGCTCCCTAGTTCCCACACACACCAGTGTAAACAAACATGGCGTTTCCAAAAGAAGGCGATATTTTCGTGGCTAAATCGGACAAGAGCGAGTCAGTCGTGTTGAATTGGTACGGCTTCGCAGTTTCAGATGAAGAGTAAACCACTCCCCGCTGAAAAGTCTGTCAGAATTCAGAAGGAAACGCTAAAGTTTTTTGTCGTATTGGCGTTTCATCCACATGGAAACGGCGTTTCAGGTGACTGTTAACGTTACTTTTTGAAAACGGGTCATAGAGCGCGTAAATCCGTAAACGACGACCATTTCATCTCCGTTTTTCATCTCATGTCACACACAGCGCAACTTTTTAATGGCGCCTGCGCATGTCCAGCCAAAACAACCTTTATACACACGCTCTGTACTCTTCTTCTGTCTTTTGTGCATTTCCTTGGCATCACTACAGCGCCACTTACTGTCTTGGCATATGCACTACATAGTTTTCATTGTTTTGTTTTGAGAGATGATAGAAAAACTTCTTATTAAAGTGAAGTTTGGTGAAGTCGTCACTAGATAAAAAATTGAAAAAATCTGGATTTTATTTTTGACCAACATCGTGCAGCCCTACATCGTGGATTAATGCACCACAGAGAATAAAATCTGAATAACTTTCAACAAGATTAAACACAAGATCGTACCCACATGAGATGCACCTGCCACAGCTCTCAACCTGCCGTGTGTCGAGCAGCCGTTCACTGCAGCTTTCTATACACCTCTCCAACTTTCAATTTTTGAAGTGGTCCTGCTCAGATATTTCACAGCGGCCCTCTAAGTCCGGGGTTGCAGGTGAGCGAGTGTGAGTGCAGCAGGTGCATCGACAGTCAGTGGAGGGCGCAGCGAAGATGAGACATTCTCAACCAAGCTTACTGTCCTGTGCACTGGAGCGGGAAAACTGTGGCATTTATAATCCTGGTGGCAGGAAGTGTTCCCCGGGTGTCTATAAAAATACCCAGACTGCACTGCAAAGGTGTGATCCTTAACTAATGAGAAACTATCTGAAGCTCATTCTTCTAATTGTCACTGGTGTAATTACATTGACTGCTACAAGTGACGGTGGAGATAATAGCATTGCCGCTCAGTTTTATTAGCAGAAAAATAGTGCTACAGCTGCTGCTGCTGCTGCTTCGGCTTTTCTTGGTTGATAACAAACGGCAGAGAAGAAAACCAGAGTCTCTGAGGAGAGGGCGGGAAAGTGTGGGGTTTTACTGCTTTTGTCTGTGCTTTTTTATGGCAGTTTGATCATTTTACTTTGGTTATCGATACAACGGTTTGGGAAAAAAAACAGGCGTCATGTGAGGAGACTTAAAACACACATATATAACCATCTTTGACAAAGCTACATGCAAAGACAAAGACTCTATTTTTACACTTTTACTGGGAACAGTTGGACTTGTGTTTGTATTTCACAGTTTCCACAAAGTTGGATGACAAAGCGACTCTCTCTCTCTCTCTCTCTCTCTGTGAATGTGGGCAGATTTTCCAAGAACATTTGACCACAAAACGCTTAAATATTTGAACTAAAACAGCCGCCATATTGAAAATAACCAGACAGTTATTTTTATTCTGTTTAGCTGCAGCTCCTCTCTGCTGTCTGCACGCTCGAGCTTTGCAGGGCCGATTAAATGTGTTTATACCGAGGCCCTGCTTTCAGCTTTAGATGGGTGCAAGTAGGGCTGGGCGATAAACAGAAAATTTACAGATACCGAAATTTATGACAATAACCAACGTCATTTTGCCCAAATCTGTATATTCGATGTCAAATCAATAAATAAAAGTTGGTTTGGATGTGTGTAGGTAGGGCTGGGCGATATGGAAAAAAGTTTATCACAATAAATTTTTTCCTGTCAGTCGATATCGATATACATATGGATCATGATATAAAAAATGAAGTTTAACTGTGATTATTGGTAGCTTGTCTTTTGCAATACAATAAGTGACTGCATCTGTGAGGTATTCAACGTGTGTCTCTTCAACATTTTGTTGTAAGGCATTAAGGCGGAGCAACTCCACTTTTTATTGGTCATCAGTATAGCCCACCAAAACATGGCAAAATGCCGACTGAAAAAGCATATTGACCATGTTTTATATCGATATTAAGGCAAATAACTTTTAGATATATAGCGCTATCGTTTTATTGCCCAGCCCTATGTGTAGGTAGGCTATGGTCTTATGTCCCTTTTGAGACACTGTCCTACATCGGAGACGTGACTCCACCCCATCCAGTCTGTAACAAAGAGGGAGGTGAACTGCTCGATATACCGTGATATTGATTTAAGGCCACATCGCCCAGCCCTAAGTGCAAGAATATAAATATATTTCCTCCTGAAGACTCTTGGTAGTCCTCAGTTTGAAACCAGTCAATCCCAAAGTCAAGAATATGCAAACACGACTAAAAATGGATTCTCTGCAGCTCCAGGAGGTCAGAGCCCGTCCCTCCACCCCTCCATCCTTCTGACTTCTCTGGAGTCTAAAAAAAACAGAGTGGCGTACAGGAGTGAGGGCCAAAGAGCAGCTGCGAATGGAGATGTGACCTCACACCTCTCCATCACCCCCACCATTTCCTCCAGCTTCACACCTACTCACCAACACCGCTGCAGAAGTGTAAACTCGCCCCTTTGGCCTCACATCCGTGCTACGTCTTCATCAAATATCTAAATGTGGAAACACCGAATCCTAACAGGACCTTTGGTGGAGCACCAGAGCTGCATGTTTGGTGTGAAGAGTCATTTAGCAGCTCATGAACAACCTTAAAGAGCGAGGTTCCTTCAGAGTCTGCCTCTGCTGTAAATCACCGGAGCTCTAATCAGCAGAATCAGAGGTGTTTTATCAGCGCTCATTAGTCAGACGAAAATAATTGTGACAGGAGATTGTCAGAGTCAAGGTTCCTCTTGGATGAGAGATGTGAAAACGAGCAGGTCTGATAGCGCTTGTTTGGCAGCGTCTTAAAATGTCTTTGTCGGCTAAGCCAGTTTATTCAGCGACTTTATTTTCCCACAGCAAACACAAACAAGATTACTAAACATATTAACGTGATAAAAAAGCGCAACACAAAGCGCCTCTGTGCTCAGCCGCTGAATCACATCGAGACAGACCAGCTCGGCGAGTGTGCGGGGGAGGGATGTGGAAACCCGTCCTCCTGAGATGGAGGTAGTGATGAGTGCTGTGTGGGACACGGCTCCTGATATCTTCAGGTGAAAGTCACCCGTGAAGTCTTAAGCTCGCGGTTTTAGGTTTCATTTCTCAGATAATTTTCAGATACAATGTCTAAAGAAGAGAGTTTTCTCCTCTGTGAAGCTGCGAGGGGAAGAGATGAAATCGATGGAGCAGGTATCTTAATTCTCCATCATCCAAACTCCGGCTCAAGTAAATTGAAATGTCCGTTTCAGGATTACGACTGCAGCGAGCATGACCAGCAGGTTTCAGCTCGTGATATCCTCGTTTTTTTCGTAAAAGAAGAGAGAAATCGCAGCCATGACACCACAAACTCTGTGATTCCAGTAACTTATTTGGAGAGGCTTCAAGTGAACTTCAAACATCTCTTTAATGATCTATAATCCTTTGGCAAATCTTCAGTGGGCAGCCGGGCTTTCAAAGCTATTTTTACCAGGATGTGGAAAGCCGTGATGAAATTAGGTCTGAAGCTGGGAAAAAAAAACGACATTGCAGTGTGAGCTTGTCATTCTGCATTTTATCCTGAGATTTTAGCGAGCTGCTGCCCTGGTGTTAAAAAAAGATGAGCATCTCTTTCAGAGAGCAACACTTCCCTTTTTGAGAGAATAAAAGAGGGAAGTACAAAAGAGGAAGACTCAGGTGAAAGGTGGTTTGCAAGCCAAAGTAGGGCTGTCAGCGGAGGAAAGGAAAAAAAACAGTCCAGGTTGAGTCTAAATGGAGCCGTTGATCCTGCGCCAGTAGAAGACACACCCAGTGGGGGACTGGCTCACAGCGAGGAGACAGGTGTTCGCTCGATATCTGTCCCACTTCTCTGACCTTAAAGCTTTTAATCAGCTCTGCCAGGGAGCTTGTCAATCCTGTCAAACAATGAGCGGCCCCACAGTATAGACACAGTAAGGGGAGGGCAACGCCGGGCTAAGAGCTCCAAATAACGCTGCAGCCCTGAGGAGGGAGTCTGCGCTCGCTGTGGCTTTGTGCAGCTCTTTCACCCCCGGATCCCTCCGGACGGGGCCCGGTGTCTCGGAGCTGGCTGCTGCAGCACGTTAACTCTGTCAGCAGATTTCAAGAGCTATTAATGTCAAACTGGAGGTGCTCACGTGAGCGCTTTAGCCTGGGGGACGTGTTGGAGGCTACAAAAAGATTCAGGTTGACACCTTTACCATCTCTTAGAGGGGCTGGTGTCGAGGGGAGAGGACCTCTGAAGAAGAAAATCCACGTTTTTAGATTTTAGAAGAATCACCAAAGTTAAATTTGTTAGTGTTAAGTAATTAAATACTGTTTCCCTTGATTTAAGGGCAAAAAAACATAATTTAAATTTTCGTAAATGTCATTTTTATTATGCAAATCAAATATTAAACTAGTGTGCACATGATTACAACAATATAATCTTAAATTTACATGATTACAATATATGTTCAATGTGTTTTTTTATTAATATATTTTAACAGAAACTATTCAAATGTCCTTATATGGGCGTTAAAGGGGCGTTTTCAAACTAGGGCGGCACGATTAATCAATTTTAAATTGTAATCAGATTATTTGATTATGACGATGTTAAAAAAAAGTCTCAATTCTCAAATCGATTTTTCCTCTCTATCATGTCTTGCGCCTCCAGGCCACCGTAGGCTCCCCAGTTCCCACACACACCAGTGTAAACAAACATGGCGTTTACAAAAGAAGGCAATAATTTCGGTGGTTAAATAGGACAAGAGAAAGTCAGTCGTGTTGAATTGGTACGACTTCACAGTTTCAGATGAAGAGTAAACCACTCCCTGCTGTAAAGTCTGTCTGAAGGCGGTATCAACCCGTCACCACGGAAACTAATTCAGGAGGAAACGCAAAAGTTTTTTGTCGTAATGGCGTTTCATCCACACGGAAATGTCGTTTTGGATGACCGTAAATCATTCTCAGTGGTTTCTTTTTTGTTCCTTTTTCTTTTTTATTATAATTTTCCAGATTTTATTTTATTTTTATTAATGTGCAATAAGACAATACAACACAGTGGGATTTAACAGTGACAAAAACCGTGTTTCGAGTGACCGTAAATCGTTCTCAGTGGTTTCGTTTTGAAAGAAGATGGAAAAACAAATTTTTAAAGTGAGGTTTGGTGAAGTTGTCACTGAATAAAAATCAAGAATTAATATATGTAAAAAAAATTAATTTCAAATTTTTATAGTTTAAAAGGGACAATTCAAATCTCATGTCCTTATATGGGCTTTAAAGGGGCGTGTTCAAACATGAGCTTCAAACTCTTAAAGAGACAGCGCTCATGAATTTGAATTTAAAGGCGTGGTCGTTTCAGATGAGTGAGAATCCTCAGATGTTTGTGAATGAGGCTGATTGTTCCTCATCTTCTCATGAGCGGATCATGATCATCAAAAAAAACAACATTCCTGTTAAATTGTTCGAGTGAGTGACGGAGATTTCAATAAGGCCCGATTGAGTTGTTAAATCTCGTTGCGTGCCCGCTCCGCTCTCCCTGCCTCTGATCAATAGTCATACACTGTCAGGGTTTGCCAGCCGTACCTCTTTCTCTCTTTGTTTCATCAAAGCCCTACGAGCCGGATCCCCCTCCGTTCCCGCAGGCTCATTTCACACAGAATCCTCCTGCCATTTTTGTTTTCTGAGTCCGAGCCGGCGTGATGTGAAGTTTAACTGCAGAATATCTCTTAACACGCGGGGTAATTATGGAGCTGGTTTGATTGCAGTTAACAGCACAAGCTGTCAGCGAAGCAGTCACACAGCAGTCACACAGTTACAATTTGGCCACACTGAAATTGCATTGAACCGCACAATTATCTCCCGTCGCTGGCAGCTCTCTTTACCATTGTTCCTTCTATCCTGATGCTACTTAGTATTCGTTTTTAAACTGGATTGTTCAGATTGGTAGCAAGTGATTGTTGATCCCCTCCACCCGTACTTTGGGTTCACTTTTTAAATGTGTTGAATCTCGCTGCTTCATTTTCAGCAGCTACACCTTAAAAAAAATAAGCTGAGTTCATTTCCTTTTACTCTGAGCCCACAGCCCACCCACCGCTGAGAGAGACCGGAGTCGCTTCATGATTTCTGATTCCTCTGATTGATTACAGCTCCTTTTTTTTTCCTGTTTCCAGTCACATTTCAGAAGCTGCCGTCTTGTTTTTCTTTGCCGTGTTTGTCTATGACATTTCCCCGGGTCCTGGGTCTCTGTGTCAATACACATTGTTAGACTTCTAACTACCAGTGGAGACTGGAGTAAGTCATACCAACCCCGACCCGGCTCTCGGGCTGTTTTTTCCCCTTGCTGTGGCTTCGTGGTTCCCGCTTTTGTCTCCATGCCAGTTTCTTTTCTTTTGAAAAGGCCAGTTGCAGACCCTGCAGACATTTAAGTGTTGTTATTTCATGTGTTCCTTCAAATCTCTCCAGCAAAAATAGTCTCAAAAAAGATGAAGAATGAAAGGTGCAGATGCCCGACAAATAACTCTCCGGATAATTGCTTCCCTGGAAATTATCAAGACTGAGAAAGTAGATCAATTTACCGGTGATGTTTATTCTGTTTGCACTGATTGTTAAAGGGAAGGGGATGTGGTAATAGGACATCCAATAAGTGAGACAGACCATTTTTCATAATGTACCATGTAGTGCGTTAAAGAACTCTGACTGTGTGAACCGTACATGGGAAAGACAATACTGAGGCCCAGCTGGAAAGCACATGCAGCAGAATCTGAACACGGTCCTGAGATGTGGTGAACATTCCTGCGATTATATGTATGTGGAACATGAAGCCCCGCTCCCCTTGGAAAGATAGGCTGCGGTCGTGGTTTAGGAAATGGTTCAGGCCTGGTCTCGGAGTTCTGCCGAGAACCGCTTGATTTCATAGAGGTTTCAGATCAAAACACACATGAAAAAGGAGAATTTGGCGAAGGGCAGGATCCAACGTTTCTGCTGAAACGCTGCGTGTTCTCATGTAGCCACTTCTGCCGCACGTTAGCATCAATCTTGTCATTTTATTTACATGTCGGACTTGATGGTGACGCTTGTCCTGCAGCTCTGAGTGTCAGAGAAAGTCACTAATCCTAAACAAAAAGCTGCACAGTCCACTGCAGATGTATTGATTTTGCAGTAAAATAGACAAATTGCAAGAATTTGGATTTATTGGAACAAATTAGCCGCATTTTTCACTGTTTCTGCAACATAAAACAGTCATTGCACAGAACTTTTTTTCATGTTCTGCAAAGAGAGTGTCGGATACGCTGGTGAGAGCTGAATGTAGTGTGGTAGAAATAAGAGACGGTTGACTTTAGTGTTAAATTTAGTCGTATATATGAACATAAAACACACCACATTCATACGGTTTAATGTCCTGTACTTTATATTACGGCTGAGCGATATGGCCTCCAATCAATATCACGATATATTGATCAGTTCACCTTGATAACAATAAATGGACGATAACTACTCCACAAGCTGCTCACCCCCTCCCTCATTAACTTTGAACCGTCCTCCATCTCCTCACCTGTCTTTCCCTCTTTGTTACAGACTGGATGGGGTGGAGTCACGTCTCTGATGTAGGACAGCGTCTTAAAGGGACATGAGACCATAGCCTACCTACACACATCCAAAAACAACTTTGTTTTATTGATTTATTTGACACTGATGTGGGCAAAATGTCGTTGGTTATTGTCGTAAATTTCAGTATCTGTAAATTTTCGGTTAATCGCCCAGCCCTATCTTCAATATAAAACAGTCATTGAACAGCTTTATTCATATTCTAAGAGAGAGTTGACTTCATTGTTAATTTTAGTCTTATATATGGACATTAAACACACCACATTCTTATGGTTTACTGTCCTGAACTTTATTTATATTGCCGTGAATATTAAAAACAGGAGACATATTACAATGTTGTTGTTTTTTTCCAATATTTCCATGTGACTTTGCAGCAAATCAGTCACTTTAGTCTGTAAAAATACTCACGCCTACATTAATCATTTTTCCAAATAACAAGATAACATGTTCAGAGTGGAGTTAAGTGTAGCATATCTAAGGAAGTGTGTGTGTGTGTGTGTGTGTGTGTGTGTGTGTGTGTGTGTATCGGATCCTCCAGTGGTGAGAACACGATGCTAATCCATGCCAAACGAATGTGACTGCAGGGCGAAATTCATAATCATGTTTGTTTGTACTTAATTCCTGGTACACGTGCACAGACACGACTGCTTGGTTACAGTGTTAAGTTAGTGCTGCTGCTGCTGGTGAGAGTGGGTTATTATTGCTGTTAGCTGCATGCAGTGTTACGGTTTAAGAGCGTCACATGTGTTGGTAATCAGCTAAAGAGAGGCTGCACTGACAACACTTGTTTTGAGCAAATGTGCAGCATTTGTCAGAGTCCCACGGTGATCATGACTCAGACACATACTAAGTGTGCTTGTTAATTGATAGCAGACTGGGGCTTCAGCCCACTGCCCACTCCAGCTGGAGTGTGAATTCCCTCTCCTATATGTTAATGGAGCTGCTGTATAAATGGCCCGCGCCAGAAAAATAGCATCAACAAGCAGAGCTGCTGCGCGCTGCCCCTGCTGTCCTGTTTACGTCCCAACCACAATTAGAGATGCACTTTGATGACAGACGCTTCTTCTTCTTCTTCTTCTTCTTCTTCTTCGTTTTTTCCTCTCAACTTTAAAAATGGATGACGTGAACAACATTTCTTTCTTTGAAGAACTCTTCAGGGGCTGTTTGGATATAATATGGAGGGGAAAAAAAATCACAAGTGACTCTAATCAAATATTGATTGTACGCCCCCTCTCTCTCTCTCTCTCTCTCTCTCTCTCTCTCTCTTTCTGGTCATGCTACGGTGCTTCTTGCCATGTTTATACTGGACCTGTTTACTCCTCTCTCCAACATGCCTGTAAGATCTCAACTGGCCTTTGTCAGAAAGAGGCGAGAAAGCTCACAGTAAAGGTCAACGCAGGTCAGACGCCAAAAACGATATTCTGCGCTCTCTCTGAGTTTTTCTAAAGGTCACCTTGAGAGAGGGAGGGAGAGAGGGAGGGAGGTGTGTGGATTTACAGAGATCTGATGTGTGTTTTTTTTCACTCTGGAATCGCATGTCTGTCTCTTCCTAAAAGCGATGATCCAGTTTCAGTTGATTGTTTGTTTTTTGAACCCGGTTTACATCCAACACGTGATCCACAGGAGAGCGTTCAGTGTTCGTGCTCTGTGCGAGACTTGTATTTACTTGTGGACAATAGAACAGATGGTGTGAGAGGAAGATTTGTCATGCATGGTTGTCCAGGGCCAGGTTTTTTTTCTGCACTTTTTGGCAGGATTTTGTTTGCATTTTCACGCTGTATTTACAGGGTGAGGGTTAGGATACTTCTGCTGCTGCTGCTGCTGCTCTACGAGCGCGGATTGAAACACTCCTGTCACATAGATCCCACTCTGAAAGCTATATAGATGATACTATAGATGATCCTGCAGGTTTAACTGCCAAGACTAGAGGCGATAAAATGAGATGCAAATGATTATATGAGATGTCAGAAAACCTAAATGAGTTTTGAATTCAGGTTAGGGTCCCAAACTAGGGGTGTCCCGATGCAACTTTTAACTTCTGATACGATACCGATATTTTAGCCTTTAGTATTAGCTGATTCCAATAATACACACTGTTGTGATCATATGGGCTCTGCATGCTGGATCTGGACGCTGCTAGATAGAGGTACTGAAGCGGATTCTGGAATGGACTGCTTGTGTCGGAGTGCTGTAGGGCTGAAATGATTCCTCGAATACCTCGATTACAAATAATGATCAAGGAATTTTCTTTGCCTCAAGTTCTTGTTTATCAGCTCAAATCGTCACAGTTTCGCACAGATACTTTTGAAGATGACACAATGCGCTTATGTCGCCATGGTAGTAGGAGGAGTTAGTGCTGTTTAGGTTTTTTGGAGTGGAAAAAATTAATGATAAGAGGGGTTTTGCTGGTGTCGTAGCAGAAGCAGAAGCAGCGTATCAGATCGATATCCAGTATAAATATCGTATTAAGACATCCCAATCCAAAACCCAAATATTAGCAATAATACACTTACTTTGCAACTGGGAGACAGAGTCTTTACTACATGAACACTTTTAGAGTAAAACTACAAATGACTCAAACTGTCCCTCTAACGCGTCGGTATCAGAACACCGATGTGCTGAGTTCAGGTGCAGGAGAAAAAAGACTTCTCTCTGTTTTTAAACTCGTCACTGTCAGGTGTTGTGTTAAAAAAACTGGATGTCAGTGTCTGCTAAAAGTCACTTTTTCTTCTGGAAGACACAGAATATTCACAACTATGAGTTTGATGCCCAACAGGAAAAAGGTGGTAGAAGATGGAGGGATGGAATTACAAATAACTTTCAGATTTTATCAAACACAGTAGATCATGATTAAAAGATTCAGAGGATTTAGAGAAATCTCTGCACCAAATTTCTGGTCTGCAGACTCTGTAGTTCAGTCACCACATGAGCTCAAAATCACTCCTGCAAACCAGGTCGTTGCATCAACAGATGAGTCCAGAATCTGGTTTAGAGTTAGAGTTAAATAAAAGGATTAAATGATTTTCAAACTATAAAAAGCTGTTTTTCTTGCTCTGAACATTGTGTGCCAACTCTTTCAGAGCTTGTTTATGAAAATACATGAACAGGTCGTTTCAGTAAATTTGAGTCTGCAGGTTTTTTCTTGTTGTTTCTCAGTCGTTACCTTACAGGAACTTTCTTCCACCTGCTCAGAAGAATAATATTTTACCTCACACGGTCCACGCTCACCTAAGGCTCTGTGGGAACACTGCTTCTCCTGCTGCTGGAGTGATTTGCACAGAGTACAATCAGAGTGGACACAGTCCCTGAGTCACCCTCTGTTAATGCTGAGGTTTCCACAGGAGGTGTCTGGCCTCCTCCTCCGCTTTAATATCCTGAGTGCTCTAATCTGCTCACAGTGTCTCACTCTCACTGCTTACCCTCGCCGTCACCCCCCAAAATCCTCCGCATCACATTAGAGTGACCCCGCCCTCAACTGCCCCCTACGCTCAGAGCCTATACCTGCAGCTGACGGGGCGCGGCCTGTCTGGGACCATAATGCATCACTCTGCGGGGTCCCTGTTTATTTATTGATCAGCTCGTCTCTATTAAGACGTCCAGCAGCTGCCCCCCGGTTTGAAAGCTCGGGGAAACTTCTAAATTATTGAGAAATAACCGCTGCACAGCAGACCTGACTCTGTGGAGGAGAGGCTTTGTTGACTGTCAGCCTTCTGGCCCCCGAGGTCCGAGTGATAAAACATGTCATTACGTCGCCGCTTTCCTCCCATCTGCGAAACCGGACTTTGTCTTCTCCGACACCTGGACCCTCTTCCCTGTTTTTAACCTTCAGTTTCAGTCAAACAAGATCAGACCGCGGCGGTTAGAGTCATTCATTTACCAGGTGAGGAGGCGGGACTCTCCCTCCCTCCCCTCCTCGCTCACGTACGCTGCCTTTTGTTTGCTGACAGTTGCTCTCTATCTGGTATCAGTGGGTGACATCATCTCGCCATTTGGTCAGGTAACGTCAGGGCTGTTTATTTTGTGTCGGAGAGCCGAAACTGCGATGGCCTTGTTTAGTTAAGCTGCAGGGGGGCGGGGGGAGGGTCAGAGCTGCCTTATACTGTGTTTACACTTAATACATGCTGCTCTCTCTCCCTCTCTCTCTCTCTCTCTCTCTCTCTCTCTGGGGCGAAAGCTTTATTTTTGGCCCAGCTTTATTTGTCATCTCTGCGGTCAAAGACAACCGAAATCCCAGATTACTTCTCGCATATTTCATATAAGACCAGAATAAAAACAGCAGTAATCACAGGAGGACTGCGGGCGCCGTTTCCCTCGCTCCACCTCGCTGCAGCAGGATCCACGTTCACTTCTTTGAAACTGTACGCCAACAAAATGGAGAAGCAGGATTTCATACCAAGATGAATCATTAGGATGAGAAGCTTCGTTGCAGGCGAACTGATGCATCCCTCCTGACATTTGAAATGCCTTAAAGCTGCTCAAGGGGGCTTGCGAGTGTGTATATGTGGGAGTGTGTACGAGCGAGTGTGTGTGGGCTTGTGCTCTGAACCTCCCCGTTGCCTCAGAAACGATGGATGCACCCACATTAGGTGAGAATCGGTGCGTACGGTTGAGCGGCCGATGCCACGCGCCGCCAACCTGAAAGTTGTAATTTTATAACCCCTCTGGAAAAAAAAACACGACTACTGCTCCGCGGCGCTCGTCCGGTCATTACGCATCTCTCTCTTCCCAAACAAACGACCGTTGGGAATCGCTAGAAATCCACTTCGCCTTCCAAGGAGCGTTCGCAGTTTGGGAAGTTGCCTAAGATAATAAATATTCCCGATAATCATTAACATTTACAGAGCAGCAGATGTTACATTGTCCTCAATGAGGCGGCGTGTTTTACAAAAGACTTTTCAAATCTGAACCAGATAGTGGAAAATTAGGAACAGGTCTACTAACCATCTGGTTCGGCGAGGTCTCGCCTGCCTCCGCAGTCGGAGGGTAAAAAACGCCCTGAGTGTAAATTAAAACAAATCCTCCGACACGTTTAGTTCGTTATCAAAGAGCTGAACGTCAACAGTCAACAAACAGACACATTAAAGCGGGAATATGGCTGCTCCGGCTAAATGAAGGCTCCTATCTGGATATAATAAAGCCTCCGACACGTTGAGACACTTATCCCGCAGTGAAACAGTGTAATTTATGTCTGTGGAGAACATAAGCAAAATGCCTCTGGTTGAGCCCCTGAAAACAGACTGAGAAATGTTCCAGCAGGGGGATAAACAAGCTGCTAATGGGAGGGTTTTGTGCGAGGACTTGGACTCCCCCGAAACACCCCATGTGTGGTCATGAATAGGGGAGCAGAGAGGCCTTTGCCATTGCCGTGGGAACTGGGGCTTCATTAAACAGTCATTATCCCGGGTGGTTCAAGCCATGTTTTATCTCCCAGCATCCCACTTAAGAGACAAAAGAGCAACCAAAGCATATCAAGGAGATGACAGGTCTTTATGAGGACGACCAGCTTTGAAGCTGCACAAGTTATTTTTACCAAAATACGAACTGAAATCCGAGTTATCTCCACAAACTGTCATCCGAGCTCCAACTTAGTCGACTACAGGACAACGGAGGCTGTCGCAGTTTCACAATGTTGACGCAACAATGATAAGATTCTGCTAAAAATAAGAATACAGTAATAATATGTGACTAGTATACTCAAAGTATGGGCGGTAATCCTTTGGTACACTCTTCTTTAGACACAGGGAGGATGAAGAAGCTAGCTAAGTCCCACTCCGATTGTTTGTTTTTACTTCTTAAAGTGTTTTAAAAGGTCTTTAAATCGTGATTATTAAGTTTTTAGCCAAAATCACGTTACCTGTGTCATTTTAAAGCTCTTTTCTTCTGCAGAGCTCCAGTAGATCATTAACAATTTGCCTCTGAGTCGTGGGCGGAGACAGCGCTGCTCTGCACACTCTTCATGTTAGCCTGTTGCCTAACATTGCCGGCGTAGTTAAAGAAGCAGGTAACATAGGAGCTATTCAGCTCTCGGACACTAATGTCTTTGGTGACATGATGAAAGTTAATATCATAATTAGTTTTCTTACGAACATTGCAATCTGCTGACGCACATGCTTGTTCTGCGGTTGTCTTCTCCATTTTTGTCTGGCCTGCGGGGGCGGAGCTTGGATTTGTGACATAGGAAATCTCACTGTATCTGAGCCTACTGTTTGGGTCTGCCAGAGATTCACAGAGATTTGAATGCAGAAATACTCAGAAATGTAATTTTGCATTTATTTTTCTCCTGATATGTCCTGTAGCATCAGAAATATGAACATGTGAACATGTAGACAACAAGAAAAACACGATTTTCATCTGAGCAGGTCTTTAACTGTCGACTTTTTGACATACCATGAATCCAAAAACAGCGCACTTGAATAATAAACATACTTTTTATTGATCTGTTTTTAGCTGTTTTAATAACCTACAGTCTACTGGAACTAGCGTGGAAATTGTTTCAAAATAAAAGCATGTTTTTATAATGTAGAGGGTAAAGTAACCTAAACGGTAGACAAAAAGATCATGTGAGTTTGATTGTGATCTCTCAGGCCGTGATAACTGCGAGGTAAATTGGCGTGCAGTGATAAGCGTTCCCTCTTCGTTTTCTCCTCCCCTAAAAGCCGCCGAGAGGACGACATTTAAGCCCAAGAAAAAGACGCTCTTTAACGACATCGGGTTTCACATTTTCTTGGTTTTGAAGTCCTCAAACTTCAAACGGCGACGTCTTGCCGCCATTTGGGACCCGCTCCTCGCCAAGTCGCCTGGTGCGGCTCAAAATAGCAGTCATTAATGAGCGCCTCTTCTGAAATATGCATCGAGTCCTGTTTAATCTCTGCCTCCCTCGCATCGCAGCGGCGCGAGGTGAATTATCCTGAACTTTGTGTGACTCAGACACAAATGGATTTCTTTTGGAGGAGCTCGGCCGGAGTAACGGTAAATGAGCCAATAATCGTCTTCAGAAATGTTGTTGGTCGTCGGCCAGTTCAGCTAAAAGGAAAAAGGCGATATTGTTGCATATCCACGGACGAGACGAGCTGCCAAAGAAGTTGTTTTATGGAAAAGAAGCTCCTCCGACTTTAGAGGGCGAGAGCCTGGCTTTTCAATTTGGAATTATTCAGTCTTGTTGTTTAATATGTAGAAGAAGAAAACGTGGAAACAAACAGGATGGATGAGTGTCGTATATTTAGCATGAAACTTTAATTAGATTCTCTTTTCTCTGCGGCAGACACAAAAAGCAAATATGAAAAGTTAATGTCATGTTTCTCATTCATTTTTGATTTGTTACAGGGAGGCTGTGAGCTTCTTTTTCATCTTAATGTTTGTTTTCCTGTGCGGGTAATAAAACCTCTGATTGATTCGAACGCAGACACCCTCAGTATTTGTTAGAAGCGGTGTTTGCGGCGGAGATTACCCCGCAGGTTTATTTCCCTCCAACGTTACGAAGGTTATTTGAATGAAAGCTATTTTCTCCTCACACTGTCCAATGCACCGTATGCAAACATCACAAAGCACATGCTTCTCCTTGCAGCCTGGCGGGCCAGATCTTATTACAGTCGAGCGTGGCGTGCACAGCTCTGTGCCGAGGCCTCGCGACTCTCTTGCTATCAGCACAGGGCCAGACGGCACAGCAGCTGTTTTAATAGTTCCCCTTATGTCCCCCTTGATCCATACAGCTCACCTGGAGTGAATCGAGCCACTCTCCTTTTTTCATAGCCTGCCAGGCTGGGCATACTTTCTGCATGTTTGTTTGTTTGTTTTGTCGCTGCTTCTCCTTCCAGAAATGAGGCTCCTCTCTGTCAGAGCGCTGTCTGGCCTCAGGTGGATTGGAGCATGACTGTCCCCCAGTCACCTCCTTGTCAGCGCGAGAACAAAGCAACAGCAGCTCAAACGCCAACGCCGGCCAGACCCGAACCAGGAGCACACCTACAAATCTCCCCAAAGCTCCTCCTTCCTCTTTGTCTCCACTTCTTCTTCTTCCTCTCTTTCTGCACCGCTGCCTCTCGTAGCCCCTCACCAAAGCTCCCCTCTTGCATGAATGTGGCTCAGCTCTTGCATGGCTTTGCCGCTCTGTGGTGTAGTCTGTAATTACAGCTCAGCCAAGGACTCCTCCGGTCCTTGAGTGAAAGGGGTCCCCCGTGGGCGTCCCTGGTCCTTCAAGGAGGGGGTTTGTGCTCCGTGGCTGTGTAATCATGCCTTTTCCTCTGGTTTCCATTTGTGCGAGCTGCTGTTTATTTGGTTCAATGTGAGCTGGGAGCATCGGCCTCAAAGGATGAGGGGCAGAGTGAAGAGCGAGAGAGCGAGCGAGGAGCGAGAGGGAGGGAGGGGCTGCAGCCGTTCACACACAGCCAGCCCCTGCCACTATTGTTTCAGCATTCAAGTGGGTGAGATCCTGCCAGGTACATATTTATGAGATTTCACAGCCTCCTCCTCCTCCTCCCCTCGCTTCGCCGCGGCTTAAGATTAAACTTTAACTCGTGTTGTCACACAGTAAATTGTGTTTGCTGTTTCAAAAAAATATCAAACTCTCGCCGCCAGGACTGCTAATCTGAGCTGTGATTAAACGGAGTACACCTCGCCCCGGGGTGCACAAGGACACAGGTGTTCCTCAAGGTGCAGATGACAAGGTTGTCAGTCCTTCCTGTCAAACTGTATTAGGGAATCAATCTGTCATCTTCAAATCCCCAAAGTTTAAATCTCTATAGACGCCGCGCTGCTGCTGCTGCTGCTGCTGCTGATGATGTGGTCGGACGGAAATGAAAGATGATGCGCGCTCAGTAACTCCAAAAGGTTGTCACTTTGTGTTTTTATATGATTAGGTGTAGGCAGGAGCGGCTGCACTTGAATGAAAGCACATAACAATGGATGGAAATTGCCTTTCTGTGTTGATGCACTGCCTCCCGGTCTGAGAGTTGAGCGCTCGCTGTGAGAGATGGAGAAAGTACATCGTTCACCTTAATGGTCTTCTAGCTGCTGCAGTGCATCAAGCCTTTCTCCTCTGCATGCATGTGATTCGCCCCGATGTCCTTCAGCTGCTTTTCTGTATTTTCACCAGAAATATCTTCATAACCCCCCCTTCTTCCTCTTCCTCCTCCTCCTCCCTCATGCATCAGGTCTGTGCACACGTGCAGACTGACTCCATCAGATACTGTATGCAGTGGGTGTATGCATTAATGGATCTCTCTCGCATATTCTTACACATTTTAGAGCCCCCTGTGGAAACTTTATCTCAGAACGCAGCGATTATCCATCATTGCCATGCAGTAATTCAGCCTTAAAGAGACACGCTGTATATGTGATGTGTGTATCTGTGTGTGTGTGTGTAAGAAGTCTCGGCTCGCAGCATATTTTACCCACTTTTTTACGATCTGATTCACCGGTGGCTTTATGAGTCCGATGTGATTAACGCAGGAATTTCAGTCTTTCTTCCTGTGGGTCCTGCCCGTCCAGAGGAGATAATTACAGCTCAGGCTGGTTGTAAATACAGAGCGACCAGGAAACGGGACGTCATCAGACTTCACCTGGAAAGGAACATAAATCAGAGGCTGAGATAACAAAGATGTGTTGTAGACAACAGGATGCAGGAGCCCTGCAGCTCTTCACTGACACGTCTGCTCTGACTGCACTCACTGTAGGGCGAAGATCAGCCGTAAAACAGAGGAGTCGTTGGAGTTAGGAGGGAAAAAAAAAAACTCGCCACGAGACTTGACTTGAATTTTTTTAAACATATATATTTTTAATCAGCTTTGACGGTGAACTGACAGCACTTCTATAGACCTCTCACTGCACTTTACATCACACGTCACTCTTAAAACACTCAGAGGCAGTTTTTGTACCGAGACCTCAATTCCGGAGCACTTCTCACCGGCGTTTACTGTTGCTAGGTTACGCAACTTTGGCCCCCTCCTTAGGAGTGACGATGAAGTCTGTTTTTAAACACCCTCTGTGTGCGTCATACTCGCAGTCTTCAAAAGCATTTCACAAATTAAAACAGTTGATAGAAATGGTGTTGTATAGGGTGACCATATTATGAGTCCCCAAAAAGAGGACATGACCACGCGGGGGCGGAGTCACAGAGTCACACAGAGTTAATTTTGGGGGGTTTTGGGGTCGTATCGAATGTCTTTTTACGCGCTTCTAACTCAGTTAGTCCATGTAACACAAACTCGAAACTTCTGTACAAAACGCCGGGACATTTCACTGATTTTGTAAACTTTCCTAGACAGCCCCCCCAAAAAAGAGGACATGTCCGGGTAAAAGAGGACGAATGGTCCCCCTGTGTTGTGGCTACGTTAGGGAACTGTGGTGTTTCTCCTTCACTGTCATCGTCGACGGAGACGATTCCAAACCCACCAAGTATTTATGGTCTAAAGAGGTCTAATAGTCGTCTAAATGTATCCTAGACGTCTGGTCTAAAATCAGACTACCACAGGTCTAAAAAGTGAAAGTTTTTAAACGTCTGAATTTAGACCGAGTTTAGACTAGCTGGCTAACAGAGGTATAACTGTATTTTGCTCAACGGCTATCCTAATTATTTTGGTTTAGTACTTGGAGATCAGTTATTTAACTCACAGTTGCTTTTTGAAATAAGTAGTTATCGAATAACGGGTTCAAGTCCAACGTCTAAATTCTGTGTAAAAATATACAGAATCTAGAAGGTTGAAATTAGGTCTAAAAAAAAAAACTAGACGTCTAATAGTGTCTGTTGCTCAGTGGGAAGAAGTCATGCCCATCCTTCCCACCAAACACCTGACGTCTTTTAGACGTCTTTTTTCAGGCAAAATCACGTCGGTCCGTCATGACTGTAATTTAGCCCAAAAGAAGACATTAAAAACTGGGCGTTATTTAGACGGTCTGAATCTAGACGTTGTTGAAAAGACGTCTTTTTAACCACGTTTTGCTGGGTGGGTTGATTCTGGTTCTGGCTGGTTGCATTGATATTTCCAACAAGTTTTAGCAGAACAGCAACTAGATCAAGCTGCTGCTGAGGATGCAAAACAGAAATATCAAAAATCATCCTTTTCTGCCTAAACTACAGTCCTAAAGTCAAATACAGAAAGTTAATAGCTGTGGGGCTGGCGGTAGATCTGTTGGCGAGGATTTTGAAATTGGGCTGGTGACTTGAGAGGCTCCAGATCACCTCAAGATTTTGCTGCGCTGCCCTTAAGCCCACTTACATCAACATCTCTAAGAGCGAGTTCATGAGGTTGAGTTTTAAGCATGTTCCAACAGCGTGAAAAATGTACTTTAGTATATAAATAAACACAGAGAAGCAGCAAACAAACAAATATGTGAGTGATCGCTTCATAAACCACCGGAGGGGTCGATTAATCATCACTTTTTGTCAAAATTGTTTATTTTCTCTCTGCTCGGAAACCAGACGGGCGAAGCATGAGCAGCTTGAGCTCATCGAGAGGTCAATATATTTATGAAAGCTCGAACCAGAGGGAAGTTTACGCTCTGTGTCTAATCATTGACCTTTTTTTATTCCAAACCCCTCACAGCTTCAGATAGTGGGGGGGTAAAGGAGAATAATGAGTGTTTTTTTTTTCGTTATATAGCCCATGTGTGTGTTCTTAGTGTTGTGAGAGGCTCCACCGGACTCCACTGTGTTTCTCTTAATGGGTGCTCCAGGCAGCGGCTGAAGTATTAGGGAGTAAAAAGTAATTAAAATTACAATGGGCCAGCTCGAGTGTTTCTGGGTGGGTGTGTGGGTGGAGGGAGGCCAGAGCGGCAGACGATGACTTGGCTGCTCCAACTCGCCGCCCTTGTACTCATTCATTAGTGATGCATTGGTTCTCGCTCGGCCCTTCCATCTCATCAGAAACAGGACCCCTGGTGCGCGGAGACAGAGCCGTATGGATGTGTCCGTTATGTTAATAACTTCTGCCGTGTAGCGACTCTGTACACGGATGTATACGGAGCAGACTGGGTTATAACAGAGCAGGAGAGCGAGGCTGAATCCCTGAGTTTGGCTGCAGTTATTGTGCGTGGATGTACTACTCACCAGGCTGAATTGACTCCTTGGCTCTCAGTGCATGTACTCTCTATTGACTGGAGTGTTTTGCTTTGCCTTGGACACTTGTTAATTGTAATTAAATGTTTTTTTTTTTCCCCCTCTCTCTCTCTTTTGTTGTTTCTTCTAGCTGGCCAGGGACAGATGGTACAGATGGACTCCAGTAGGTCCGGCTTTGTGGGTTCACAAGTGGAGCTGCGCTGCATTTTCATCAACAGTAACCCGCCCGTCAAGATCTCTCAAGTCACCTGGCAGAAGCAGGTCAACGGTACCAAGCAGAACGTGGCCATCGCGAACCCGGCTCTCGGCGTGTCCGTTCTGCCGCCGTTCAAGGAGCGGGTCAGCTTCAAGCAGGCGGCGGTGGGTCACCGCACACCCTCCCTGGAGGACACCACCATCGTGTTCTCGAACCTGCAGCTGTCCGATGAAGCCGCCTACATCTGCGAGTACACCACCTTCCCTGCAGGCAACCGGGAGAACACAGTCAACCTCACGGTCTTCGGTAAGAACAAACCTGTGTGTTGAAGCAACTGTAGGGTGTAGGTTGGAAAATGTCTGCAAAAGTTAATGCCAGAGGGTGGCGCTATGACTGTAGTTGAAAATGTATCATATTGATGGACTCAGAGGTGGACTTTAAATGGTGTTTGAGTAAATGAGTGAAGTAGTAATAACAACTTCCTGTTTGGTGACCAGATACCAAAGCTTGATGAGGTGCCATGGGTCGCACGCTTTGATGCCAACTCCTCAAAAACGTAGAATATTTAGTAGGAATTGGTATTTTCAGAAAGTCCTTGGATGGATTTATCATATGAATTAATAATCAATCATTGATTTAAAGGAAAATACACAAAAACATGTTTTTCCCCAATATTGTTGTTGTGCGCAATGAATGCTTACTCGTGCTTCCTACCTGTCCGGCTGCCGTCATCACCGTTGTTTTTTTTACTTCTTCATTGAACACTAAACTCGGGGACATTTCCAGGGACAACTTTAGCCGGGGACAGGTCATCCAAAACAACAACTTTCTCCCGAAATCGGGGACATCTGGTCGCCCTACAGATCCTCCTTGCTAACAAGGAGCTGATGATTGGTTGAGACTGAGAGGACTCGGACTGGATTTATTAACCTCAGTCAGATGTATGCGGTTCAAGTGGTCCATCATTGGGGTAGTTGTCCTGTTGTACTTGTACACGGCATCGCAGTGTTTGCAGCAAACCTCATCATTTTTCCGCTCGAAATATTCCCACTCCGCACTTCGTCTTTCTTTCTTTACTTTTTTTTTTTTGACTTCTACGGAAGCCCGCTGACGTTGTATCACTCCGCATGGTGATTTGCACTTCATTGCTTCAACATACAAAAACACACTCAAACACACTCACTGGACAGAGAGAGTAACCCAGAGGTTCATCTTTACTGGAAATCAGCTGGAGGATAGACGCGCTCTCTCAGCCCGTTTTAATAACGTGAGATCGATCGAAAGTTTGCACGATTAATTAATCATGCCCATTCCTAATACACAAACTGCCTAATACACAGACTGAACGTGGATTACTGTAATGAGGTTCTTTGGACTGTTTTTTTTTTTTACATATGTACCCCATGAATCAAAGGACAGTCATAAAAAAATCTAAATTCCCCTTTGGTCTGATAAACGAGTTTCCGTTTGGTCAAAGTCCTGATAATTTGTGTTACATTGGTCATTACATTAGTCCTCTCACCATGACCATCACTTTAAAAGTCCTCATACTGATGTAAATCATAACCATTAAATCCTGAATCTGTATCTATAGTAGCAGCACATGTTTTGGATTTGAGGAACTCAAACTTACATTTCTAATCTGTGAACTCTGGAAATTACCAACTTCAAAGGCTTTACCCCTGAAGAGCTGCACCGATATTTTCATCAAACTGTTGCCTGACTGTGAAAAACATGAATCCCCTAAACATCAAATATAAATGAGCTCAGAAAACAGACAAACCCTCTGCTCTCAGATTTGTGGTTGCACATTTTGTCCGTAATCAGCTTAAATTGCACATTTAGCTTAGCGAAGATGATTTCTCAGCCCGTAATTGAAGTCTTAATCCTGAAGTTTGTTTCCCAAATTCTTGATTTCCTGGAGTTCGGAGGATCATGGAAACAAAGTGAAAACAGAAAACACCACTTTCTGATTTCCATCTTCTTGCGTAAGTTTCCACATGCCTCGGTGAGTAATTGGTCATTTTCAAGCTTCTACATGTAACTGTTAACATCAGTTAAGGAGTAATTTCCTCGGACTTGCTACTGCTGGCCTGAGTTATCAGAGGAATGTACGATCCATCTCCTTAAATGAGTTTTCTTTGTGACTTTAGGCGGAGAAAGTTGAGTGAATCAGATAAGAGGGGGTCAAACCAACACCGTCCCCTTCAGTGAAAGGCCAAGAGAAACACTCACAGCTCTTTATTTCAACATGACACCGCCACAGGCCCCGTCGTAAACCAGTCTGAGGTCCTTTGAACACCTCAGACCAGATGCTCATTTACCGTCAGAGACCGCGCTGTTTACAGTTCAAGCCCCTGTCTGTGATTGGTGGGCAGCGTGGCCAGCTGTCTTCAAGGCTCTCATACCTCAGAGGACCTTGTCATTGAGTTCAGATGATCGGCACGGAGGAGAAAATCATTTTGACAAACGCAGGAGTTGAAGACCTGAATGTCACGTCCTTTAGCTCCACTTTTATTTAGGCTGTTATGGAAAAAAAGGGAAAGTGCTGCAGAGAGCGGTCAATAAAAAATGGCAGGTGAGGCGGAAATCAATAAGGCCACTTCAGTGCATGTAATTTGTTTGAACAATCTCATCTCAGAGAAAAAAAAACAGAAGCGCTCTGAGATGTAGTTTAACTTGGACAGAGGCAGCTTTGCAGAGGTCTTCACCTGCCTTTAATTAGAAAGCTAATTAGGAATTAAAGCAGCGAGCAGCGATGAGCAGACATGTCGGAGTTTGAGTGTCGGGGTGTGGAGGACCTGTGGGGTCATTATCGGACAAAAAAAAGTGTTAATGGTTCTGGATTTTGTTTTTTTTAAACTAAAACTAAAATTAGCTGCACTGACCACACACAGGTTTTTGGATCCATCAAGATCCGTATCATAAAGGGATATTCCGGCATAAAATGACATTATAGTTGGTAAAACTAGAGAAGCAAGCAGTCGACTGGAAACATTCGATTATTCTGAAAAACATACTTTGACAAAGGTACGGTGGCCTCAGAAATACCCAGTCGAGCCTAACAGCTAACTATAAGAACTAATGTGAATTACAGGACACATTGCTCATTGACACTCATTGAAGCCCCACCCCTTCACATTTGGTATCATTGAAAAGCTCTAAATGTCCTCTGTAGAAACCAAAAGGAGTTAATTCAGTAGTATGCAGTGGGTGGGAGATATTGAGGTTTACAATGGTCCTCCACAGAGGACAAATTTGAACTACTGGTAGTCAGGAGGATATGAACAAGTTTAGGACTGGACCCTTATTATGTGTGGTGGTGGATTCGGGTCAGTTTGGATCATGCATGGATCAGATAAAAACTACTTCCTGTTTCATGGCGAAACATTTACAGTATCTTTGAGGGTTGGTAAACTCTTAAACTTCAACCCCCTGCAACAAACAGTGCAAATATGGATAAAAAAAGCTCAAAGATGAGTTGAAAATATGGTTACAGGGTTTCTGATGGATCTTAAAACACCTAAAATCCAATAATTTGAATTTAAGGTTTTAAAATGTCTAAAATTCTCTTAAAATCTCATAAAATGTCTTAAAAACAAATTTGAAAGGTCTTAAAAACATTTTGGTGTTACCTTCTAATAAAGATTGATTTGAAATTAGTTTAAAATGTTCTGATTTTCTTCATGACTTCTGTACTTTTTCCCAGTATGGGTGTAAAATGGATCTTAAATTGTATTCGTTATGGTCTTAAAACGTCTTAAATCTTATCTGTTGAAACCTGCAGAAACCCCGGGTTAAAAATAGAGTTAATTATGATGTTCAACTCCAACTTCACGACTCTCTGTTAAGTTAAAGCTCCGGGTGCAACGGTTCTTGTCTGTAAAGTGACCTTGAGTGTCCAGGACGGCGTTTCCTTTTGGCAGAAAGTAGAATAATCACAAATCCGTTCATTCCTACAGACTCGTACGCAGCCTCGGCGCTCTGCCCCGCTGAAGTGTTGTTGTGTTTTCCATTAAATCCCAATAAGGAAAAAAACACTCGGTCCTGAGTAGTCCCTCTTGGCGGGTCTTCTTGTCACCTCCAGGTCCTCATTTCGTGTCACTGAGCCTCTCGGGTCTTTTCAGGTTTCTGCGGCTCAGTGAGCGTCAGAAACCTGTGTGCAGATAACCAGGCTGTGGTGCTCAAAGAGGGGCCTCTTCACCGCCTATCTCCCTCTCTCTCTCTCTCTCTCTGTTGTGCTTTCGCTCCAGCTCAAGCCTTCCTTTTGATGTAACAAGAGTAGATTGCTAATTGGCAACTCACAAAGGATTCACGTTGGAAGACTTTGCGTTTGGGTAGGCAAGTGGGTTCTACATCTGTGAGAGCTTTGACAACCGCTTCAGCTTTGAGGAGGGGAGAGGAGCTAAAGTTCGCCTGATTCGAGTCCCAGCCTCGTTTTTATCTCTCGTCCTCGTAGTTTAATTTACTTCAAAGCTGATTGCAGGTGAAGAAGATAAAATTAGACACAAACATGAGAAGAAAAGGTAGAAAAACACTGTCTCTGTTGAATCAACTCTAATTACCTTCATTCACGGATCTGATTGGTGTATTCTTTCTCTCCGCAGCTCGCCCCATGACACGCATGACCCTGACGACGCCCACCATCGTCGCGAGACCTCAGAAGCGCAAGATGACCGTCGCCACCTGCGTGTCGGCCAACGGGAAACCCCCGAGCGTGATCAAATGGGACACCAGGTTGAAGGGCGAGGCGACCTTCCAGGAGACCCGCAACCAGAACGGGACGGTGACGGTACGGAGCAACTACGTGGTGGCGCCGAGCCGGGAGACCCACAAACAGAAGCTCACGTGTATCGTGACGTACCGGAACGAGAGGATCACAGACAGCGTGGTGCTCAACGTGCAGTGTAAGGAAACGAACACGTAAAGGGTTAAACGCTCCACAGACTGCTGCAGAGCGAAGAACTGCTCTGCTCGCCGCCGTTGTTGTTTGCATACAATAAAATGATCCATTATGCATTAATTTAGAGGAAAATATTCCTCTTTGTATGTAAATAAGCCTTTTTACAAATACAACCACGTTTACAAACACCGACAATAAGAGCGCAGCACAGTCAGAGGGAAGTGTTGACTGTCTGCTGTGAGCCGGGGCAACAAAGTCGGTCAATAACACTCCTTTTTTTATGATAAACATGAAGGTTGCTTTTTTATGTCGTCATCTACAGTGTGTTCAATCATGATTGATCCACATTACTAGTCCAGATCTTGTATGAAGAAGGAGATGGAGACATTAAATCAAACTCCAAACTTAAAAACAAAGTCAGTATCTTATTCCTAATCGTGGATCATCTGAGACTCTGAGATGTTCCTTAAATCTGAGCTCCACGCTCTCATGCACACAAAAGTTGTTATTTCCTGCTGAAAGTGTAAACCGATCGCCGCCGCAGTTTACAGTAAACAGGATCCTGTTGTAAACACGGCGCCGAAACTTTTTCCATTTACACAAAGTCGAGAGGAAAAGAGCGAATGAGCTGCTGAATATTCACCAGACTCCCACTCAGAGGAGAGAACTTTCACAAATCAAGTTTTTATGAAAGTTTTTTTTTTTTCTCATTTTTAATTAAACTTTTTTATTAGACTCCTTAATTCTAATCTTAACTAAAATAATAGAACAGCTTATCCTTAAAGTGTCTGAGAGCGGACTTCTCTTATTTCTTTTAACAGTTTTTTACTGAGAAAACTTTCACAGATAAAACCGTTAAAGTCTGGAAGATGGATCATGGTGAGGAGGATGAACTGACCGCGGTGTTTCCTCCTTTTTTGCAGATGAACCTGAGGTGAAGATCGAGGGCTTTGATGGAAACTGGTACCTGAACCGTCAGAACGTTCAGCTGACCTGCAAGGCCGAAGCGAACCCCCCTGTCACCATCTACCAGTGGAAACTGTGAGTCTGAGTAAACCCGAACAAAAACCCTCGAGGCTCTCGAGACGAGACAGTCCAGCTACGTGATTTTCTCTCTGACTGAAACAGAGAGTTTTAATCCGTGTGTGTCAAAGCGAACATACAGAGAGGAAAACACACCAACCGCCTCCATCGTCTCCAGAAATGCGTCTCTGTTTATTTGTTTGTAATGAAGATAAGACTCGGAGCTGAGGCGGGAAACAATGGGGCCTATTACCACGGTAACACACACCCCTATCAGCCCTGATACTCTCAGATACAGAGAGATAAATGCAAACAGACCGCAGCTCTCTTTGCTTTGGGGCTTTTTGCTTTGAAGTGCGAGGACCGGCGTGTACAGGTAAGAGCAGCAGAAAAGCGTCATTGTTAGCGCCCGCCGCGTTCTCAGGAGAGAGCAGACAGCGGCGGTTTGTCTCTGAAACTGAGAGTCCAGGATTAGACCGACATACCGCAGGGCTGACATCAGTGTGAGCGAACGCACGAGCTGGAGGAGATGCAAACATGTATTCGAGGCCTCGGGGAGTCACTAAATAACCGTAATGGCATGAAAGCTGCTCATGCAGAAATGATGCTGTGTGAATATATGAGCGCAGAGGCGTGGAGGGAAAACAGAAACCTGACCGCAGGAGCGTCTTCGTCAAACTTTCCCTGCGTTTGATGTCGTAAAAAAAGTCTGAGCAGCTCGTCTGAATATTAACCAACTTCTCTGAGCGTATCAGTTTTAAATGAAAGTCTCATACGGTAAAATTGAGAGATAAATGCAGCAATTTGTCCTGTAATTGCAGAGTGAAGGATGGGTTGAGAAATATGTCATTGGACATGAGTGGATGTGGATTTAATAGACCATTGTGGTCTCATTGTATCTGCTCTGCAGGCCTCTGCTGGATTTTAATGAGGCATGGGGAGTCGGTTTTCTCCTCCTTTTCTCTCTTTTGCATAGATTTCCCTCTCAGGGTGGAAACAGTGATATAAACACAGAGAGCAGCAAAACAAGACGACAAGATGGAGAAGATTTGACCTGTTTGGGGTTTTCTTCTCCTAAGAGGCACGGGGGGAGATTAAGGCAGATAAGGGAGAGGATAAGGAGAGAGGAAGAGGAGGAGGAGGAGGGTGAGGAGATGTGATCTGGAAAGACGAGGGCGCTGTGCTGACAGATACGAGGGGACGGCCATTGCTGCACTGAAAATGAGATGCCAAATCTGTTGTGAAGGTTCCCCTGGGCTCCTCTGTGGAGGTCAGCACAAGGCTGTGACGGAACCATCCAGAACAGGCCGGCAGGACCGCGTCACACTGAACCACACACACACAAATACACACACAAATACACACATATTCATACACATGGAGATGCAGGAGGTGCAGCCAGATCCTGTTGTCCCTAAAATAGATCCTGTTTTTTTAGACCTTTTGGTGGTTTGAATAATTCAGTCACTTTATTTCTGTTTCATCAGTTACTGAGTCAAAGTGAAAACATGCAAAAACAGCTGATTGGATCATGTGTACAACGCAGGAAAAATCAGATTTACTGAGTTTATTCGTCTCTTTTTTACTCATTGTATCAGAAAAATATATATTTATATGTTTTTTTTGTCAAAGTATTTCAAGCGAACAGTTTCTTAAAGTATTAAACAGCTTTTCAGGAAATTACCTGCTGCAGAGACAGTTTCATGCCGATTCAAGGTGATGCAGAAATGTTCAATAACTTCACCTTGGATGAGCGCCGAGTCGGTCTTATTTCACACATTAATGTGGCGGGTAATATTATAGTAATAAGTTTGGTATAAGTATATTTTCCATGAAGTACCTTTTTATTTAACTGTTTTATCAGACGGATGTTTCAGTAACGAGGCATCTCAAAATCTCACATCTGAGAGTTTCTGTCTTTACAGAAAGACAGTTTGTTGTATGTTGAGTTAATGAACACCAAAAATCAGACCCAGGTTTTCTGTGATGAGTCAAAAAGTCTGATGATGGAATAAGAAAATGTCTTCTTAAAGTTTCTTGATTTTAAGAACTTGACGTGTTTTTTTTCTCAGTTTTTACTCATTAAAAAGACTTTCTGTCTGATTTTTTTAAGTTAATATCTTGAAATGAGACATTTTTGGGACTTGTTTAGTGAAGGTGGTTTCATTTAACCCTTAAAGAAAGAAAAGAGACAAAAAAAAACTTTATTAAAACATGTATCTGCAAACTGACAAGTGTGCCATAAAGCTCCTGTCTGCAACTTTCAGCTTGTTCCCACCTTGGCGCCCCCTGTGGACAACTGTGATTTTGCAGCGTACATGAGTAATTTGTGTATTCTGACAAAAAAATCTCACCTTACTTTTTTAAAAGTCAAATGTCGTGATCGGACCTTTTTTTGTCCTTTTTCATCAGTTTTACTTCTAGTTTAGTGTTGAAAATCTCTCACTAGAGCTTTAATGTAAAGAAATGAGCCTGTCTTGTATCCTCTAGTAGAGAAATCTCAGAAATCACGAGTCCTCCGCCTCGTCCCTGATGGTCCTGTCATAGAAAGTTGAAATTTCATCTTGTCTTTATAAACACACGGCAAAGCGCCGCGGCTGCTTTTTTAAAAAAAGGGTTAATTTGATATTGACTGAAAGAGCAGAAACAAAAGAGGCAGAGACGACGTTGTTGTTGTTGTTTGTCTCTGAAATGTTTGTTTGTCGGCGCGCTGAAGCCGCCGCCCTCATCGCGGAGTCTGTTTTAAGTGTGCCGGAGCTTTCAGTGGGCAGGGAGAGAAATAAGTGGAGGACGTGTTTTTCTTTCTTATCGTCAGAAATGACTCTTTCTTGTTTTCTCTGTTAATTCACTGAAAATAACTGCCTACACAAACTCTTAATGCATCCCCAGACACTCACCGATATAAAACCCTATAAATAAAACACAAGTGTTATTGTGACGACCTCATAGCTGGCATACTTATCTCTGTTGTGTAGATCTCCTTCTATTATTTACATCCATTAGAAGCATCCTTGAGTGAAGTGCGGTTGGATGAAACTCAAAGATAACATCGTCCACCTTTTTTTAATTGATATCAGAATTGGCAGAAGCTTCCTCGGCTGATGTCCTTTTAGTTTGAATGTAGAGACGGATCCTCCACATTAAACATTCAACGTGAGCGTGAGACACTTTGAGGCCGATGAAACAGATGGACGTCTGATTAGAGACATCGCCCTTATCGCTTTGAACCCCTCAGATTTCCCGTTTTTTTAACAATTAAAACATCCGCCTCTAATCAGCTGATTGATCGTATTTTTAGACCTGATTACATACACAGTCGTTCGGTCTCTAACGTATACAGTATGTGTTTGCCGCCTCCTCCTCCGCACCATCACACAGTTTGATGTGTTGTACTCTGGAGTCCCCTCACCCACATCGACGCACACATGAGCCGGCCGGCCATGCACCAAAGAATCTGCATCACTCTCAAGCTGTTTGTTAGTCTTTCATTTCACTGGCCCTCAGGCTCCTCACACACACACACACATATACATGCACGCACACGCACACACACTCTGATGTCTCATACAAATGCAGACATGGCGGCAGGATCTGCGGTGAATCGCAGTTTGCCAGCCTTTCATTCTGCAGAAAATCAATCGGGCTTTGCAGGGCTCAGCATTAGATAGCGGCTCACAAGGTAAGCGATTATTGAATCGTGACTTACTGTATGGGGGATTGTTTGCTAAAGAAGAAGAAGAAGAAGAAGACACTCGAGCTGTTTCAGATTTATCCTGGAAAAGTCACAGGAGCTCGTAGATAAATCTGCAGTTTCTAAGTGACGTTTTATGATCGATTAATTAACAAATTGCTCATCACTGAGTCTTTGAAGAGCCTGTTTAGTGCAGCTCAAGAGCCTGATGTGAGGCCATTGTTAGCATGAGACCTAATTTTGTCGCCTCTCTGCAATGTCATTAAGTTTCCCTCTCTCTGTAATAAATGGAGCGTCACATTGTTTTTAATGTTCTCGCACAAAAAAACGGATGGCGGGGCGTCTCTGGGAAGGAAAGGAAAAGAGTCGTCTGCGGCGTTTTGTTGTTGCAAAGAAACCAAATCCAAAACGAAGAGAGAGCTCTCCGGTGTCATCCGTCACGTTCGAGGGTCGGACCCGGATCCTTTCAGAGCGGCTGATGAAGCCGATCGAAAGGAAGAGGAAACGACTAATTGTCATGAAACGTGAGACTTGGTAGAGAAGGTAGAGAGGGTTTGGTTTGGTGTGCCACTCATGATCCGTGACCTCGGTGTGTGCTGACCTGATGAAAGGACAGGAGAGAGAGAGAGAGAGAGAGAGAGAGAGAGAGAGCCAAGCATGAAGACAAACACACCTCAGGCAGGAGGAGCAGTCTTCATTGACAGCCCAGTATTTGGTGGAGTTTGTATTTATCGCTTGATCAGCCGCCTCCCTCCCTCCACGACTCCCCTGAGTTTTGAGTTCAGCCATGTGAGGGGCTGCTGTACCCGAGGAGAGAGGAGAGAACCCCCCTCTCTCCACCTCCTCCTCCTCCTCCTCCTCCTCTTCTTCTTCGCAGTGTCTGCTTTATATTCTACATGCCAGAGAGGCTTGTGTCCTCAGGCAGCAGCTATGTCTTACCTGTTCGAGCCTGCTGGGATTCCCTGTCCTCATAATTTTGTTTGGATTTGATGGATGATGGTTGAAATACAGCGCTGTCAAATATTCCTGGTATTTATCTCACCTTGACGCACACACACACACACACACACACACAGGAGGCTGTATTTTCCCGTGCACGTTGGATTGCTCTGGGAGGGGGATCTGGTGTAATTCAGCCTCTCTTTGTGGCGTCAGTATTATCAACTCTCTCTCTCTCTCTTTCCCTGCAGGTTGAACGGCTCCCTGCCCAGTAATGTGGAGATCAAAAACAACACTCTCTTCTTCAAGGGGCCGGTGACCTACGACCTGGCCGGGACGTACCAGTGCGACGCCACCAACGGCATCGGGACTCGCACCGGCATCGTGGACGTCAACATCACAGGTAGGTTTCTGGGGGATGAAAAAAACGAAGCGGTCGCTGCCGTTCTCCGGCTCTTAACTCTGGCATGGCTGGAATCGATACAGCACCCCGCAGAGGGTTTTGTAAAGCACCACCAGACCCCCATTTCGCCCAAATAAAGACAAGTCTTGCACGTGCACAGAGCAGCTGATTGTCAGTGTGAATTCAGCGCAGCTCCCACCTGCCCCGGCTGTGTGCCGGCCCCCTCCTGCTGCTGCTGAGATGGAGGGGAAAAAAAGCCTGTTTGTGTATCAGAATGCAACAACCCCCACTACGATTGCCCTACCTCGCATCCAGGCACATGTGTGGGAGCGAAATAAAGCACGCCTATTATCAGCGCTTAAAATAACATGAAGGAGAAATGGGGGTTTGAGGTGAGGGTGCTGTATTGATCATAGTTTGCTTGCATCACACTCACATCTCTTCAAACATGCTCCTCTGTAGTCGAGTTCGGCGTTCGCTCTCTTTCGTCTCCTCTTCTTCTTCTTCTTCTTCTGTCTTCTGGGGAAAACAAAATGCTGAACAAATCGGAATCAGTTCCCTCGCCGCTCGCATAATTGTTGGCACACACGCACTGTGGTTCCTCTGGGTTGGTATCCAGAGGAGACGAGATTTTGTGCTTCAGATGAACGTACGACAGAAGTGGGAATCAGCTTCTATTGGTCCCAGCTGTGTGTGTGTGAGTGTGTGAGTGTGTGTGTGTGTGTGTGACAGTTTGGCTCTGGTTGGACTGGGACGACTTTGTCCTCTCTGTCTCTGTGCGCCGCCTGCTCTTCCAGGGAAGCGGGTTAACTCTCCTCGCTTTGCATGTTGACTCATGTTGTGTCTGACGCGGCCACGCTCGGTGTGAAGCGAACAGCTGTGCCTTACAGTATCAGCGCGTACCTTCCTGTTTCCTCTCGCTCACTGAGTAAAACTGGGACAAAGCGCCTTTGCAGGATGTCGTGTCGTAACCTGCATTGTGAGAGGTTGTCAATGCAAAGTCGGCGGGATAGTGGCGGGATAATAACAATCTCAAAGGAGCGTGATCGGTGTTATGTAGTGAGGAAGTAATCTGCGGTGAGGAAATCACCCCGCGCCGGCTCCTGACGACAAACGTCTCTGAAAAAGCGAAACAAAGGCGCCGCAGTCGTTTTCTATTCCTGCTTTTTCATTGATTGCTTAAATTAAAACACTGCGCTGCTTTTGTCCCTGAAGTCTTTCTGTTTATTCTCATCGTTTGTTTGTAATAATTTTATTCGGTGAGTGAGGTGAACGACGCGTGGGTACATAATGTGAGTGCATTCACTTCCAATTTGTCTGCATTTAAGCGGCGGGTATTTTTAGCTCCCGTTTGTGCGAAGACGGTTCGGCGGCAGAGTGAACTGATCAATCCTGAAGCTGTGAAAACAATCTCGGCTCTCAGCGGGAGGCACTTGTTACTTCCTCTCGGTTTAAATGTTGCAGTAATTAAGACACTTGATTGCTGTACATTTAGCTTCTGCAATTACGCATAAATACTGAGATTTTGCACCCAGAAGGTTGTGATTTTCGCTCCGGGTGGAAGAAGTGTGTACCATCATAGCGTTATTTCTAAAAGCTACACGGCTCTCTGTGGTCTGTTGGATTCAAGCTCGGAGTTTCACTCCCAAATGGTCCCGAACAAGCCTTAAAAGCATGTCGCCAGTTCCCATAGTAACAGTGACAAGTTAGCAGGAGAGGAGCCAGCCTCCCTTCTATAGCGCTTCGGCTCCAACATGGCGCCCAGTCAAGTCGTTGGAGCTCAGAGCGGAGGACAGAGCTGCAGGTGTAACAGAGATCCCTCACAGAGGATCAGGAGACGTGCGCGCCGGCGTGCGCTTTGCTGATGTTGTGAAATGTTAGCATGTTCCTGTCTTAGTGCAGCCGAGTCAGCGTTATCCCTCTCTGAGAATACATACAAAACACAGACCCAGCTGGTGGGAAAGTCTCCTATCAGTCATGACAACAGCAGCGAGAGTCCGTCGGAGGTGAACTTGAGGGGCGGACGCGGCGTTTCCTCTTAATTCTTTGATGTGCTCTGAGCAGCCTTGACATTGGCTGAGCATAATGACCCGGTGGTGGAGGTATAGAGGTACGCCGATGCTTCATTAACTTCAGAGAGCGTCTTTGTGCCTCCCAGCAGCCTCAGACAGGCCCGGCTGTGAGGAGGCAGGTGAGAGAGCTGGCAGCTGGCTGCTGTTCAAGGCTGCAGCAGAGGGCCGCCGTAACGTTAGAGAAGTGTTCTCTCTCTGCAGAGAGGGAAGGTGACCAGAGCGGAGAGCTGCAGCACGCTTTCTAAAAACACAGAGAAACAGCAATAGTGTTAAAAAATGATGAGCAACACTTTAAAGGGACAGTCTGTGGGTTTTTGGAGGGAGGTGATTTCTATTCAGGGTCGGCTTATCAGCTCTTAAGTTCTTCAACTGGACAGTTTGGGGGGTGAAAATGTGCGTACAAACAAATATTAGACTGTCTTAACTAGGGATGCACCGATCTGATATTTGGATTGGATATCGACAAATGAACTGGATCAGATATCTGATGAATAACACCAATCCAGAGTTCTGATCCAGTCTTTCTTTTTCTTTTAATTAATATCAAACAAAGGAACACAGTGATTCTGTTTGCTCTATATTCTACGTCTGTCGATCCTTTTCCACTAAATGTTCACATCTTACTTCTTTTACTGTGTGCTAATGTGTAATTTGTTATTTGTTCATAAATAATATGAAGTAAATTTGTATCTATTTTAGTTTGCTACCTTTTTTTTTAACAAGGCTAATGTCAAACCTGCTGCCTTCACTCACAGGTTTACAGTTCATTCATTCAACAGTAGGATCAGATCTGTATCGGATATCGGCCGATACCCTCAGCACAGATATTGGATTGGATTGGAAGGAAATGGATCGGTGCATCTCTAGTCTTAACAGTTGGGACATCCAATATCATACAGAATCAAATCTGTGGATACATGATGGATTTTCCAAAACTTAGGTCTCATTCATCCACGCCCTCCTTCTTCAATGTGCCCTCAAATATTAAAGAGTGCAGAGTTTCTAAATGCAAAGTCAAGACAAGCTACAGTTTGGAGATTTATTGGACGACTCTTAGTGTCCCGGTTTGCAAGCAGAAAGAAGAATAAATGCAAAGTTATGAGAGCATCGCACAGTTTTAGTCTGATTGGAGCTTCTACCTGGAGGAGAAATCTGACGACTCTGAAAAGTTTACGGGTATTTTAACGGTCCAGATTGAGTCGTGGATTTTTTCTAACTCTGACTGTCTCTCCAAAGAAACCCGGTTGGTTGGTGAGGTTCTCTCTGAACTTGAATCTAACCAAAAATTAATTTTGAAACTCTTCAGATATGACTCGTTTAACTCTGTTTTGTCACTAAGTATGGCCTGATGTTACCATGTTATGTGGTACATATCGCTGGTTCTGGCAGATAAGTCCAACTTCTATAGACTGAAAAATCTTCCCTGAGGTTAAAGTCAGGAAAAAAAGCTGAATCTGAAATCCCGTGACGTACTGAATTCCATGAATCTCCAACATTTGGATCCAGTTCTTGAGTCAGTCTTTGCTCCTCGAGTCAGTCCTTCAGGTTTCATCGTGGGTCTTGCAGGAAACCGTATCAGTGACAACACATACGCCTCTTTAAAAAGCTATCAAGCGTTTTATTCCAGCTTCCCGCTCGGCTCTGTCACCATGAGGACCATAAGATATATTCTAATGCAGGACTACCAGCAGCTGCATTATGCATGGATAAGGAAGTAACGCTCTTTGTTTCCATTTTGAAGCCGATGTTTAGATTGACACAGCAATATACACCTGCCAGAGAGACGGCGCTGCTGCCTCTGTCAGGAAGATAAAATGTCAAATGTGACAACTTGTTTGTAGCGCAGAAAAGCCATTTTCTCTCTCTGGGAAACATCACTGATGGAGCACTTAAGAAAAGCACATTTTAATCAAGCTCCTCACTTTTCATGGACGGATTTGCGGGGGCTGAATAACTGTCACCTCGCCAGATAGCCGGGCCACGGAGCACCTTGTTTCAATTAGTTTGGGGATAGCGTTTGCGGTGGAGACGGCATCGACTACGGTGAGCCATGTGGGCCAAGATGGTTTTCTCGGAAGACGTGCGTTCAGAAGATACGGCCTCTCTTGTCAGAATCTAATGAAGCACTTTCCTATTTTAATCAATCCTCACTCCTGGAAAGAGGAGGTGAAGGAGGAAATAGGAGGGAAGGAGATGAGCTTCACGACGTTCACAGTCCAGAAATCTCCCGAGGGAAAGTTGACAAGTTGTCACATCAGATTAATTAGTAAATTATCAGCAGCCATCAGAGGTGTGGTTAAAATAAAAAAACGAAACTCTAAAAGCCCTCAAAGGAAAGTTATTTCTGATGATTTATCGGCCGGTCAAACTGCGACTCCTCGTAAAATCTTTCAGCCACAGGAAGAGCGCTGAATAATGTGGTTAAAACCTCAAAGATCCCCCTCTACTTTGGAGAGCACAATCACTCTTTCATTAAGATAATCAGCTTTTCCACCATCGCTCTCTGTTTCCGCGCTCCAAACAAATCGATGCTGCCATTTTAAAGTTCTCTGCAAACACATGATGAATGGCCTTTTTGTCGGGATGGCCTTACAATTATGTCATTATCACCCCTGAGAACGCCGATATATACGCGGCGGCGGCGCCTTCTCTCTCAGGGCATGTGGGAAAGTTTCTCGGAGTGAATCAGCACATTCGCCGCAGACATAATTTGTTTACTCTCTCCAGTAATTATTGAAACTTGATTAGATATTTTTCAACCTTGACTCGGCCACACAGCGGAGGCTAATCTTTGTGAGACGGGGTCCGGGTGGAGTCGAAGACAATGCATAATTCCTGCCACATTAGCCGGATCAGCTGTGAAGGATAATATCCGATCAACGCGGGGTCAACCAGTGTGTGTGAACCGCGGGGTGATTCCTCTTTCACCCTCCTTTGTTAGAGCTGCAGCTCAGGAGAGCAGAGGTGCAGTCAGCTCTGCCACAGGCCCTTTTAACCAGCCGGGTTAAACCGGATAGAGTGAGAGCGCACTCTTCGATTTAGCAAGAAAGCGTCAGGATGGATCCTTCTATAAGCACAGGCACCCGGCGCCAACATCTGTTCACGCTCGCCTGAACAAGCAATACTCGCTCCTGTGTGGGAAAGTGGAGTTCAGAGAGAAGGGGGAAAAATCCTAACCACACAGACAGTCCAGAAGAAATCTAAATAAATAAATAAACGCGTCCATGTGACTGAAAAGAAGACGCTTCAGTGATTTGGGGAGTTTAGCCGGAGAGGTAAAGTGGATTTGAGAAACGGGGTAGAGGTGGAAGAGAGGGCAGGACGCTGTTTACATGACTTTATGTAACAGCCTGTACCGACTCATAGCGCCTGTCACTTTCTTCACCCTTCAAATCCTGCTGTTCAATGATGAGTGAAGACAGAGGAGGCGCACAGAGGGCCGAGAATCCTCCAGAAGCACTGTACCTTATTTATGTGCTAACTCTATCTTTATTGCTCACATTACTATTCGGGGCAAATGAGGCCACAGCCGACAACATTAGCAGTGTCTGTATAATGATTCCAAATACTTGCCACCAGGTTGGCAGGCAGCAGCAGCGGGTTGTTGGCAGATCTGATGGGAGCTTTCTCAGCATAAATTTGAATTAGTGAGCCAGAGATTTAACTCTGAGCTGATAGAAGATGTTTTAACTGTCCTCAAAACTTATTACAGCCTGAACTGGACACCAAACACACATTTTACTGTTGCAGTATCAGAGTAATTGAATTTATGCAGCCATAACCACCCTTCATAAGACATTTATCCTCTTTAAGACAAGCGTCGGCCCCTTTTTCCAATATATTTTTTCTCTAAAAATCAATGTGTGGATCCCTGTCCTTTCCCTAAGAATAAACAGCTTTAATCCGGTCATTATAGGACACTAAATCATCCCTGAACACATAAATGAAGGTTCAGTGGTCGCACCTGTCACCCCACCCTGTCAAATCCAGCGTCCTCTCTCTTTGAATGATCGTCCTTTGGTTTGCTCTCGTGATTGATCGCTCGCTTTTTGGTGTCAGAGTGAAATACCTTCAATCGAGGACGTGATGGGACCATTTCATGGGACTTTAAAAGGGAGGCTTTGTAACAAGAACCTCACGCACGCTCTCATGCACTTTGCGCCTCCTCCCCGTCTCTGCAGGCACTAGTTTTAAAGAGGAAATAATTTGCAGGAGCATTTGAGGAAAGCAAACATCAGCAGTGCAGAGACTGACATTCAGAATTACCTAAATGTCAGCAATCAGTGATTTTCAGGCTGAATTTTCATAACTTTGGGCTTGAGATCATTTAAAGAGGTCGTGTTTTGCATTTTTCATTTTCCAATCAGGATGAATTTTGTCAGACAGAAGTGCTTTTTGAAAGCGCTGAGTTCTGTTTGACAGTATTGATCTGTTCGGAGAGTTCTGTGTGCATATGAGGAATACTAACTTATGCATATATGAAAGAGGAGGCAGGGAGAGAAGCCGCAAAGACCCCCCAGCATCAGTAACAACACATTAGAGGGGGATAAAGTCCTGTCACCTATCCTCAAATTTTAGGTTAGGGGAGACCGGGGCTTGTTGTCACACTTCTTCTTGGAATTAATACATCATATTTAAACAAAACATGTACAAGATGAAACATCAAAGTCTCAGGTATATACGTAGTATTCATGTCACATGTGACAACTAACCCAAAATGACTGAGACATGTTACCCTAAACTTCCACGTTTGCTAATTCTAGCTTTAGCTTAAAACAGAATAATGACTGAGGTATGACAGGATGCCTTGACCTCTTCTCTAACAAGTCCACATGTTTCACTGCTGGGATTTTTATCTGGAAGAAGATTATTTTAAAATATATAAAGTTAATTTTTTTTAATTTGGGTTGTGCGAAGTGGTTAATTGATGTTCATTTCAGACAGGACACGCCCCCTGAAGAAAACTAGTATTCCTCAGGTGACCATACGTCCTCTTTTACCCGGATTTGTCCTCTTTTGTCCGGCTTTGTCTGGGGGAGTTTATAAAGTCCCTCAAATTTTTGCGGTTTTGTACGGAAGTTTTGAGTTTGTGTCATGTGGACTTACTGAGTTAGAAAAACTCAAAATCAACTACGTACAACTCCATGACTCCGCCCCCTCATACTCGTGTCACCCCAAGTATTCCACTTTTTAGTTGCGCCCTCTGATGGTGAAGATAATTGTGATGTGACAATTTACCCAAGCCCCGGTTTCCCCTAAATGTTGGACATCAGTAACAAACACAGTGAAGTTTTGAACTGAGTTTGAAATGTTAGAGTAGTATTGCAACAATGGAAGAGGCTTCTGGAAGGCTGAACTGCAGCGTTTCACACCGAAGCTGGAATGAGAGTTTTCAAGGGCGCCAGTCAGAGATAAGTTCGAGAATATTCTCAGCTGTAAATCGTGTGAAACTGCTAAAAAAAACTCTCGAGAAAGTAAAGCAGTTGTAGATTTGCTGCTTGTCAAGTTCAACATGTTCAGTTTGGGATTTACTGAGTGAACTGACCTCAGATATACAACAACAACAAAAGTCTTATCAAAGCCGTACAAGGTGAGAGGAAACACTTGTGAGAAATAACAGTAAAACCCGCTCTGATCTCTGTTTCTCCACAGCGGCTGCTTTCTCTTGTCCTTGTTCTGTCTGCTTTAGTGTCCTCTATTAAAAATGTTTTATTCTCTTCCTCCCCGGTCTCCTCAAACCCCAGACAACTGTAAATAACAGTGGGTGTTGATGGCACGCTTCATTTTTATCAGTTGGGGAACAGGCGTGCTCGCTCCCTCTGTCAGCGGCAGGTCTGTCGGTTCCCAGAACATGATAGCGCTCCGATCGCTTTGTGTGATAAAAACTTGGGACACGGCAGCGAGAACATCCCCGAATAAAACAAGTACCACGCCGTATATAAGTGACATCTAACAGCAGAGCTGCTCCATGCAGCCATTTGTCTCTTTCTCTTCCCTGACAGAGACAGGAGACATTATGATGTCGGCTTTGCTGAGGCTCCCCCAGCGATGTGAAATTTGTTTGTCTTTGCTTGTCATGGTGGAGTGTGTCTCAATCTGTGCGTTATAGCATATTGCTCTGTCGCCTTCTCCCATCGGCGCCTGCATTATTCATAGATCCAAAGGCCACGCATGTATACCTTGTATATCATCGCACCCTTACTTGAAGCTGTCAGGCGGCGTTTCTATTCAGTGTCTCGCTCTCTTGAACTTTCAGATCTTCAAACCTGGAAGGCTTCTGGTCTTCGGGCTGTTAGAGCAACTTTCCTGCCCCCACGTCTTCACTACAGGAGGGGCTGCTGGCTGCTCAGATCCTGCCAAGAATACATCTCATTATCCAAATGAGGCATTAGCATGAGCTGCTCCTGCGCTCGCACACTAGGCCGCCCCATAAAGCCTCTGCTGTGCGGTGCTGTGCCAGGGAAGCGGTGAGGGGGAAGACATTGTGGCTGCAGCTCTTTTTGCATAAAATAGAGGAAAAGGAGGGGGTTGGTGCTCAGTGTGTAAAGAGGTCTATTTTATTTGGAGAGGAAGAGATGGCTCGGCTGTGGGAGTGAAATGGGAATGTCACCAGGGGAGAGCATGTGAGAGCAGAGCAGCTGAGATCGTAGTGATTTATCTTAACATTTTGTTTCTGCATGGCTTGCTGTTTCTGCTCTCCGGAGGATGTGCAGGGGTAGAGGGATGTGGCAGACAGATGGAGCAGAGGGATTGGCTGAGCCCCTTCAGCCTCAGCTCCCGCTCCTCCTCCCGCTCGTCCTCGCTGTCCACCCGTGTGGTGTTGGATCTGTCACGCCTCCCTGAGAGCCTGATGAAGTAGGTCAGACGCTGTCCCAGGGTCTGACCACTGGCTCCAGAGCTGCTGCTGCTGTTGTTGATGCTGAGCAGTGATTCACTCATTACACACACACAGACACACACACACACACACACACATGCACATGCACAGCTCCAAAATAACAACAACAAAAAGATATCTAAAAACAACAAGAGGAAAAGCTGATGTAGGACGGTGTAGTAAACAAACACGGGCCGACCTCTCCTGGCTTACCGCGGCGCACTCACATGCAGATTTGTTTTGTGCGTGTGTGTTGACCTAATAACTCATCCTTACAGCACTTTCACTTAGCAGCTCAGCCACATGCAGGCTAACAGGGGAGTGGAGGGATGCATCAGTAATGGTTCCTTATGAGCAAACAGGAGCAGCATTGGTGTTCGGGAGCGCCGATGTTAATATTCATTGCTCATTAAAGGTGCATCAAGAATGATTACTCTATTTATTTTGCAGAATCACAAATTCAGATTCACAGAGAGTCTTTTCAAAAACAACAACAAAAACAACCACGGGTCTAATATGTCCAATTTCAGCTCAGTTTAGAAATGATTCCATGTTCCAGGTGGGAGATATGAGGAGGCATGTTTGCACACGTCAGCCCAGTACAGTAGAGAGCAGCTACAATAAACCAACGTCATCTGCAAACTGGTAATGATGTCCAACCCACCAAATAAAAACAAATGAATGAGAGATGTGACCTCAATGAAGTGTAGAGATGCATGCAAACGCAATATGTCATCGACCAATCACAGTCGAGCATGTGGTCATGTAGCCTCCATTTGCACCAAAACAGGATGTGATTTTTACGCTTTTTCTACGAACAGTCCAGAATTAGTTTATCGTGTTTGTGCAGAACTAATTTCGGCTTTGCACCCTCCTTGAATCTCTGACCCTCCTCTCCCTCCCCCGGGTGGTGCAGATGACAGCATGTCATCAGCAAAGAGGTGTATTTTTGATCCGAGGTCTTTTATAGAAACTGAGAACAGAAGGGGGTCCAAAACAGAACCCTGAGGGACACCCGTGATTTGAAAAGAAATCGATTGCCAAGCGGGGTACGGAGCTTATATGACCATTTTATATCTACAAGGGCGCAGAAGGTGTTTCTTTTAGAGCACAAATATTTTCCAATACCTGTAGCTGCTCTATTGATGTGGATGCTGTAGCCTTGCTTATTGCTGACTGTATTTAAGCTACAAATCCCCAGAAATATAATTCAGAGACTGTTGATGTTGTGAATCTTTGCTCCCCAGTGGAGGCCAAAAAAGAAAAAAAAACCTGTCAGAGATTAGGTGCTGTTTCTGCTCCTGAGAGATGAAAACAAAAATCAGCCTCTGTTTTCCCTGACAGGACGACCCCGCGAGTCTCTGCATGTTCACGACACGCCGCAGATGATGTCAGCGGTGTTTTGATGCCGGTATTTCACTGACTAATCTCCCACCGCACATCCTGTACCTCTTATCTGTTTTTTTTTTTTTTACAGAGGTCTGAATTTGAATTAGTAGTCTGCAGGTTTTAATAGTGAAAAAGGAGTTTACCAATATTTGAAGCGAGTTTATGCGTCTGTAAAATCGCTGATAGGGAGAGGTAATGTGTTGACAAACGGAGAGGAATGGTAGATATTGGAAGAGAGGGAGTGCGATAGGGTGAAAAAGAGCTTTGCCTCGGCTGTGGCTCCCCCGGGCGGCATGTTAAATTCCTGTCAATGATAAGCTTTTATTCGTTGTGGCAGCATTACATTTCCATGACTTCACAACCACTGGCGAATTCAGACAGGGGAGTAATGAGGATCGTTGGAAATCACCGAATTAATGCATCTTCGCCGATTGTCTCCCTCATTATGCCATTCTTTATTCGCCATTGTTGCTCTCCATCCTCTCACTCCGTCTTCTCTTCTTCCTCTCCGTGTTGCCACTCCTCCGCCCGCTCTTGGAGCAGCCTTTCATTTTCTTCTCATCCTCTGTTGTCAGCCGCTTGTTCCTCATTTAGTCAGATTAAAAACACCACTCCCTGCACCGCTCTTTGAAATCCTCTCTCATTTTCCCAACCTCTGTCATAACACCTCGTCCAGGTGATTGCGCCAAGACTCAGGAATGTTTGAACCCGTCCTCTCTCCTCCCGTTTTCGTGTGCAGACACGACTGAACACACCCAGAAACCTGCAGGACACGGTCTGATACAGTGTCCTTCAGTTTAAAGGCCCCCCCACCTCACTGTATCTGAATATTTTCCACTGCAGGTTGTTTCCTGCTCCACTTTACTCCACAACAAAAGAAGCCCTGCTCTGATAAGGACTCTAGTGTGTCCTTAACCACAGATCTATACCTGATGTGTCATTTCCACCTGCAGCTGGTGGGCCTTCATGCATTTGTTTCCTTTAACCACTCTGAAATGACTCAGAGGAAAACACTCATCCAGCTTTGAAAGGAAGGGATTTTGTCACTTAAATGTTTGGAGGGAGTGAATCATCTACTTCACCCAGGCGGATGTGAGAGTTCAGAGAAGTATGATGAACGCCACATAAATAGGGATGAAAATCGATAAGCAGTTCCCAGTGATTCTATTACTAAGAACTGTTTGTTCGCCTCATTAATGATTCTGCTTATTGGTTCCTCTTAAGTCTCTGTGTGATGACGTACGCGAGAAGTGTGTTTCGGTTCAGAACTTTCAAGTGTGGCATCGAAGCAAAAGCACGGAAAGGCTACCGGGGCTACGCCATGTTAACCCTCTTTCACTATATAAATACTCTCTGTCTGCTTAAATTACATTTAGCTGACGATGACTGCCAGAGTCATGCTAGCTTAAGAGGCTGCAGCATGTAGCTCTTGCGCACCTTTGGCAGCCTCTTTCATCGAGGCCCAAGGACCCTCATGTCTTGCAAGGTACACAAAAACTGCATTAGGCCACTGGGCCCCTCAACATCAGTGAAGTAACTCAGCTAAACTTTTTTGCTAGGGTTACATAAGAAATTATTTGTGCTTGGATATGCCATTGTTCGGATTCTAATTACTTGGCCCTCTGAAAAGGCTAGAAGGAAGCACACTGAAGGTATAACTTGTGTTTGTACTTGGTCTTTATTTTTTGACCACACAGCTGACAGAGGTCATAAACCTGAAATGATGTCTTCTCATGACTGAAGTAATGAATTGCAGTAAACACAGCGACCTAACTGATTAAACCAACAATCACAGTTCCAACAGTAGCAGATAACATTACAAGATAAATGCTAACAACAGCCAGCTTAGCGCTAGCGTCAAATGCTAATGAAGTTAGCCTCGCATGCTAATCGGGAGCTAGCGGAAATGCTAACGCTAGCTAGCGGCGCTAATCAGACGCTAAAAACACTCTTCCAGGACTGTTTAACAATGAAATAAGCACCAATATGTTATATTTTTACAAGCTACACATTATTATCATGCTATTTCTTAGCTACAGCTTAGCAATGGGCTGTGTGCTCCTGCTAAAACTCGGACACAACTGCCGTGATCAATAACACCAGAAGTTACGCAGACTTTTCAAAATAAAATGCAGAGGTACAAAACTCTTCAAGAAATCACTCAAAGCTATGAATAATCATTAAATAATGAAAGTCTTTAAATATCTTCTGTCCAAAGGTGACATTTTTAAAGAGTTAATGCCAACAAACCCATTTAGATTATCTTGTGGACAGGTTTCTTGTGTACAAACAATACTAGGTGCGCGCAACCATGGGGCCAAAACCTGCTTCAGAGTGAACTGATGTCAATGAAGATCCTGTATTGTTTCAAAGTTCTCCCTGAAAACAATTGCAATAAAATGTGATTTCATTGAAAAATCACTTTGTCTTTCATTATATCAAAATCAGAAAAACACTGAAATGTCCATGAATTTCACTCAATTTACCAGGTTGTGACGTTGTTTTAGATTATCCTAATATCAGGAGCAGGGTCGGAATGTGTGCCGATTTGATGCCGATTCGCACAGTTTACAGCACAACAGCTCCTTGTCATTTTCTTTATCTGTTGACTGCGCTATTAAACAAATAGGAAGTGTCCCGCTTTCTGCCCCAAGGCTGTGTGCGCATACCTGGATGACATCAGTGAGCATCGATAAGGAATCGTAACAATAAGCAGCATCAATAATGAACTTGCTGAATTCTTAACAATTCCCCTCCTGACATGTAAATGTTCATGTCAGGGCGCACAGAAAGCTGCTGTGTTTCATGTTTTTCCTCACCTGTATGTATCTATCATACCTCCAGGTTGAATTATAGCCTTTCATGGCACATCCTGGCACCTTATTAATCTCAATTGTACATTTGTGTCATTGCAACTCAAGGTTAGTGCAGGATCTGCATATTCCCGGTGTGGTGTTAATAGACACTGTCTCCCTTTGTTGCCTCAAACAGAAACAGGGCTGCTGTTTTGCTGCTTTGAGCTCTTTTTTTATCTTTCTGTTGGCAGGTGTTGCCGGTAGTGACGGCTTGCCTCTTCTCTTCAGTGCTGTCAAACACCCATCAAACCCCAACCCTTCCAAGTGTTGTGTTATTAGTGCTCCTGTAATGTGATTAGTGTGCGCCACAGCCTCTCTAATTTCACACACTCGCAGCGCAGCGGCCACACAAAGCCGCCGTGCTGCAGAAATGGAGAATATTTTGTTATCTTCCTGTATGCACAAGGCCAGTGGGCAGACTGGGGAGGAGGTGTTGTGACGTGACCTTGCAGAGGGATAAATACCGAGCGGGATAACACGGTGAGAACAGGCAGTCCCCTCGGCCAAAACAGCTCCCTGCAAAATAAAAGCTGTTTGTTCCTCAGCTGCACTAAAGTGATCTGATCGGAGCTCTTCCTGGTGTTTGTGCCTTTAAAACACCTCCATTATAGAGGTGGAGCTGCGTGAACTCCACAACTCCTCCCTCCATCGCCTCTGTAGGAAAACATCTTCACATCTTCTCTGTCAGAAACGGATTTCTGCAGCGTTCGACCGTAAAAATACCTGAAATTTACAGCAGCTTTCATGTCTATAGTTTGTCTGGACCATAACATTTAGAGTTGGCATTTAAGTTCTTCAAAAAGAGTGTCAAAGGTGGCGTCACCTGATCCTTTATAGAAGTGGAGCACCTCCAAAGGCTCTCTAGTTTAGTTTTAATGGACTATCCTCGTGTTTTTTGTCAGGAGTAAATATTGAGCCTCGGGAACCTTAAAAGTCCGAGTCAAAAAGCTGCCTAATTAGACTGAAGTGGAGGGAGGAGAACAACACCGAGGCCAACAGTCCAGTCCTCTTAGTTATGCAAATCCTTGAGTCCAACTATTACATTTGTCTGGATTTATTTCCAGTTTAATTTGGTCAGGATAGCTCGCTCGTGTCCCAAATGTAATTTCTGCGTCCTTGGCACATGCTTCTTCGTCTTTTAACCAACTTTTAGTCCCTCCAGTAAACAAACAAACAAACAAAGGGCGGTGTAAATAAACCGTCATCGGCTGAGGTTATAGGGAAAGTGATGAGAGCGAGTACAGGTCGCAGCAGACGGAGGCGGTGAAAGGTAGAGGAGAGGATTACAGGTAAACCTTCTCCCCTTTCTCTTCTCCTCTTCCTCAATCCTCTGGATTTTCACCCTCTTTGGACTTGGTGGGAGGATGTGTTTCTGAGCAGGAGTGACCTGGCTCTGCTCTCTCATTCATGTGTGTAATGAAGGCCTGTGTCTGAATAATCCCATTAGGTGGTCAGATTAAAACCTGAGCTGATATTTGAGACTGTGCCCGGCGCCGCTTTAGAAATTGGAGAGCTTTGCTGTCAGCTCCGGGAAGAAAGGATGCGGCCGAGGAGCGGCTGAGGCGGGTGATGTGTTTGGGAGGTCTGTCCTTTCGGGCTGATAGGCTGCTTTTGTAATTAAAGGAAGGAGGAAAGCTTCAGAAGCTTCTTTACCCTGACTGATAGCATCCTCTTCCACCAGAGCTCTGCAGAAATGTATTAAATCCACCCCGAGCGTGGTCTCAGGGCGAAATCAAACCGTTTAGGACGACCAGATCTGGATATGAGAAAAACGTGTCTTTCTGAAATATTAATTGTGCATCTCTTTGCATCATTCAGATAAACTCTGACTAAGTTTGATGATGATGTTCCTCGCTCTCTCTGTCTCTTCTGGTTGCATAAAGCACACGTACTGTAGGAGTCTGTGGTTTGACCTGCGTGAACACAAAGCTCCTTCCTTTCTTTCTTTCTCCCTCATTGTCTCTTCTCCTCTGCAGTCCTCTCCCACACCATTTGTTTAGTAGCTGCTGTAACTCTTTGTTGTATTTTCTCTCTTATCTGTGGAGGATTCAGCGCTCGCTATTGAAGTTAAATGCGCCTCTGCTGTGCGGGTTTAGACATGCACTACCTGAGCGCCTCCAGGCTTTGATCAGGTTTCAGATAAAACGCTGCACTGGAAGGAGTCCTGCACGTTTTTTTGTAGCTGTATGTTTATGTTTTTGGACCTGGTTAGGACGGTGTATCTTCCTGTTCATGCTCTCTAACATGACTGCAGATTCTGTTTCGTATCTGACAAAGCTGCATAACTTTCCAGCGTTTGAAGGAGAAATCCTCCCGACTCTGGCGTCTCGGTTACTTCTGTCTCTCTCCGCCATTAGTCACTGTCAGCGTGTTCTCGATTAGAGCTCATCTCTTTGGATAATTCTTCCTCTATCTGCGCCGTACGTCCTGAATAATACAGACTCTAATTCTCATTTTTGCTGTCTGCTCTGCTGCCTGAATAGAAAAGCTCTCCTGATGCATCATGGCTGCTGATTATCATCTCTGGCGGCGTGCTTTCATTTCATTACCGCCACGCTGATGGTTGTATGTTGTGGCGTCTTGTTTCTCGCAGGACTGTGCGGCTCTTTTTCATTCGACTAAGTTGAGAGTATGAACTGATGCTTTTAAGAAGTTTTCCCTCAGACAGAGTGGAGCTGCTGCTGCTGCTGCTGCTGCTGCTGTTGTGCATGCCAACCAAACTTTAATCTCCTCAGTCTCTCTCTCTCTCTCTCTCTCTCTCTCTCTCTCTCTCTCTCTCTCTCTCTCTCTCTCTCTGTCTCGCCTCTTTGACGCTCTTGTTTGTGGACTGGCTGTTTATTTCCTGTCTGATGATGATGATGCTGCATGTGTTTGTAATTAACCGAGTCTCTCGATCTGTCGCTGAGGTCTGTGTGGGGTTGGGGGGGTTCTGTCGCAGGGCGGGGGTCCTTCCTTTCCCCTTTACTTTTCCGTCCTTGTCTCCCTTACTTCATCTTTCCTAAAAAAAAAAAAAAAAAACTGCACCTGCACAAACGCACCTCCTCCCACCAGAGCACTGACACACTCCCTTCCATCTGTCTTTTCCTACCCAGAATTCCCTAACAACCCGCCAACTGAGAGCGATGAGATCACGAAGGAGCAGCACAATGCTGGTGCCGCCATCGGGGGCGCAGTTGGGGGCGTCGCGCTCTTGGGCGTGGCGGCCATACTGCTCTTCGTATTCCTGCGCCGTCGCCAGCGCACCTTCAAAGGAGACTACAGCACCAAGAAACACGTGTTTGGGAACGGGTACAGTAAGGCGGGCGGCCTGCCCGCTCACCCCCCCATCCCTAAGAACCTGCAGTACCCCGACGACTCGGACGACGAGAAGAAACCCACCCAGATCGGCGGTCCCGGAGGGTTTGAGGCGGGAGAGCGTGATTTTGATGGCGAGCAAGAGGACCTGAAGAGGCCCTATTTTACGGTGGACGAAGGAGAGAGCCGAGATTATGACGAGCGGACTCTGGCTTTCCAGTATGACCCTGAATCTGAGATAGCCGATGATATGATCTCTCAAACCGACGGCTCTGTCATTTCCAAGAAAGAGTGGTATGTGTAGGAGCATGCGCCGAGCAAACCAAACAACCCTTTTGTCCCCCACCTGCATTCCACTGCACCCTTCACCTCCATCACGTCCCCCGCCCTCCTCCCACTCCTCACACTGCACCCTTCACAGCCCTCTTTTGGTCAACCCCCTCCTCCCCCCCATGACTCCCCCCTCCCCCCCACATCAGACCCATCCAGCTAATCTCAAAACAAAATCAAGCGTCTATTTAAAGTGCTAGCAACACGGACGTGTGTCAGCGGGACAGCTTTGGTTTTCAGGCAGAAAAACAAACAAAGGTATGTAAACGGACTCGCCGGCACCGACCAGCGAGTCCAGGGAGGTGATTGGTTGATGAATACTGGTGTAATATTCTTTTTGTGTATTTTTTTTAATGTCCTAAATGTATTAAATGTGTAACAAGAGACTGCAGGTTGAGGTGTTGCTGAGCACATTTGTGAAAGTCCTACACTGGATGTGCAATTTGTTTTTGTTTTTGGTTGTTTTTTTTCCATTACCATTGCCGTTTTGTTCTTTTTTTTATAAATATATATATAATGTGTTTTTGTATGATTTCTAAGTGACCTGAAAACTGAGAGTTTAGTGTCTGACATGATTACTGGTGGAGTTTTTACGTGTTTGTAATTTCGTGGTCAAATGTTTCAGAAAGAGAGAAAGAGGAGAGAAAAAAAAAGGGGTCACATGGTACCTGTGTTTATTTTTCCAGAGCGTCCACGAAATGAATCATTTTTATACATGTGCAGCGTGAAAAACTGATGTTTTAATGCTGTTGATTATTTTTTATTTCCCCAAAGACAAGCTGTCGTCTCCCCTGTGTTTATATGCTTCGAGTCGGTTAACTGAGCCATCTGGACATGGCGGTAACAGATCAAAATAAGTGTTTTTGTTTTTTTCTAATTTTGCTAAAAGTTCAATCACATCCAGTCACATCATTGAACCAGAATAGCAGGGGGAGAGAAGGGCTGCAATCCTCTCAACTATATCACCTCTCAGTGGTGCATCACAATCACGTCCAGAGGCGCGAGGTTCGAGTGATCCTGGTTGTCCACAGAAACCTTTAACAGTGCTCTGAAATGTTGTCATGATTGTCACTTGACTTGAACAGGTGGCGCCCTGCGTGTGCACGAGCTCTCACTCTGACCACTATGATGAAAATGTCTGTTTTCTTGTGTTGAGTTGTCATGATGATGTTTTTGTTCGGGGGGGGGAATCTTCACAGTAATGACTCTGTTTTCTCCTCATGATTGTGTGACTCTGTGCTGAAAATTAGCTTAAGCCGCCTCGCTCGCACCAACGGCGTTTTCTATGAGGAGTCGTCCGCGGACGCAAAAAAGGACTCAAAAACGGGAGGAGACTGTCGATCGATGCTTTGACTCACAGAGAAATTATCTGAACATGTAAAGGGAATATTGACGGTGGCCATGCTGAGTATAACACGTCACCTGCTGCTTTCATCATGTTTTACGACATCTTGTTGTTTGTTTGTTTGTAAAATGAATTTCTTTGTGTGTTTTTTGGGGATTTAGAGAAATGAATGGTTGTCCAACGGGGGGGACAATGACCCCGTCTGAATGCATCGTAGATTTCTGGCTTTATATAAATCACTGTAACACGTGCCAGTGGATGCTCGCATAGCGAATCTCTTGTTTCTGTCCTCAGCTCCGTTTCACGATCAGCCAAACGCATTTGAACAAAAAAACTTGATATAAGAGAGAGGCGTCAATCTGCGGATAGAAGCAGCAGCAGGCTCTGAACAATATAAATACTATACCAAGCCTTATTTTATGCATGTTTTTGTGTTGGAGTGGATGTGTGTAAGCGTGTGCGTGCGTGTGTGCGTGTGTGTGTGTGTGTGCGGTTTTCTGTATTGATTCCAGCGTGTCTGTCCTCATTTGCAGCTCCAAAGACGACACTTTGTCAGTGTCGTCGGTATCGACGGAGGTATGAGTTAATGGGCACTCAGTACCCGGCGACAATAATGCAGTTAACAAAGAAAAAAGTAAATAAATATATGAATATAAATAAATAAAGATGAAAAAAGAGCATCCCTCTGAGTGCGGATCCGTCTGCCAGCTGGAGATGTGAATGTTTTACACTTCATGCTTGTCTACTGTATGTTTTTAGATGAGCATGTTAATTATGAGCCTCAATTTCTATTGCATTTTAAAGTCAAATTAGCTTCACACAATAAGAGAGATCATCTTTATACGAGAGTCTGTTCTGTTTCATTTTCTACAGCCTTATTTCTGTTTTGGATTCAAAACAGTTTGGGAATGATACGACACAACACAAGTTTTACACCGAGGGAGAGAGAACTCAACCCAACCTTCAGATTTCCACTTTTATAGCTGTTAGTCTCTTTTTATTTCGGACTGCTTCCATGTAGCTGTTCGGTTCTTGCGTCACAGTGTGATGGAGACAGACGTGGGGAAAAAGGAAAACATGTTTGTATCTTTTATTTTCTTCTAGCATTCAGTGCCTATCGAAGTCAGGAGACGTGAGGTAGTCTGAACAGTCGCTGCTCCATCATTTTCAGTTCTTCATGACACAAAAACTGATTTTTACTTTCACTGATTATTTTGGATGTTACTCCAGCACAAAACTAACAGACGGTCTGATCTCCGGATCGATCGGTCTTCTTACCGCATCGGCTAAATCGTGATCCCGCACTTTTTACTCCCAGCCGATCCCGGATCGTGGCGTGTGGCTGACTTTTTCAAGCACAACAGCTAAAATCATGTGAAAAATCACTTTAAAAAAGAATCTACTTCGGCCCAAAGCGACGATTAACTCGACCCCGTTTTTTGCAAAAGCACAAAATTTCAAGTTTGATTTCACGTTGTTCTGCGTCCATCATGAGAACCACTGCCACACCTGCTTGTCAGACATGACGGAGAAAAGAGAATCTCAGATCGGAGTCGGCTTTCTGTAAAACTGGTCGATGTAAACATTGTCTTCATGTTGTCGGGGTGTTATGAGTTTCTATTTTGTAATACTGACTGTAACTTCATTCCATCCTAATATACTTTTGTATTCAGTATGTTTGACATTCCACTGTAAATACTGTACATAGGGTTGAGATTAAACGTCGGGATTTATTAGGGCCGACTGCGTAGGGACCCTGTTCGTGTAAAATAATTCTATTTTGACTGCAAATAGAGAAAACCCCGTGATAATGATGATGATGATGATAGAAGACGTGGATGCATAGCTTACTCCCAAAAAGTCCCTCCAGTACCTTTTTAATCTGCCACTTAGCGGCTTCACAGTCATTCAGAGGGGTGATGCATACAGTCTGTGGATTTAATGTTACCGAGAGAAAAAGAAAAGACAGATATTGTCTGTATGCAGCCATGTGAATGTATATTTCTGAGGGTGTTACAAATATGGAAAAAAAAACAATCTCTTGTTCAATTGTGATGACCCAGTGAAGTAACTTGTATTTGTTTTAAGCATTAAATGAGTTCAATAGTCAACATTGTTCTGTCCCAGTTCACTGATTGGCTAGGTGTGTGTTACCTGATTGAATACAATCTATGACTGCAACACATTTCTTATCACTTTGTATTGATTCTAGTAATCGCAGCACTCTTGAACCCTTGTTGCATCCCTATCGCCTCATGCATTATTTGGATTAATCCCTCTCTCTCTCTCTCTCTCCCTGGCTGAGCCTGTAGGGCGATCAGAAAGAGGTTCGTCCTGCTCAAAGACCTCCTTCACTCCCAGCTCTTATCGACTGTTTGGACAGTTTTGAAACTCCGATATTCCCCGCTCCCTGAACAAATTTCTTTGCGGTTAAATCTTCCGAGCTCAGACAGGGTTCAGGCGTGCAGCCATTAGACTCCGCAGTGCAGCATCCAATATTCAGCTCCAGCTTCGTTCCAGTTTTAAGAATTAAAAGGCTACAGAGGCGTCTGCGGCGCTAATGCAGGATGATTCTCTCTGGAGGCAACCGTAGCTTCCTCCATTGTTCTCGCCCAATCCCGTCACAATGAATGAAGCAATACAACCAAACGTGATTCAGAAATACACGTCATTTTCTCCACCTTCACACCAAGAAAAGGCCGTTTTTAAAAGAGAAACTGATCATTATTTTCTGACAGGCTAACAAAAGACAGTTAAAGAGATACATAAGGGTCCGCACTGGTTATTACTGTAGCTCTGAGAGGGGCTTTCCCCTTTAATTGGGAGCAAAAACTGTCAGGCAGATGTTGGTGGTGGTGAGTTTGGGTGCTTAATGAAGCGACAGTGATATGATGAGAGAGGCCCAGTGTAGAGCAGACAGATCTGTCTCAGACTGTGGGACTGGAGTGCAGACATCTGCAGAGTGCACATTAAGAACAGCCCAGAGTTTGCAGCTGTTGCCATCCATTTGCTAAAAGAGCCCTTTGTAGCCCGGGGAGCTTTGATGGCACATAGACTTTTAACATGCATGGCCATCTCAGTTTTTTTTTTTCCCCCCTCTCCTATCAGAGCCGCCTGTGAACTCAACAACATTCGCTCCATCAGAGTTCTCCGTGGATGATAAATGACAGGGTTTAATTTCAGAATACGAACAGAGATTTCCAAAGTTCTGCATGTTTTGTGACGTCCTAAAGAGCGGGGATGTGAAATGTTCATAAAAACACATTTGATGTCGTGAACAAACAAGACAGGAGGAGCCAGAAGTAGATGAGTGATTATCAGGGTTTCAAATTTAAGGTCCATTTTACATCCATACTGGCAAAAAATTACAAGACATGAAGGGAAATCAGAAGATTTTCAACTAACTTCAAATTTATCTTTATTTCTAAGTAACATCAATACATTTTTAAGACCTTTCAAATTTGTATTTAAGACTTTTTAAGACCCTGGATTATGATAAATTAACAGAAATAATCAGACAATAATTACGTTCAAGGCATGTGTGAGTATGGTGGTGTGTTGAGGAGATAAGCAATGGCGAGACGCTGGTGTGGCGTGGGGGGCGAGAGAGAAAGAGAGAGTTGATGCAG